TCCCGCCACCGCCCCCACCGCTGCCATCGCCACCCCCGCCACCGGCCCCGACCCCAGCCCGCCTCCTCCTAATCCAGCCCACGAACCCCCTCCGCCTCCTCCCGGCGCCTCCCCCTTCTACCGACCGTGTGATACCACCTATATGCGCGCCCTCCTCAACCACTACAACCACCTCCTCGGACGCTGGCGCATCCGCTATGACACCACTGCTGGCTCCCCTACGGCCGACCCTGCCTACTACGCTGCCACCGTCAAAATGCACAAGAATCCCCCCGCCATGCGCTTTCTCGCTTGCTCCCATCGTTGCCCCACCACTGTTATCAGCGACCTGGTCCTCGCCGTGCTACGTGCCGTGGACCCCCTGTTCCGGCAGCACTGGACCAACACCCTCCGCCACACAGCCCCCTGGCACTGCTTCTCCTCCGACTCCGCCGTCGCCATGGTCCATACCTATAACGCCCAGGAGTACCCAGCCGCCAACGTCACGCTGCCTCAAGCCTATGACTTCACCCGGCTCTACACCAACATCCCCCACGACCTCTTGCGCAGTACCATTGCAGCCCTCCTACGTACCACCCTCGGAGCCCACCTCTACCCCGGCACTGCTCCAGGCGCCATCTATATCGTGGTTTCTACTACCAGCAACCCCGCCAAGCCCGACGACAAGCCCCGTCACAATGTATCCTTCCGCACACGCCCCCTGTCCCAGCCGTATTGCCGGGACCATAATACAGAGAAGCGGTGCTTCAGCCTGGACGAATTCCTCTTGCTCTTCCGTACTCTCTTTGCAGCCACTTTCATCCGCTTCGGCCCCGCGCTGGTACAGCAAGTGTGCGGCATCCCCATGGGCATCTCCGCGTCTCCTTTCATCGCCAACCTCTTCCTGGCCTGGTACGAGTTCGACTTCATGTCACAGCGACGCACCTGCTCCGCGAGCGCCCGCAGTCTCCTCGACGGCTTCAAACACAGCTGCCGCTACCTCGACGATCTCATTTCCCTCAACAACCCCCATCTTACTCACCTCCTTTCCACCACCCAGCAATACGAAGGGCTCCACGGCCTCTATCCCCCTCAGCTTCAAGTCGAGGCGCAACAACACCCTCAGTTCCAGAATGGCGAGATGCCTTTCCTCGACCTGCTCCTGGTCCCGACCACTACCACTCAGGGCCGCAGCCGTATCACTACACGGCTGTACGATAAGCGCGTCCAGCCTGCCTTTGAGTCCGTCCGCCTCTCTCGGTTTGTGGGGCGCACTTCTAGCGTCAACGAGGCCAGCAAGCGCAACATCTTCACCGGCCAGTTCCACCGTCTCCGCCGCGTCATCCTGGACCCACACAACTTCTGCTTCGAGATGGCGTTCCTCATCTGTGCGCTTGTCCGGCAGGGCTACGCCGAGAGCCACCTCTGGCAGCAGTACGACCGGCTACTTCACAGTGTACCTTTCCTGTACAGCCTCCAGCGCAAGGAACTGTCCCTGGACCTCTACAAGCGGACGCAGGAGCTCTACAACCAGCACTGGAAGCAGCACGCCCACCTCTAGCGTTTTAGGGCTTCCCGGACTATAGATAGGGGCTTCGGCTTTGTGCGGGGTCACGGGTCGGTCGGGTTGGGTTGCCGGGTTAGGTCACGGGTACGTCGGGTTGGTTTGCCGGGAGGCAGGGTTAGGTCACGGGTCCGTCGGGTTGGTTTGCCGGGATGCCGGATTAGGTCACGGGTCCGTCGGGTTGGTTTGCCGGGATGCCGGGTTAGGTCACGGGTCCGTCGGGTTGGTTTGCCGGGTTAGATCACGGGTCGGTCAGTGGGACGGGCCGGGTGGGTTACGTTTCAGCGCGGACAGGAGTACGGTGGGCCATCGCGCCGTTTATCACGTCCGGACAGGACGGCTTCTGCGTTGTACAGACGGTGTCCGGGTTCGGCGGGGTCTGTTTCCGGCTTCGTTTTTGTTTTTTCAGGCATCGTAGGGTCGGGCCACGGGCCTGGTATGAGATCGCGGAGCTTCGTCGGACTGCTACGGAGGTTTTACTTTAATTTTTTACAACACTTGCACAACTGTTTTCAACCCCGGTTGGGGCTCCCTATTTGCTCAGGGATTCACCCAGGGGGGACATGCCCGTGATCCAATGTAATGCACCAGCCTTCCAACTTTGTCCACCGCTCAAGACCTCCACAGGCATCTTCCCCGCCTTCACGCATTCCCCATCAGCCACTACCTGCCTCGTCATCCTGCTACGTGTCTCTAACCTCCCCTTCCCATTTCCCAGTTCATGCACCCTAGGCGGTCCCCATCCCTGCTGACCCCTAGGCTTAGTAGTGATGTGGGGATCCGGGACCGGACCGCACACTGCTGCCATCCCTGTCTTCCTGTCACACCCCCTCTCACCTCTCTTGTACCCTTACGCCCATTCCAGTCCCCATGCGCCCCATGCCTTGTCGTATTCCGCATCCCGCACCACTACTAATTTTGACCCTCCCCACTTATTCTTTCTTTTCCATTGCCGCGCCGCCGTGTCCATAGGAAACCCTACCACACCATCATCGCATGTTTCTCGGTTCCCGTCTCGCCTCCTGACTGTTACTCACCACCTCATTAACGCGCCCTGCCTCTCTTCCTTCCCTATTTTTCCGCATATGGACCACCTGGACACTGGAACCCTGGTGCGGCTCTGTTGGTCTGCGCCTCCAATCCATCGGGCCATGGCAATTGGCTTTCCCTCTCCAGGTAAGTTTCCCGTAACGCGTCCCGATAACATGTATGCTCGTCTACCCCATATGCGTGTTGCTTTGCATTTCGTGACCGGCGGCGCGGCACATGTCTCCCTAGTGTTACCACGCAAGGCGGCTTCTCCCCCAAGTCGTCTCGGTTTACGGTAAGCAACGCTTCGGTAAGTAATTTGAGATGCGTGTCTTTAGAATAGTATCTCCGAATGCACTCACTGCATGAGTCGGGATATGGGATTGGGACTTAGTTGTTTGCATTTCTTATATAATTTTTCCCCTCTCCCCTCCCCCACCTGCATGCCACCCCGCACCGCCTGCTGCCCCCCCTGTCCCCCACCTGCATGCCACCCCGCACCGCCTGCTGTCCCCCCCCCTCTCCCCCACCTGCATGCCACGGCGGCTTGGATGGAGATGTACGAGAAGGGTAGCATTGCAGCAATGGGGCCTGGGTCAAGCGGACCACTACAGCTCTACAGCTAGTATGCGGTGTGGTGATGCTCATACCGGTGACGAGTACGGCCTGCTGGCACAGCCACTTGACGTTGACGGATCAGACCCACGGGTCTCTCATAGATGCCCTCCCGGAAATCCCGGAGGACAAGACGAGCCAGGAGGCTTATTGACCCCACAATTGAATAACTACGGGGCAGGTCGTAACCAGTATTCGTTAAACCCTGTACGACTTACCAATTCACGCACATGCATGCCTTTGCATCCTCTGCATCCCGTGTCTCCTGGTTTCACCTGTGTCCCCGGCACCACTGCAGGCACTTTGTTTGCTTGCGTGCATAATTCTTTGATGACGCAACCTTATCCGCTTGCATTCGGGACCGTATAACCGAGGCCAAGGCATCATAAGATAGCTGGGGACAAGAAGGAAGGGCGGTCCGTCACGTGGCGTTACAAGGTCACTTCGCATGGCTTCCGTGAAGCGTGCGGGTGGTCAAGGCAGAGAGAGTCAGAGAGATGCATTGCCCACTGGGATCATCATGGCCGAATGTAAGACCTTGGATACAAGCTCAAACACCAGCAATTTACCAGCACCTCAGCCACAGCTGGGTCAGCCACAGCTTTCACCTCGGCCAGCCACCAGCAAACATACCGTATCAAGCCAGCCAGGTATCCGCCCCGGTACCAGCAAAACCAGCAGCCGATCATCAATAGCACGGCAGGATTTGGGCATGCGGGCATGTGCGTGTTTGTTTCGTTTTTGCTGCTGTATGCCTGTGAAACCCCGATGTCCCATGCCCTAAATTGAGGAAGGCCGCCTCGCTTTTTTACCAATCAAGAATATAATTTGTTTGCCGCTGCCACCACTGCGGGCACCAATGGCACGCATGCATGCATGCCGGTAGGTAGCAGGCGAAGTCGCATTATGCGGAAGCCCGAAGGCAGCAGTGGTGACGGACCACCTTACTTCTTCCTCCTCCCCCTGCCTTTCGACCCCTTCTTCTTCCCTCCTCTACCCATCTTACCTCTCTCGCTTACCAATCCAGTGCTATCCCCTTTCTTACCCGAGCTCGTGAACCACCTATCCGGATATGCCTCCTCCTTCGCCACTTCCTCCACCCTCCCCTCCACTCCCTCCCCTTTGCCCCCTCCAGCTTCCACCACCCTCACTCCCGCCCCCACACCCCCCACCCCTGCCAGCACCCGCCCCCAGCTCACCCGCACCTGCGCATGCTCGAACTCCGTGTACGACACCACTGCCGTACGCCAGCCTGCGGTTGAGAAGTCCCGCAGCAGCGACTCGTAGCCGTGATCGTCCGACACCAGGCAAAACAGAGGGGCCTGGGCCTGGGGCTGGGCCTGAGGCTGGGGCTGGGGGTGGGGGTGCTGCTGGCTTTGGGAGGAGGAAGAGGAGGTGAGCGGGCGTGGAGGGATTGAGGATGATACCCAGCCGTAGGAGGTGCCGCTGGTGCTGCTGGTGGCGGTTGAGGGGCGTAGGAAAGGCGAGTAGGCCTCCTCCTCCTCCTCTTTCCCGTACTCCTCCTCGTCATCATCATCAAGGCCGTCATCCTCGTCCTCCGCCTCCTCCTTCCACGCCTCCTCCTCGTCCTCCATTTTCGTTTCGTTGCCCTCCTCCTCCTCCTCCTCCTCCTCCTCCTCTTCCTCCTCCTCCTCCTCCTCCTCCTCTTCCTCCTCCTCCTCCTCCTCCTCCTCCTGCATCTCCTCTTGGAAACCCCAGCAAGCAGCCCCCTCCTCCTTGTCCTCCTCCTCCTCCTCCTCCATCCCCCTCCCCTCCTCCCTCTCCCTCCTCCCCTCCCACCTCCCCAGCAGCTCCCTCGCCTCCTGCTGCAGCTGCTCGTCCGCCCTCTGTCGCCCCATGTCCACCGCCCGCACCGCCACCCCAGCCGCCGCCAGCAACCCCTGCAGGTCGTAACCCCGGAGCTTGCGGAACTGCACCTCCTGCTGGGCGAGCAGGACCCTGGAGGGAGGCGGGCAGAGAAGAAGAAGAACCTCCATGCATGTAAGGACAACTAGGTCTGACTAGATGACATAGAGTTGTCAGCCAAACAAACAAGGAACCGGTAGACATGTCCCACCCGCCAGGCGCCTACCCACCCAGACACCGAGCTGTGGTATTGCTCGGCGCCACTCCCAACCGTGTGCCCTCCCTCTCCCTCTCCTCCCTCCCTCTCCCATCCCTCCCCTTCCCACTTTTTGAACTTGCTGCTGTTGCGGTACTTGCGGATGCTGGGCTTGTGACCCGACCTGAGGATCTTGCTGTGCTCCCGCATGTGGACCTGCTTGAAGTGCCGCTGCAGCTGCGGGGAGGAGGCGCGATGGCCGCACAGCGGGCAGCGGCAGGCGCCAGTGCCCTTGTGGCGGAGGGGGTGCTACACGGGGGAGGGGGGGAGGGGGGGTGCGGATATAAGCTGGGGGGTGTTATAGTGTGGGCATGGGGGTATTGGGACGTGTCATCTGGAACAGCTGGAACCCTGAAGTGCGTGTCTTTTTCCGCTCGTTGTGGCTTATCGGGCTTTCTTTGTACTTGACTCCTGCAGCCTGCCTCGCTTGCCGCCCCCCCCCCCCTCTCCCCCACCTGCATGCCACCCCGCACCGCCTGCTGCCCCCCCCCCCCCTCCCCGACCTGCATGCCGCCCCGCACCGCCTGCTGCCCCCCCCCATCCCCCACCTGCATGCCACCCCGCACCGCCTGCTGCCCCCCCCCCTCCCCCACCTACATGCCACCCCGCACCGCCTGCTGCCCCCCCCCTCCCCCACCTGCATGCCACCCCGCACCGCCTGCTGCCACCCCCCCCTCCCCCACCTGCATGCCACCCCGCACCGCCTGCTGCCCCCCCCTCCCCCACCTGCATGCCACCCCGCACCGCCTGCTGCCCCCCCCCCTCCCCCACCTGCATGCCACCCCGCACTGTAACGAGGCAAATCGCGCCTCAGGACATCAAGCGCTTTTTCCTCTTGTTACAGTGGTGCGAATTGCCAGGACCCACGGGAAGTCCTCCCAAAGTGAAGGCCCCCGGATCAACCCCGGACTAGCGCACAAGGGGAAGTTACCTCCTCTTTGGAGCCTCTATGGGTGGATATCCCGTGAGCAGGCAAGGTCACTCAAGGACGGAACAAAGCCAAAAAGTCTTCCAGATTCCAACAGAGGGCTTTCCGGACAAAACAATATGCCTGGGGAGCCTCACGAGGACGTTCGCTGCAGGGGGGGAGGAGTGTAACGAGGCAAATCGCGCCTCAGGACATCAAGCGCTTTTTCCTCTTGTTACACGCACCGCCTGCTGCCCCCCCCCTCCCCCACCTGCATGCCACCCCGCACCGCCTGCTGCCCCCCTCCCCCCTCCCCCACCTGCATGCCACCCCGCACCGCCTGCTGCCACAGCTCCGGTACGATGTTGAGGGTGCGGAAGTTGCAGTAGGCGCGCACCTCCGCCACCCGCCCGCCACCGCCCAGCGCTGCAGCCTCGGTCCTGTGACGAGGGAGGAAGGGAGGCAGTGAAGAGGGTGTGTGTATGTGTGTGTGGTGTGTGTGGGAGGGATGGGGGTAAGTGGGGTGGGGATCTGGTCCGCCCCTCACCTCAGCCCCCCGCCCCTGCCCCACCTCAGCCCTCTTTCCTCCACACCAACACCCAAGTGACCCCCGCCCCTCACCTCAGCCGCTCCACCAGCCGCCTGTGGTCCAACACCAGCGGATACTTGTTGTCAAGGTCCCAGAACACGTACACCGGCGGCTGAGAGTCAGGCGGCGAGCTGGAAGAGCCAGCTTCAACAGGCGACGAGCTCGTATCTGCTGGATCGTCTGGCAATGCAAAGGCGGAGGTAGGGAACTGTTCTTCAGTTACTCTAAAGTCTCGATGTTCGTTGCTCGCGGTTCTGCTGCAGGTCGCGGTGTGCACATATGGGTCGCAGTATGATGGGTCTCAAGAATTAGCTGCATAACTTCAGGTGCCATAGATGCTAAATTGTTTCATCGTAAAGAGGAAATTACCACAACACATGCGGTACTTGTTTACCATTTTTAGCGGCGATCCTCAGACCTTTCAACAATTCCTCGCGTTTAGCTTTTTCCAATCTAGCTTGTAGACTAGCACGTCTCTCCTCTGGTGAGCGGCCATCAATAAACGCACATGTGGATGCCGAAGGATGTGGACATGTGCATTTGCCAAGTCGCGGTGCTCTGACCAAACAGTCTGTGGATAAGGGTATTGAATACCTAAACGGTGCTTTGCCGAACGGTCCAGAGCTTACAGCGGAGCAATGCCCTCCGGGGAACGAACGCGACAGCAACATTGGTGTAACATAGGCTATGGCAAGCGCATCAATTGCATGAAGAGCTTATGACGAAGTGTCATACCCTTGTAGTGGCCTTTCGGAATCTACATCGTTCACCTTTAAATGCCGTACACGTGAATCTGCGACTGAACCTGCAGCGCCTGATCAGGCGACCTCGCCACGTGCTTTTGCTCTGCCGGTAGTGGGGCTGCTTTTGCCGCTGCTTCATTGGTTTGGGTTGATGAAACGAACAGGGTTCTCCACTTGCACACACGGGGCTATAGCGAGCCGCATGGTCGCCTGCTGGTTGCCAACATGTGATGTCATCCTGGTGCCCGCCGCAGTGTATGGTGGTAGGCAGCTCACACAGGACTAGGGAGGGGCCGACGAGAGGCCGTGCTGCAGGGGAGGAGGACCCTTGGATCCTTGGTCCCTCCCTGTCCCTCCCGAGCCCTGGGCGACAACATCGCGAGGTCCCGAGCTCCAGTTCCCCTTCCCTGCGCTTCCCCCCTCCTGGGGACAGCGTGCAGGCCGACACATGTACCTGCCTGTCCTGCGGTGCTGCCTGCAGGCCGTGTCCTCGCTGCGGGTGGGTGGAGGCGGAGGCTTAGCCCTTGAATCGCGGGTCGGTAGCTGCTGCCATCCCGCGGCTAAGTGCACGCACACTTCAATCCCATTTCCACGGTGAATAACCCAACAGCTGATTCCAACGGGCTCCACCCCAATGCTTCCCTAGCCCTCCTTGGGATTCTTTTTTAGGAAGCGGAAGGTACACTGGAGGACAGTAGTTCTTTTTTAGGAAGCGGAAGTTACACTGGAGGACAGTAGCTGAGACCATCGTCAGACGTACATTCTAACAGGGCGTCGACCGCCCTACCCCAGGGGGCACGCCGTGCACAAGGCAGGGAACCGTGCCCAACAGATACAGGGACAGGAAACTAGGTCCCAGAGAAACAACACAGAGAGGCTGCCAACCCAGCTCCCGAAAATCCGACATGCCGTTAGGAGGAAGAGCGTCAATGGACGGCAGAGCTCATAAACGTTTGGCGACACCAAGGCGCCTGGCACGTGACACGCGGGTGCGTTGGGAACGGAAGCTGATCGTCGATGCTGAGGGCGAAACCGCAGCGCGAAAGGATGCATGAAGACGGAGAGACCGTACTAACTGCAGATTGGACGGAGGAATACGGAGGGACCGCAATTATGTGAGACACCGCTGTGTTGTAAACGGGCCGCAGCGACAAAAAACACATGAAGAAAACGGTGAAGAACATAAATCTAATTGTGCTTATTAGGAAAAGAGGCGATGCGACAAGTGCAACGCGGTTATTCAACCAACTGTGGCCTCAGCCCCCTGACCGCCCTCCCAACATCTGCTACCCATACCCCTAACCGGTACATGTTCATTTCTTAGCAATCCATACTGGGGTAAAGCAAGATAAGGCAGTGCTAGGTGTGCGGCACATAGTAACGGTCGACGAACTGTAGCCTGCGGCTGTCCTTTTTACTTTTTGTGTTTGTGACGCTCTACCGCCTCCCATCCCCTTTGTTTTGCCCTTACTGTGATTTCCGATGGTTTGGTAACTTGGTATGTTGTTTATTCCCCATCCGCTACCCGCCTGCCCTCTCAAAGACCCTTTCCCAGAGTAGAAATGTTTACGGGAAAAAAGCCCACCAACGAGTATTGAACTAGAAGGCGTGATGAATGGCGTTCATCTGACCAGCAGGCCAGGAGGCGCCTCATCATCTTTAGCCATCCAATGTCCCCCACCTCCCTCCCCCCACGCCCAATCCGCGCTGTGCGTGAGAGGCCGTGCAGACCAGCCCCTCCCCTAACCGTAGGTGGCAGCACTTGACTTGATGCGTTGTCGGGTTTACTAGAAGCACGGGGAGGGTGCGTGTAAAACGAGGCCCTTCCCTTACCACAGCCATGATGAGGAACCCAATGGTAAAGCCCCGTCATACAGCTCGTGAGATTCCTCGATTTACCACCCCCCACCGCTGTGCTCGAGCGGCCGTGCAAGCCACGAGGCCCCCTTGCCCCCGAAACGGTACCCTTCCCAGGAGTGCAATCCCGCAGCTAGCCTTTACTTGGTCCCCATGCCGTGAGCTAGCAAAGCTGGCAAGGCATGCGCAAGCGCAAGCGCCCCTCTTTTTCCTATCGTCAGTTCGTCACCAACGACTGCCATGTACTATGTGCCCTTCCGTTTGCTTCGTACCATACCATGATTGCTGCAAGGACCCGTGTTTTTGTACAGCTGAACAATACACCTCAAGTTGCCTAAGAAAAGAGTAACGGGCCAAGGGCTAAGTTTCCCATGTTGTAAAAGGGTCTGATGAGGTCTAAGCACATGCCTCAGTATCACTTCAATCCACGTATGAGATTCAGCAGGCCGCCTGCCCTCCAATACCGGTAGAATGTATGCATCTATGCCGCAACACGCGCAAAACGACACACACACATTCCAAGGCTGGGCTACAGCCCAATACCGGTAACTGGCGGTTTCTTCACGGAGGCCTTGCATGGGATTCGAGGGCTAGGTCAATCTAATTTGGTTAGTGCATGCACCTGTAACAGTCCACGTCGAAATGAACACCAGAAGAGCTGTGGGGATCCCGACTACCGGTATTATCCGGCCTACCCAGCCCCACCTCACCCAGGGTCTCACTCTGTTGCCGCAGCCGCCGCACACCTGCTGCGGCATCATATCCCAACCAAGGGCATACTGCCGCCCAAGGGCATATCGTACCCCACCCAAGGGTACCCAAACAGCTGTTGGTCCGGGATGGTGCTCCCCGAGCGAGCTATCTCCACCCTCTGACGGCCCATCCCCGCGACACCCCCAACATGCGTCTACTTCTGCGCACACACAACGACGCCCCTCAGCAGCAGCCAGCGCAACAGAGCAGCGCACCTACACGCCCTCATCTCAACGGGCATCACACCGGTACCCACCCGACAGATGTGACCCCGCCGGAGCAGCCCCGCTGCTGCCGGCCTAGCAGCAACGTGTGGCGTCCGCCCTCACCCTCACAGCTCCCCCAGGCTCCACTTCTTCTCCCTGCCCTGCTGCCGCTGATACCGCGGCTGCTGCTGTTGCCCCTGCCGCTGCCCCTGCCGCTGCGGGTGCTGCCTCCCTGCACCCCCACCCCCACCACTCACACCCCTGGCTGCACCACCAACCCCACCACCGCCACCGCCACCACCACCGCCACCACCACCAACACCACCAACACCTCCTCTGTAGTAGCCCTCGCGACTCCCACTGCCGCCTCCGGCTCCAGCACCCCCGGCGCCCGCACTGCTACCGCCACCATCACCACCACCACGCCCCACAACGCCCTGACCACCGTCCTCGCCCGCTCCGACTCCCCTTCCATCCGCTGCCGCAACAGGTGCGCGTGCATGTGCTGCATGAGGAGGAGCAGCGCCTCCTCCGGGTGGGGGTGCGGGGACTGCGGCCGCCTCGCTGCTCGATGACCCATGGGTCACCTCGCCTGCTGTAGCAGCAACCGCAGCATCGTCCCTGGCGTCACCATGCCCCTCCATGGGTGATGATGAGCCACAACCGTTTCCCGCAAAAGCGGGCCCGGCTCCTGTTGCTGACGACGATAGGAGCTTGTTGAGGGCTGAGGAAGCCGACGCGGGTAGTCCCCAGCTCGAGGAGGAGGGGGCAAGGAATGCGGACAGCGAGGAGGGGAAGGAGGAGGGTGCAGCGGTGGAGGAGGAGGCGGGGGAGGTGGGGGAGGGCGCTGCCCGGTAGCCCATGATGTGGGTTGTCTTGATGTACAGCACCATGCCGACGAACAGCAGCGACACCGCCAGCAGCACTCCGCAGCTCAGACAGAAGGTACCGCGCGACCTGAAGCCAAGGAAGCGGGGTGGGTGGGAGGGGGGAAAACAAATGATAAGTGCAGCAACAGAGTCCCAATCCCGAATCACGACTCATGCAGGGAGGGGTGGGGCATGCAAGCATGCATACATGCCACAGTCAAAACCCTGGCGGGCTTTTAAAGGCTGTCCCACCCCAACCAGGCTGCCAGCTACTCCAACCTACGGGCTGCGCTTACTACTGGTATCTAATAGTATCCTACACTCTTCATTCCCTGGATACTTTACCATCAACGTATAATCCACATTGCTATCTTCTGCTGGACGCCAACGGGTCATCCTATGGTCACGGTCAGTGGTTCCTCGCGGCTCAGTTTATCTAACCCCCCTGCCCCTGCCCCAAACCCTCGCCTCACCCACCTCTTGACTTGCTGCCCCGCCGCCTCCGCATTCCTCTTGGTTCCCTGCAGGCTGCCCTCCACCGCCGCCTCCGCCCCCGCCAGCAGCCGCCCCCGCGCCTCCACCTGCCCCGCCATGCCCGCCGCGTTGGCCCGCAGCGCCGCGCTCAGCTCCGCCAGCTCGTCCGTGAGGGCGGCCTGGACCGCCTCTGCCTCGCGCAGCCTGGGGGGAGGCGCCGGGATGGGGAGGGAAGGGGGGAAGGGGGGCGGTGAGGAGGACGAACAGGGTAGCACCACAACCATACCGGTGGCAGCAGTAGAGGCGGCGAGGGAGGGGCACGCGAGCGGCGAGGTAGCGCAGGAGGCGGTGTCGCCTGTGTGCTGGTTTGGCTCGGCTCTGTGGACTCGGGAGCTAGGGGAGCTAGGTAGGAAGAGGGAAGTAGCCCGGCCCAGCCCAGCCCAGCCCAGCCCAACCGAGTCGCACGTGCTGCTGTCCAGGTGAGTCTGCCAGCCTGTCTGCCACTGCCCCACTGCCGCACCCCCTCTCCACCCCTCCCACCTTTGGGCCGCTGACGCACTGATCCCCGCCGCCGCCGCTGCCCCCCCTTGCCCGCCGTCCTCGCCACCGCCTCCTCTTCCTCCTCCGGGGGGCGACAAGGCCGGCCTGGACAGCGCAAACACAGGGCTTGCTACATGGTCAGTACTATTACGGTGCGCGCCTCACCTTACTCTGCAGCCAGTTATTCCAAAACACACAGGCGGGTTGACACGCGGTCCCGCGCCACCAGGCTGTGCGGATGCCACCATGGAGTGTACGGCAACATGTGTACGGCATGCAGGTCAAGAGAGGCCCCTCTTACCTGGACGATGGAGGCGGCGGTCGAGGTGGGACGAGGAGGGGAAACTGAGATAGCAACCCGGGGGTGGCGACTGCCGTACCACGGCTATTGCTGCTGCTGTTGCCGTACATTGAAGGGAGTGAGGTACCGCTACTACCGGTGCCCCCGCAAACGGCAGCAGCAGCAGTGGCAGCAGCTGAACCCGGTGTGGTGGTGGTGGTGGTGGTTGTGATGAGGTTCTGGCAGTACGGCGGCAGGGGCACCTTGGGTACGGCAGTGGCGATCGCCTTGACGTGCGCGTCGTACAGATCTAGTGTGGCACCGTCCAGCCTGCACAGGTGGTGTAGGGTGGCGGTGGTGGTGAGGGTGGCGGTGTACCGGTGGCAGCAGCCCTCACCGCTAAGCTCCGCCCCGCCCCACATGCCGCCCCCCCTGCTCTTATCTATGACTCCCCCCGGGGCTCATCTAGCCCGGCGGGACCCCTCACACTGACTCCTCTCCTCGGCTGCTGCAGGCAGGCAGAAGACAGGCAGGCCTCCCACACCCCAACGCAACGCTTTGGAGGTAACCAACCACCCCAGCGGCCCAGCCGCTCCCCATGGTGACGCCTTGGCAAGCAGGACAGGATACAGCTCTCGTCCGTCTCTTCCCATGTTCCGCCCCAGCCTGCAGCCCCCCCCACCCCCACCCCCCTCCTCCCACCCGCCCACCCACCCCAGGCTCTCCCGCTGCGCCCGCATCTCCGCCAGCTGCTCCCGCAGCGTGTCCACGTACTGGCGGCATGGGCGGGGGGTCGGGGGGAAGGAAGCTAACTGGAGGAAGCGAAGAGGGGGCAGGTTTGGGCGAGGGAGGAAGGGAGGGGGGGGAGGGGGCGGTGCAGGCCCCTCTCTGAGAGCCAGGAGGCCCACTTGGCGCCAGCGCACCGCCCTTCCAGGGGGCCACACGTACCGCCCAGGGGGGTCACTAACACCTCAGCCCGCACCCCGACCAACAACCCCACCAACCCCCCAGCCCTGCAACCCCATGTCCCCCACCCCGGCCCCGGCCCCAGCCCGGCTCCTACTCCATCCTCTACCCCAGCATGTACCCCAGGCAAGCCCAGCCCTAACCCCAGCCCAGCCTTTACCCCAGCCCAGTCCAGCCCAGCCTTTACCCCAGCCCAACCCAGCCCAGCCCAGCTTGGAGCATATGCCTTCTCACATGTCGCATCCGCAGCAGCAAAGCCGCTGTGTCGCTGTCTGCACAGTCACAGCCGCTGCCGGTCGCCGCAGCCCTTCCACCCGCAGCAGCACCACTACTGAGCGGATCCCCGTTTGACTTGACCACATCGGCACCCCCGCTTGCGCTTCCAGTAGCGGCGGAGGTGGCGGTGGCGGTAGCAGCGGCGTCCAGGGTTTGAAGGTGCCTACATTGCCGCAGCAGCATGCAATTAAGCTTCGGGCTTGGTGATGGTTTGCGCAGCAAGGGCACCTGCCCCAGCGGAGGCCATGACACAGAGCAACAAGTTTATGCAATAAGTCTACACAGCAGAGGACGCAAATTGCACGCACTTACTTTGTGCAGCAGTCGAGGAGTCGTCGAAATGACACTTCCAACCTGCTGCCCGTGGGATCTGGCAGCATAGTTGCTGTTGGCGGGATTCTCAGTGACGCCATATTTCCTCTAGTCACGCATATGAAGTAACTTGGCTAAAGCATGGGTGTAAGGTGTTGTGCAGTTGTCTAGTCCAAGATGACCTCAAGTATTGTTGCAGTGTGTAAACACTAAAAGTACTGAACGTAAATGTTGGCAGCACAACTGTATACACAATTAGGACGTACACGCGCTTTCGGGATTGGAAGCTGTGCAACTACCGTCGCGTCGCAAAGTGCGATTTATGGCATAGATTACACACGCATTATTTTGTTCCGTTTAGCCTTTAGAGATCAGCGTCCCTGGCCCTGGGGTAACGAACCCTTACAAACAACCTAGGTCTCTGAGGTACCCATCGGAGCTAGGTATTATGTTTTAAAGTAGTAGTCCAATTAACAAGAAGCTTTGATCTTCATATAATCCCTTGAGGTGCGGCAGGAGGAACTTGGGGGGCCCTGGGCCTTAAGCTCTGTCCGCGCTGGCATACGGACTTGTAGTTTGACATAACACCACCTAGTCTTCTCATGTAGCGCCTCTTTGCGCGTTTCGATTGTTCAATTGGGTCACTGTGATGTCTACGGGCAAGAAGTACACAACAACAAGTACACGGACTTAGTCGCCGGGCAAATACTATGCGAACTCTGATAGCAGCAGTCCTGACTGTCATAGCCACGCTTGTGGTCGTTCGTGGCAGGAATTGGAGGCGGAAAACGCGACAAAGGCCAAAGCTTGCAAGAGCGGATTCGGCCTACTCTTCTGAGGGCGCCGACAAGCGCCTCAGTGGAGCGGCCGCTTCCGCCATGGGATGTACTCATTCTTCATCGGCGAAAAGCAGCGGATCAGCTTCAGGTTCAGCAGCCCAGACGCAACCTGCCGGGCAGAACGATGTATCCTCCTCCGCGATTGTTGCTTCAGTTCACGCGAAAAGCAGCGATGGACCCGTTAAGCAGGTACGCTGCCTTCAGTGGTCCACAACTGCGTGCCGCTTGCTGCTGGGCTTTGAAACAGACCTGTATCCTTTATGTCCTCTTGTCAGGTCCGTGATTCAGTTCAAGACATAACTGCACATGAAGGCAAGACATATAAACAAAGTAAGCGACAGCGCTTTTTGTGGTCATACTGTCGGAACTTTTCGTTAGCGGCGCTCACTTTATGCTGTACGCTCTCGCAGCCCACAAGGCTAGCAGCAGCGCGGAGGGCTACGCAAGCGCCAGCGATGGAGGCAACGATGAAAGGTACGTGTCCTAGGGCTACTTTGGCGACCAAGTGTTCCGGTAACCCAACGTAACCCGCTGGCTGTGGCAAACACCGCTATGTTTCGGCATTACCCTTCTCTGTAGTCGCATTGGATAGGTGTCCGCAATCTAATAGGTTTCATGGGTTTTGTCGGATAAGCTTATGTCCAGAGGCTCACGCGACTGATGGACCATGGGTGCCGGCAATCGTCGAATGCCCAAACGTGCTCGACGCCACTCCATAATGAACTCGTCACGCTTTGCCCTTCCACACAGTATGCATCCATTTTGCCTTCGACCCGCACTTACACGTTGCAAGCCTCGCAACCCAATGCTGTTACATTTGCCTTATCCGGAGCCATCCGTCACCATTCCTCCTCCAAACTACGCTCCCTAACGTCCCGCCTCCCACAGACCAGCAACTTACCACAACCGCGACGATAAATGCACCGCCGCTAGCAGCCCGACCCACCAGCAACTAGGCAGCGGCCCCAGCCCCATCCACACGCATCATCACCAACCCACATCACCAGTAGCAGCAACATCCAACAATAATAATCACAAGCAGTCCTCCTCCGTTGACGCAGCCGGAGGCGCCGGAGGCGCTGCAATGTACGGCAGCCGCACCGCCAGCTGCGAGGACAGTCGCAGCGCGTACGGCAGTGCGCTGTACGGCACATTAGACCGCACGGGAAGTACGGCAACCACCACCACAACCCCAACCGCCGCATCCGAAGCTCATGCGGGCCAACAGCAGCAGGGCGCAGGCGGCGGCGGCCGCAACACCAGCCAAGACGCCCGGCACAGCAACCGCAGCAGCTTTGCAGCGGAGGGGCTCTCCCCCGGGGCCATCCGGGCAGCCTACGCTACCAACGGCAGCAGCGCGGCGGGGCGGGGTGGAGGCGGGCGGAGCGAGGAGGTGGCGGACGAGGAGGTGGTTCCTCCGCTGCCTCCCGCGGTGGAGGCGGCTCGGTGCAGCCGGCAGGCGCGGCTGAGCAGCATCCAGGCGGCGGATGTGATGGGGGTGGGCGGAGACAAGGCGGGGCAGGCGGGCAGAGGTGAGGGCTGGGCGGGTTAGGGGGGAGGGGGTTGGGGAAAGTAGGGCGGTTGGGATAATGCGAAGGGTACGGGCCCAGCGGGCGGCATGGGGCGGCATGAGGCAAGCGGCCATGTGCCGTACGGTCCTGTCTTGATGCGGACGGTCCTTCCCGGTGCAGCAGCTGGCAGCAGCAGCAGCCGGCAGATCCCGCATGCGTTCGCTGCGGCAGAGGAGCGGCTGCACCTCCTGCACCTTATGTCCCCGTCCAGGCTCGGCCCGTCCACACCACCTCTCCCACTATGCTCCGCCATCCATGAATTTCTTATATAATTTTTCCCACCCATCCCCCTGCTCCCCTCCCCACATGCTAATTCCACCCCGTCTTTCAGTTCGTCAGTTTTCCTTATTTTTATCCCTCCTATCCCCTCTCCCCCTACCTCCCCTGCACCCCCCAGCCCTGCCCGCCGCCTACGACCCGCTCCCCGGCTTCCAGCCGCCGGCCCCGCTGGCGGCCGTGTACCCGCTGCTGGGGGCGCTGCCGCCCGACACGCCCGTGCCGCTGGAGGTGCTGGCGCGGCTGTGGAGGGCGGGCGGCGAGGAGGAGGCGGCGGAGGTGAGGAGGGTCGGCTGGGGAGTGGATTGGAGGGTCGGCCCTCCCTACAGCCTTACCCCACGTTACGGCCTCCTCATAACATGTGTTTCGTTATTCTCCTCAACCTCCCCACCATAATGCACCCCCCGCCCCGGCCCTCTCAACCCGCAGCTGGCTCGCTGCTTCGCCGCCTGCGGCATCCTGCGCCTGGCCTCCCTGGAGGACGGCAGCTGCTGGGCGCTGCCCGCCCCCGCCCATGTGGCGCATGCGGCGGCGGTGTGGCCGGGGGCGGTGGCGGCGGTGCATGGGCAGCTGCTGGAGGCGTACTGCGGGGGGAGGGGGGGAGGGGGAGGGGCGCTGGAGGGGCTGAGGGACGATGGGTATATCATACAGGTGAGGGGGGGAGGGAGGGAGGGTAAAGGGGAAGCACAAGGGTCCACCATGCGTTGGGACACGGTGGAGGGGTGGCACAAGCATGAGGAGGGAGGGCGCTGGGGAAGGGGGGGGGGCTGTGCATAGGAGAGGGTTGCTCATGGGAGGTTGGGTTAAGGAGGTGGATGTAGGCAGTTCGGGGGCAAGCGAGCGGAGCTGAGATCCAGGAATGCTCTTCCTCTCCTTCCTCCTGCCGGACGAGTCCCCTCTCCGCCCATCCGCCCCAACGACACTGCACCCTGGACAAACCCCAGTGCGCTGGCTTACCCTGGGTTACAACGGCGCCCCCCCTCCCCTCTCCCCATCCCCCCTCCCAGGCCCTGTCCCACCACCTGGTGGGGGCGGGGCGGCTGGACTCGCTGCGGCAGCTGCTGATGAACCCCGGCTGGCTGGAGGCCAAGCTGCACGCGTACGGGGTGGGGGCGGTGGTGCGGGACTTCAGGAGGTGAGGGGGCGGGGGGGGGGGGGAGGAGGGGGGGGGGAGGGGGGGAAGGAGGGGGGGGGGAGGGGGGGGGAGAAGCATGTATGGGGGAAGGGGGAGGGGGTGTTGAGGCTGGGGTGGCGGGGGTGCTGTGACGGGTGGGTGCCCCCCTTCCCCCGCTGCTCCACGAGTCCCACCCTTACCCCCCGCCCCCGCCCCAACCTTCGTCCCCACCCAGGTACCTGCAGGAGGCCGCCAACGACAGCGAGGCGGCGGATGTGAAGCTGCTGCTGCAGGTGAGGTGGCGGGGGGGGGGGAAGGAGGGGAGGGCAGGGTTGGGAGTTCCAAGAGGTGCTGCATGCGTGGCCAATGTGGTGCAGCACACACCTCCTCTACCCCGTGTAGGGTGTTCTGCTTGCCCTCCTAGAGCTCCGCGCCGCCCCGTTTACTGGCCCCCCTCTCCCCCTAATCCCCGCTTCCCTCCCCCACACCAGGCCTTCCAGCTGAGTCTGGGCGCCGCCATGGCCCACCCCGCGGCTCGCATGATGCGCGAGCAGATGCTGGCGCGGCTGATGGCGGTTGCGGAGCGGGGCAGGCTCAAGGTGGGGGTGGGGGTGGGGGAGGGGAGGGAAGGGCGATCAACAAGCGTAGCCGGTTGTGGCTACAAATAACGACTTGTGTGTACAAATGGCACCGAAACGCGCTGTGCTAGGGCTGTCTGGGTCTTCGTTAAGTGTCTCCCCCTCCCCCCTCCCTCTTTACCCTCCCCCCTCCCCCCCCTCTTTACCCGCCCCCCCTTCCCCCCCCTCCTCAGGACTGGTTTGAGGAGCAGACCGCCAAGTGCGCCGCGGAGGGCATGCTGGCGGTCAACTGCCGCCTGCTGCACCTCATGCCCCGCTCGCCCAGCCTGGCGCAGGTGGGGGGTGGGGGGGTGGGGGGGGAGGGAAGAGGGAGAGAGGGGTGTAAAAACATATAATGAGACACTGACGATGCAACTGACGAGGGAGAGAGGGGTGGGGGAGGGAGCTGTGGAAAGAGGCGGGGAGAGGGAAAAGAGAAAGAGATCTTGTACTTTGCAACAGCCTCCCCATCCTCCAGTATTCTACGATCAGGGTCATTCCTGGCGGCTTAGATTATTTTCCAACACCTTGGGTCTTCTTCTCCGCCCCCCCCCCAGGCTGGCGGTGTGCAGCGCATGACGCTCCGCGGCCACTCCGGCCCCATCCGCCGAGTGGCGCTGGCACCCAACTGCTGCGAGCTGGTCACCATATCGGATGATGGCTCGGCGCAGGTGGGGAGGGGGGAGGTGGGAGTGGAGGTAGGTAGCTGAAGGGTGTGGTAAGAGAGGAAAGGGGTCGGTCGCCCTGTGTTTGTCCCTGCTCGTACGGTTACCGCCGCCGCCGCCAGTGACCATCTCTTTCTCTTGGTAATAAAAATAAAACTTCCTGCATTTATCTATATTTCCCCCCCCCCTCCCTCCCCTGCCTCCCCTCCCCCCCTGCCTCCCCCTCCCCCCTAGGTGTGGGACATGAACATCGGCGACTGTGTGATGCAGCTGGCTCGCGACGCGCCGCTCACCGCGGTGGGGGTCACCCCCGACAGCGGCGCGGCGGTGGTGGCGGCGGCGGACGGCACGGCGGCGGTGTGGAGCCTGGCGGCGGGGCAGGTGACGCACACGCTGGCGGGGCACAGCGCGCGGTGAGGGGGAGGGAGGGGGAGGGGAGGTGATATGGATGTTCTGCGGGGGGTGAGGGGAGGGGAGGGGTGGTCCTGCGGGTGGCGCTGCCCCCCTCTGCTGCGTCCCCGGCTGGGCTGCTACTGCTGCTCGCCTGTGGGCCCCTGTCTTGTGGGCCCCCCGTCATGAGCCTCATGACACATCCCCGCTCCCCTCCTATGGTTTCCTATAGTTCGTTATGGTCTTTGACTCCCCCATCCCTCCTCCCCCCTGCCTCCCCCCCCCTCCCTGCAGCATCACCTGCCTTGCCATCGACAAGCAGGGCATCCGGGTGGTGACGGGCAGCGACGACCGCACCGCGCGCGTGTGGAACCTGTCGGACGGCAGCTGCGAGGCGGTGCTGGCGGGACATGGGGGGGCGGCAGGTGGGGGGGAGGGAGGGGTGTTGGTGGGACATGGGGGGGCGGCAGGTGGGGGGGAGGGGAGGGGTGCTGGCGGGACATGGGGGGGCGGCAGGTGGGGGGGAGGGTAGGGGTGCTGGCGGGACATGGGGGGGCGGCAGGTGGGGGGGAGGGGAGGGGTGCTGGCGGGACATGGGGGGGCGGGGGGCGGGACATGGGGGGGCGGCAGGTGGGGGGGGGCAGGTGGGGTTGCTGGGTAGCTGGGGATGGGATGCCTTCATCATGTCATGCATGGCTATTGCGTCACATTTCCTATCAGCACCCCCCCTTCCACGCCCCCCTCCTCCCCCCCTCCCCCTCCAGGCCTGGTGGGTGCCGTACTGGACGTGTGTGTATGTGCCGACGGCACGCTGGCGGTGAGCACCTCTGACGACTGGAGTGCGCGGGTGTGGGATCTGGACGAGGACGGCGAGCTGCTGCACGTGCTGGAGGGGCACGGCGGCTGGGTGACCAGCGCGGCGTTCGTGGGGAGCAGCCACCGGGTGGTGACGGCGTCGCATGTGAGGGAGGGGGGTTCGGGGGGATTGGGTGGGGGAGGAGGGGAGGGAAGAGGTAATTGAGCCATTTGACAGAGGGGAGAGGGGGGGGCAAGGGGACAAGAGGGTCCCTCCTTCCAGTGCGGAAAACACATCTCCTCCCTCCCTGGCTCCCCCTCACTCCCCCCCCCCCCTCCCTCCTCACTCCCTCACTCCCCCCCCCCCCTGGGCCCCCCCCAAACAGGACTCCACCGCCCGGCTGTGGGACGCGCTGAAGGGCCGCTGTCTGGCGGTGCTGGCGGGTCACTCCGGGCGGCTGAACCGCGTGTCGTGCGACCCGGGGGGCAGCTGGGCGGTGACGGCGAGTGACGACTTCACGGCGCGGGTGTGGGACTGCGAGAGCGGCGAGTGCAAGCTGGTGAGATGAGGAGCGGGAGGGGGTGTGGGGGGGAGGTGAGGGTGGGGGGGGGGTTCGGAGATATACCGAAACCACGGGTTAGGGCAATGGGGATAGGTTGGGGCTAATTGGGGATAGAGGGAAGCAGTCTGTCACGAAACAAACGAAACCTGGTTGTGTGAAGAGCGGGGCGAAATGGGGGGGAGGTAGGGGGTGATGGGGGACAGGGCGAGGGGGAGGCAGTGGTGCGGGGCTGCCGGGTAGCCGCATCGCGGGCACCCCTGGGGTGGGTCCGCGCTCTTTTCCGCTCCCTGCTTGAACCCCTCCCACGGGCCTGCACCCCCCCCCCTCCCCCATGCAGGTGCTGGAGGGTCACGGGGGCCACGTGACGGATGCGGCCATCACCCGGGATGGGCACAAGGTGGTGACTGCGGCGGGTAAGGCGGAGGGGAGGGGGGAGAAGGTTTGGGAGGAGACAGGGAAGGGAAGGGGAGGAAAATATATGAAGAATGAAGCTACTGGAGTCCCAATCCCAGGGAGGGGGAGGGGAGGGGACCAAGACGCGATGTCAACTTACCGCCTAGCCTGGCTGCCAGCCCGGAAGTACATGCACGACCGGTTATTTTCCAAGTCATAATTAACACGCAAAGGTTCGGTTGGGGCTCTCCTGCGGAGAAGGGGTTTCATAGACGCGCAGCCTTTCTTCCGCTGCATGCGTGGCACCCCACTCACCCTTTTCACCCCCTCACCCCTCACCCCACCCTCCTCACCCCAAATCCCACCCCTCTCACCCCACTCCTCCCTTCTCACCCGGTCCCAGGCGACGGCACCTGCGCGGTGTGGGACATGGCCACCGGCCGGCGGGAGGCCCTGCTGGAGGGGCACACGGGCGAGATCTCGGCTGTCGTACTCACACAGCGGGGGCGCTTCGCCGTGACTGCGGGGGAGGACTGTACGGCACGCGTGTGGGATCTGGCGGCGGTGGCGGAGGCGGCACCACCTCCCCCCACGCATGGCGGCGGGCGCGTGGCTGCGCTGTCTGCGCTGCCGGACGGGCAGCTGGTGGTGTCTGCGGGGGACGATGGGCGCGTGTACCTGTGGGACCCGGTGGAGGTGAGGGGCTGGGCAGGGGGAGGCGGCAGAGGGGGGCGGTGGGTAGGGACGGTATGGGGTGGGTGGGGGTGGAGGCAAGCTGGGGTTGGCGAAATAGAAGGGAGGCGGACCCCTCCCCTGCCTGTTCCCCTCTCCCCCTGCCCTCCCCCTCCTGCTCTCCATACGGTTTGTACCTAATGGTGAAGCCTACATGTCATACAGCTGGTTATTTTATTGCTCGTTATCCTCCCCTTCAACCCCCCCTCCTCCTCCCCCCCACCCCCAGGGCACCTGCCTGAAGCGCATGGAGGGGCACCGCGCGGGGGTGCGCTTCATGCGCGTGTCGGCGGACGGGGCGCACGTCGTCACCGGCAGCGGGGACAGACAGGTGGGGGTGGGTTGGGTTTAATTTGGAGACGTAATCCGTTGGTACGCGAGGGGTGGTGCAACTGGAAGACAGGGGGAGGATGGGGGGAGGGAGGGGCGGGGAATGCATGTGGGGGGGGCGAGGTGTTCTCGTATGCATCCGTGAACTCCTCCCTCACACAGCACCGTTCATGGGCCATGGCTCTGCCTCTCATGCAGGCCCTGCCGTCCTGAAGAAGTGAAGAAGAGCATCTGGTGTCCCCCTCCCCCCCTCTCCCCCATGTACACCTCGCTTTGAGCTATCCTCCCCTCCCCTCCCTCCCCCCATCCTCCCCCTGTCTTCCAGTTGCACCACCCCTCGCGTATCTTTTCCAACCCCCTCCCTCCCTCCCTCCCCTGCCTCCTCCGCCCCCCAGATCTGCCGCTGGAACTGGTCCGCCTACTCTGCTGCCGCCGCCGCCGCCTCGCAGCGCCGCTCCCTGGAGCGCCGCGACTTCATGCTGCACACGCTGCTCACCTCGGGGGGCGGACACACCTGCGCCTCCTCCTCCGTGGGCGGACACAGCGGCAACACCACCGGCACGGGAGCGGTGGGCGGGGGAGGAGGGGGAGCAGGAGGGGGAGCAGGAGCGGCAGGAGGGGTGAATGGCGGCGTGTCAAACCGGACCAGTGAGGAGGATGACCCCATGACGGCGCTAGCGGCGCTGAAACCTCCGGGAGCAGGTGCGGCAGGGGCCCCAGCTGCAGGGCCGGCGGCAGCGGCGCCGACAGTGCCGGCGGCGGCGGCGGCGGCGCAGACACCGCTATCCGCGCTGCCCACTCGTCTCTTCAGCCCGCCGACGGGAGCAGGAGGGGCAGGCGGCGCCGCCAGCCCCTTCTCAGCAACAGCAGCCGGCGGCGGCGGCGGCCCCTCCTGCGGCATCACGGGGTCCAGTCGGAGCCTGGCGGATGTGGTTTCGGGGCTGCATGCGGACCCCCTCCGCGCCAGCATGCCAGCTCAGCAGGGCAGCCGTGTCAAACACATGGCGTTCGACGCGTCATGCCGTACGGCAGCTGTGTTGCTGTACGACAGCACAGTCAGCATTTGGGACGTGGAGAGCGGTCGTTGTACGGCACAGTTGATACGGCGGGGGGAGCGCGACGCGACGAGGACGCATAGCGGCGGAGTAAATGCGGTGTATTTGACACGGGATGCGAGTACGGCGGTGACGATTAGCAAGGACTGTACGGCAAGGGTTTGGGACGTGCCAACTGGTGAGTAGTCTGGGTTGGGTTGGGTTGGGTTTTATTGCGCCTAGTAGGTGCTGATGCGCAGGCTTCGCACGACTTGGGTGCCCTCCCCTTTCCCTTTTCCACAAGCGCCTGCCTTCGCAAGCTTCTTGCAAACCCTGACACACCTCCCCCTCCCATGTCGCCGCCCTCCCGCCACCCCGCCTCGCCGCAGCCACCACTCGCTACGTGGTGTCGGGCCACACGGACGGTCTGGTGGCGGCCGACATCTCGGGGGACGAGGCGCTGCTGGCAACCGCCGCGTACGACAAGACTGTACGGGTAACTCGGTTGGCGGTTGGTACGGCGGTTGCCGTACTGGACCACCCCCAACCGCCAACCTCCGTGAGCTTCAGCCCGGACAGCCGGCGGATGGCGGTTGGGCTGGAGGACTACACAGTGGTGCGTCGGGGTGGGGGGCTAGTGTCTTCTCGTACAAATACGTTTTCTCCAGCTTCATGTATGGACGGGGGTATCCCGGATGGTTCTTGTGGGCGCCTGCTGCTGCTCCTGCTGCTTTGCTCCTGCTGCTTTGCTCCTGCAGCTTCTTCCGCTCCTGCTGCTCCTGCTGCTGCTGCGGGTTTTTTCTCTGACCCTCGACTCTCCCCCCTCCCCTCCCTCTCCCCCCTTCCACAGGTTGTGTGGGACCTGGTGGGGCGCAGCTGCCTGCCCTCCCTGGACGCGCACAAGGCCCCCCTGGCGGTCCTCACCTGGTCCCCGGACAGCCGCTTCCTGCTGACCGCGGCGCAGGACTGCACGCTGCGGCTGTGGCGGGCGGCGGACGGGCACCAGCAGGCCTTCTTCATGGGCGATGCGGCGCTGACGGCGGCGTGCTTCGCGGGGCACCCCTTCAGCGACATCGTGGTGGCGGGGGACGCGGCGGGGGCGGTGCACTTCCTGGACTTTGCGGAGGAGCTGCAGGGGTGAGGGGGGAGGGAGGATGAGGAGGGGGGGAGAGGAAGAGGAGGAGAAGGGAGGAGGAGAGGCGGGGGAGGTGCATTTGAAAGGAGGAGAGGAGGGGCAGTGGTCCTCCTGTGGCACGTAGGACGCAGAAGAGACAGAGATGATTACCTATCTACCTACCGACCGACCATCCTGTTGCTGGCGTTGTTGATGTTGGCGGATGGTGGTGGTGGTGGTGGTATGCAGCGGTGTGCAGCGGTGGGTTCACCATTCGTACGGCTGCTGGGCACTACAGAGAGAAGAACATACTCAAGGAGAAGAGGTTACCCTAGCAGCAGTAGTCGCACTGCTCAAGAACGGCAACGGGCTGTGAGTGTGCATTCATGGGCATGTGTGGTAGGAGCAGAGCGGGGGGTGTCTGGGCCGTGCAACGTGTATGTGTGTGGGTAGGGAGAGGTGGGTAGGGAGAGGTGGGCACTCTGCGGCCAGCTGCAGGTTGACACCGCTGGCTGGGCCGCTACCTGGGTCACCACCGCTGAACGGGGAGGGCACCCTGAAGGGGGCACGCAGCGGTGCAGGGGGGGGGGGGGGACGTCCGTCCCGCTCCCATGCGCTGCCATGCGTGTCGGAGGGGAGCTCGGGCTAGGGCTGGCCGCTGCGGGTTGAAGGTGATGCGGCGGCGGTGCTGCTGATGGGGCCGGGCTGGAAGGGTGGGCAGTGGGGTTGAGATGAGACAAGGTGGATAGGGGAGGGGCGAGAAGGAGGGGGCAAGGCAGGCGCGGACAGTGGGGATCGTTAGTTGAACAAGCGATTTCCGAAGGTGTCGAATGTAAACATCGTAATATGCATCACATGGCTCTATGGTTATTGGAAGTAAGGTTTTATGCACGGCTTTTGGATGCTGGTTTGCCCGCGGGGATGCGGGTTTGCAAACAACGTTGCTGCGCTGACGTTTGTTGCTTTTGCGTTGCTGATGCGTGTGCTGTTCTATCGTTGGGGAGTAGTTGCTGTTGTTTGCTGCAGCTCTAGAGGACTTCTGAGGACCCATGTGCATGTATATGTGGGAGGGTGGGGGGCTGCGGGTCTTGCGGGAAACCTGCTGGGTTGGGCGGGTGTCATGCATACCCGTGTCATGCCTACCGGGACAGGACAAGAACGAATGGCCAAGACGAAATGATTGATGTATTTTGTTGCTCGGACAAGTCCCGCACCATCAAGACTAGGAGCTGCATAGCCCCACCCCTTCCCCTTAATTGCTGAAGCTTACCTAGCTTGCCTGCCGCTGTCTTTTCTGCTACATACGGCTGTCGAGGCTGTTGAGCGGGGAGTCACAGAAACATTTATAGCGGGCGGGGTACGTGAGGACCTCTGTTGAAAGGAAGAGTATGGTTCCACGTCTATTGTGTTTTGCTTTTGGAAGAGGGACACGTACTGCTGCTGCTGCTGCTGCTGCTGTTCAACCGATGCTGTAGCTCCGCCTCATCCCACTTGGGCGTGCTGGTGTGATGCCGGGTTCGGGAGGCAGAGGAAGCAGGTGTTCCGCTCCGCTAGGGCCGCACGTGCTCTGCTGTGTCCCGGTGTTTCTTTGCGCGCGTGCGGGTGGCAGCAGCCGGTGAACCGCCTCCGCCAGCACCCCGCACTGCACTACAGTGTTGAGTAGGTCACTGGGCAGCAGCAGAGCTCCTGTCTGGTAGTTTGAGGGGGCGGCCAAATGCTGTGTCGCTGTTGCAGGTGCTGTTGTTGTTGCCTGCAGGGCGCCGCAGCGTCATTAGACCTTACCTTTTGTTGAGAATGTATGCTCAGATGTTGACTGTGGTTAAAGACAGTGAGTCGTATAACATACCATAGTTGTGCACATAATCGTACTTTGGTGCGAAACCGTGCAAAGGTAGCCCTGTTGTGCGGTGGTGGTTAGCTTGTGCTCCATAAGTGTTAACCTACGTTACCGAAACGGTGTTTTCCCCGCCCGCTGGAAACAGTGTTTGACATGGTAGCGCCTGTGTGGGAGCGGGATGCGGTGCGGTGCGGTGCGGTGCGGTGGGGTGGGGTGGGGGCAAAAGAGGAGCACAGCGCCTGTCAACGCCCTAGTACCCCTTCCCTGTGTGCTGCGGCGGCGGCAATAATACATGTGAATAAAAGGCCGCGGATTTATGGACGGTGGGGGGCATCAGATAGCACAGGGTTTGCTGCTGCTGCTGCAGTTGCTGAAGAAGTGTTATTCTTCTTTTCCCAGGAGCCCCTGGCGTGTTAGTGTGCGAAGGCGATGGGAGGGATTAGGTAACTGAGCCGCGAGGGTGGGGTAAACCGAGAACGTTGACCACATGCAGCTGCTGCGCTCGCCCTCCCCTGTCACATGGGGGTTTCATCATCATCATAAGAACCCGTTGATGGATATAGATACAGATTTGAATAATAACTACTCCACCGTTGGTTGGGCGCCCGATTCAAGTCGCACGGCGTTGATAAATGTGCGGATGGACCCATGGGTCACCCCTAACCGCTGTTCTTGGTCTCTGCATGTTGCGGGACGCACACCTTGTGTGTATTTATGCTGTGTACGGCTCGGCCGCTATTGTTGCTGCCATTTAACAATACGAACAATACACTAGCGACGAAACACACAGGGGCTTATTACCACTCATTTTCAGTTCCGAGGGACGAGTTCTTTTGCTTGGCTGTAATGGCAACGCCCCTCAATCCCTCCATAGCCCCTGCTGCCAGTTTCCTGACCAATCTCTCAATGCAAAAGGACACAGCTGCGGCAGCACTACTTGAGCTTGCCGTACTAAATCGCCGTGCAAGTATACCGTACAGGAGCGAAGAGCGCAGCACGCGACACACGTGTCGACCCGACAATGCCGGGACCCGGTCCGCGCCGAAACACTGTAACATTGGCGCCAACGTCGCTTGGGAGTCGTACATATTCGTTAAATGGTTGCCCAAAACGATGAAGACAGCCGTAGCTCGCCAAAATAGCATCTCCGGACCTGCCTTGATATACCCATTACATCCCGAGCTGTAGCATAACAGGAGGGGTTTTGGAACAAATGCCTGAACCTTACCACACGTTATTACGTAGCGTTCGTCACTCAAGCAACTGTGCCCAGCGCCCCTGGCATACTTGCTACTGCCTACTTCAGTCCAACCATTCTGAACACTTTCCGGTTTCCACTTTCCGCAACACCGCTTTAGTAGTACCATCAGAGGCCACTGCACATATCCACGACGCGGCATCACCGCCTCTGTGCCCCTAGCCCGGTGCCGGTAGACGTGTACGGCAGCACACGAGCCCAGTTTGGCTCGAGGTTGCTGCAGCTTGTCCAGCTATACTTCACCGCCGGCTAGCGTCACAAGTGTTGTTTTGCATGCCGCACCACAATCGCTTGAAGCGTGCCTGCCCCTCCTTCCTGCCACCCCCCCCCACACACTCGCCAGTTTCCTCAACACACACCCACACACACTCGCTCTCCGCTCCTCCTTGCCGACTTCCAGGACTGCCGCCGCTTGCCGTCAAGCAATGCTCTCCCTCATACACTAGCTAATGTCAAAACAACAACCATGATGATGCAGGCAACGGTAAGTAACCAACCACGTCAACGGTATATGATGCATGCTGAGGGACAACCGCGACTCAAGGACTACAACCGCGCCTTCTGCGGCGCTGCTGCTGCTGTTGTTGCTGCTGCTGCTGCCACCGCGGTATCCGGCTCCTCCTCCCCCACCCTCGGCGCCTCTTCATCACCCTCCCGCCGCCCACTGCCGCCACCCCCTCCGCTGCTGCCCCCCGGGGTTGGCGGGTCCTGCTGCTGCTGCTCCGTCTGCAGCAGTGCGGTGATGTCAGCCCGTGTGAGCGTCTCTCGATCCAGCAGGGCGGCGGCCAGGGTGTGCAGGTCCTGGGGGTGGGGAGGGAAGATGAAGACCCAACGTGTTTGAATGATAATAGCAAACTATGGGACGGGAAGGAAGGAGTTAAAGAGGCGGGGTGCCAAGCTGAGCCTCACATGCATGCATGCACGCAGCTCTCGGACCGCAGGGCCCCCGCCCTAGCCCCCTCGCCATGCATGCAAGCAAGGTAACCCAGGCAGGACCCAAGGTAAACGCCACCCAACCCCTGAACACCCAACACCGCCCCCTCAAACCCCCCCCCACCTGCATCCTCTCCCCCAGCACCTCCCGCACCGCCCGCTTCGCCTCCACCAGCATCGCCGCCACCTCCGCGTCCACCGCCTGACGAGTCGCCTCACTCACTCCGCCGCCGCCGCCGCCGCCGTGTCGCTCGTCGGCGATGTAGACGGGCCCAATGGCGGCGCTCATGCCGCACTCGGCCACCATGTGGCGAGCCAGGCTGGTGGCCTGAATGGGGGGAGGGGGGGAGGAGGGGGAGGGCGAGGAAGAGGTTGGCAAGGCATGCAGGTGCGGGGTGCAGAGGCCATGGGGTGAAGGGCACTACAATCATTACTGGTATAATCCTCATACACCGCCCACCCCCACCTATCACTGCACCGTTTTGGGCACTATGACCCATGGGTCACCCCTCCCTCCCCCTCCCCCCCACCTGTCGCAGGTCATCCGTGGCCCCGCTGGACACCTGCTCCGCCCCCAGCACCAGCTCCTCCGCCACCGTGCCGCCCAGACACACGCGGATGCGCGCCAGCAGCTGCTGCCGGTTGATGGAGAACTCGTCGTCGCGACCCACCTGGGTTTTTGGGTGTTGGGGGGGGATTGGGGTGGGTGAGGAGATGGGAGGGGAGGGGGGTAATGATGGGAGGGGGGTAATGTGCAGTGGACTACTCCCGAGGAGAGGGTTGGCTACGGGGTTGACGGGGATGGGCAAGCAAGACGGAGGAGTGTCCTCCGGCGGACAGTCATGTCCTCATACCCTCATACCCACCAGGAATTGGATCAGTATATGTGCGATCGTGCGGAGGCAGACACGCAGTCCCCCGCATGCCCCCCCCCCTCCCTGCCCCGCCCACCTGTGTCACCATGCCCCCCCCCCTCCCTGCCCCCCCCATCTGTGTCACCATGCCCCCCCCCCCCTGCCCCCCCCCACCTGTGTCACCATGCCCCCCCCCCTCCCTGCCCCCCCCACCTGTGTCACCATGCCCCCCCCCCTCCCTGCCCCCCCACCTGTGTCACCATGCCCCCCCCCTCCCTGCCCCCCCCACCTGTGTCACCATGCCCCCCCCCTCCCTGCCCCCCCACCAGTGTCACCATGCCCCCTCCCTCCCTGCCCCCCCCCACCTGTGTCACCATGCCCAGCGCATGCCCCCTCGGCACGATGGTTGCCTTGTGTATGGGTGATGCCCCCGGGGTAGCCAGCGCCACCAGCGCGTGACCCGCCTCGTGGTAGGCGGTGCGCCTGGGGGAGGGGGGGGGGTGGGGGGGTGAGGGGGGGTGGGGGGTTAAGGGAGGTGGTTGTTAAAGCAGGAGACACTACCAGTCATAACCATGTGATGACACACATAGTGACATTCAGGCTCTCCATCCCGCGGTTTGCTAGTCTTAGCTGTGCGTGCCGGGGGAGGGAGGCGCCGGGGGGTACCGGCAGTAGGAGAGCCGCCCCCCTCCCCCACCCCCACCACCCCCACCCCCACCACCCCCACCCCTACCACCCCCCTCCCCCTCCCCCACCCCACCTGCGTGCCTCCAGGCTCCTCTTGACGCTCTTCCGCTCCAGTCCCATCAGCACCTTGTCGAAGGCCCACTCCAGCCCCCGCTGACTCAGCGCATCCGCCCCCTCCCGTGCCGCCAGGATGGCCGCCTCGTTCACCAGGTTGGACAGGTCGGCGCCGCTGAAACCTGCGGTGGGTTGGAGGAGGGTGGGGGAGGTGGAGGGGGTTGGATGGGAAGGGGACAGAGAAACACCAAACCACAAGTGAGGGCAGGGCAAAGGGGATGGGGGCGGGCGACAGGCTGCCACCATGCAAGAGAGGGGGGGGCCGGCGGCCCTGTCCGATACCGGTACGGCTACTGAGTCCTGGCGTCGGGAGAGCGATGATGACGCGCTAGCCAAGGCTGGGTGCATGCCGTACGGTAAGAGGAGAGGAAGACACGCTTCGGGTACTTCCAATCTCTCCTTCCCCCCCCCCCCCCAGCCCCCCACCCTGCGTCTGGCGCGCCAGCAGCTCCCGGTCCACATCCGGACCCAGCGGCTTGTCGGACAGGTAGTGCTGCAGGATGTCCCGCCGACCCGCGATATCGGGCAGGGGGACGGCAACCTGCATGGGGGGGGGAGGGGGGTATGGTTGTTGCTCACATACACACACCCCGCGGCCAGTTTTCTTAACACACACACACACACACCTGAACGGAGCTCACGTTGTTAACCTCAGACATGCCCCTCTTGAGCACTCTCCCCTCTCCCTCTCCCCTCCCCTCCCCCCCAGTTTCCTTACTTCCCCCTCTCCCCTCCCCCCCACCTGTCTGTCAAACCGCCCGGGTCGCTTGAGTGCGGGGTCCAGGCTCTCGGGCAGGTTGGTGGCGGCCATCACGATGATGCCGTCGGTGGACTGGAGGGGGGGGGGGAGGTTGGAGGGGGGAGGTTGGGGGAGAGGGAAGTAAATGAGGAGTGCAGCAACCGGGGCCCCATGTCCCATGTTGAGAGGGGAGGAAGGTGCCGCCCACCCCAAGTCAAACGGCTGGTCAGTGTGTCTTCCTCTTCATCCCTCCACCCTCTCCCCGTCACTTCTCTCATTTGTTTCCCCTATCTCCCTCATCTAATTCGGACAGGGCGGGATGGGCGGCTATATCACGTTTGCACCCCATGGTGAAGCCTACATGACTCATACAGCTCGTCAGTTTCCTTATTTCTACCCCCACCCGCCCCCCTCCCTCCCCCACCTCGAACCCGTCCATCTCCACCAGCAGCTGGTTCAGCGTCTTCCGCGAGTGGTTCTCCCAGGCCTTGCGGTTGCCGCCGATGGCGTCGATCTCGTCGATGAACACGATGCAGGGGGAGCGCTTCTTGGCGGCCGCGAACAGAGCGCGCATCCTGAGAGGGGGGGGGGGAGGGGGGGAAAGAGGGGGGTAAAATTAAGGAAAACTGACGGGGAAGGGGGAGGGCAAGGTGTACGACATGTTGTTGTTTATGCAATCAAGAGGCCGAAGCACCAAGTCCGCAAGGCCTCAAGAGAGGCGTGCCGCCGCCTAAACTCACGTAGCTACGTATGCCCCAGCCCTACGTCCTGCCCTACCTGGCACCCCCCTACCACGTACCCCAACACCAGCTGCGCCCCAACACCCCTCTCCGTACATATTGTAAGCCCTCGCGGCTTCGTTTACCCAATCATGCCTCCCTACTACTGCCCTTACCAGCCCTGACTAGTGGGGTCCTTCGGAACGGCTTTGCTCCCCTCCCCTCCTCCTCCCCTCTCCCCTCCCCTCCCCTCCCCTCCTCCCCTCCTCCTCCCCTCCCCGCACCTGCGGCTGCCCACCCCCACATACAGCTCCTCGAACTCCGACCCGGCGCGGTAGAAGAAGGGGACACCCGCCTCACCTGGGTGGGGGGGTGGGAGGAGGGGGAGGAGGAAGGGGGGTGGGGAGGTGCAGGGGGGTAATGGCTGGGGCGGCACGTGGGACGATATGCCGGCATGGGAGGGAGGGAGGGAGTAAGAGGGCCTGAAGCGGGGAGTCGAGGAAAGGAGCCCAAGGAGCGATGGGGAGGAGGAGGGGGCGGATGCGCCACTGCGCCGCCCCACCCCTGCACACAGGCTTTCGGCTTTGGACCCACATGCTGCCTTAGGACCCACCACCAGCACCGGCTCATGCCCCCCTTATCATTCAACAATTGGCTCTTCTTCTTTTCTACTCCTTCCTTTCCCCCCCACCCCCTCACCCGCCACCGCCCTCGCTAGCAGCGTCTTCCCGGTGCCCGGCGGCCCCGTCAGCAGCACCCCCTTGGGCAGCTTGGCACCCAGCCGGGTGAACTTGGAGGGGTGCTTCAGGAACTCTACTACCTGGGAGGGGGGGGGAGGGGAGGGGGGGGGGGAGGGGAGGGGGGGGGGAGGGGAGGGGGGGTTTGAAGGTGTCAAACTGGATGACAAGGGGTGGGGTGGGGGGTAAAATAAGGAGAAACTGACGAGGCAACTAACGAGCTGTATGACAAGGCATGGGCGGGAGGGGACAGAGGGGAACTAAACCAAGCGGGTGTTGACGAGCTAGAAAATGAGGGCCAGAGGATGGGCAGAGCAGGAGGAGCATGGGTACGGCACACGGGGCGCCAGAAGATTTCAGGGCTCGGGGCACCGCGCCACGCCTTCTCGCTCCCAGCGTCCCCCGCCCCTCCTGCTCACCTCCTTCAGCTCCTCCTTGGCTTCATCGCAGCCCTTGACGTCCTTGAACGTGCGAACAGACTGGGGGGAGGGAGGAGGAAGCGGGGAGCGGGTGGGGGAGCGGGAGAGAGGGGGTAATTTGGAAACAGAATCCGAATTAGGCTGGATACTTGGGTTAGCATATAATTGTAGTTGTTGCGGGAGAGAGGGGGGTGGAGAGAGGGTGAGAGGGAGAGAGGGGAAGACAGGGTGAAGGGGGGGGGTGAGGAACTGAAGGTGCAGTGGGGTAAGGGAACACAAAGGGGTGGGATCCCAATCTGGCATCGCTCGAGCGAGCGGCTCCCGAGATCTCACCTGTCTTCCACCTTCCCTCCTCCTCCCCCTTGTTGCTGCACTTCTCATCCCCTCCCCTCCCCTGCTCCCTCCCCTCCCCTACCTTTTCCGGCAACTCATCTTTCTTATACTCCTTGGGCTCCACACTCGGCCCCCCGCCCCCGCCCCCGCCCCCCTGCTGCCCCCCCGCTGACGACATTGCCGTACTGCCCCCGCTGTTGACGGCACTGACGGAGGCGGCCAGGGAGCTGCTGGCCAGCACCCGCCGTACAGCCTGGTGGGGGAAGGGGGGGGGAAGGGGGTGGTGGTGTTTGGGTGCCGGGGCTTCACAACACACACATACTCACACACACGGGCATTTCACTTCAGGCACTTCACTTCAGGCGTTCCCGTGGGGACTTCATCTTCCCGCACTCACACTTAACCGTGTGTTCCGACTCGCAGCCAGTTCCCTCAACACAACCAATCGGGCACGCAGGTTGCAGGACGGCAGGTGGCCGCCCGGCAGTGTTGTGGCCGTGTGGTGCCTGGGGTTACCCCCTTTGTGCTGTTTGCGGGTGTTGTCCCGCACACCCCGTCCCCTGCAGCCCGGCCCCGCCACCCAGACCTCACACCCCCCTGCACCCCCTCCCCCTCCCCGCCATGCGCTCACGGCATGCGTCGGGGTATGTGTTTGGGACACCGTTGCTTCACTATGTATTCATCGCCCTCCCCCAATTCCTCCCCCCACCTGGCTTCCCGCCAGCCACGCGAATGCCGCCAGCAGCAGCAGTGCGGCCAGGGAGGCCAGCCGCCACAGCGTGGCCAGGGGGCGCAGCAGCAGCGGGGTGGGGGAGGCGGCGGAGGAGGGGGAGGAGGTGGAGGAGGAGGAATGGCCGGGGAACTGCGGCAGGAGAGGGGAGGAGGGAGGGAGGGAGGGAGGGAGGGAGGGAGGGAGGGAGGGAGGGAGGGAGGGAGGGAGGGAGGGAGGGAGGGAGGGAGGGAGGGAGGGAGGGAGGGAGGGAGGGAGGGAGGGAGGGAGGGAGGGAGGGAGGGAGGGAGGGAGGGAGGGAGGGAGGGAGGGAGGGAGGGAGGGAGGGAGGGAGGGAGGGAGGGAGGGAGGGAGGGAGGGAGGGAGGGAGGGAGGGAGGGAGGGAGGGAGGGAGGGAGGGAGGGAGGGAGGGAGGGAGGGAGGGAGGGAGGGAGCGAGGGAGGGAGCGAGGGAAGGGGGTGAGGAGCGGGGCTATGAGGAGTCGGGGGGCACGGGGATCAAGAGGTTCAGTGCGGCAAGAGGCAGGGAGGGAGGGAGGGAGGCGGCGACCCCAGGCGCATGCGCTTGTGCGCGCGTGCGTCGGAACTGGGCAGGGGTGCAGCCCAAGCAAGGTTGCATCTCTGCCCTGCCCTGCCCTGTGCATGTGCGTGTGTTTTCCCCCTTGTGCCCTCATGGCCCCTCCACCCTCATGGCCCCTCCTGCCACTGCACGAGGGTCGCCCTTCTTCCCTCTTTTCCTCCCCTCCACCGCCTCTTTTCCCTCCCAACCCCCATGCCCTCCCTCCCTCCCCATCCCGTCCCTCACCTGCCCTCCTCCCGCCAGCACCACATGCAGCGGACGCCGCAGCGAGGAGCCCGGGTAGGTGTCCCAGGGGGAGGTGGTGGGGGAGGTGGGGTTGGGGGAGGGGGTGGGGGAGGTGGTGGAGGAGGGGGCGGCAGCTTCCGAGGAGGAGGAGGAGGAGGAGGAGGGGGACTGGACGGCGGTGGCGGTGGCGAGTTGATCCTGGCGGGAGAGGAGGGGTGGGTGGGAGGCAGCAGCAGCGCAGCGGCAGTGCGCGAGGGTAAAATTAAGGATACTGATGAGGCAACTAACGAGCCGTGCGGGAGGGGGGGTGCGGAAGGAGTTGATGGGTGGCCGTGAGGTGGGAGATGCGGATGGAGGTAAGGGTGGTGACTTGGTGAGGTCCCTTCCCTTGCCTCCATGCCCCATACACCCTCCCTCCCCCCTCCCTCTCAGGGTCAGTGTTTCCGCGGCCCAGGTTTTCTTATCCTCACACACTGTGGGGACTTCACCTTTCGCCATCCCAATACGTTCCTACTCGCGGCCAGTTTTCTTAACCCACCTGCAGGTCCCGCAGCAGCTCCCCCAGGGTCCGCGGCGGGGGCGGCGGGGGGGCGGGCGCGGCAGCAGCCTCCGCAGCCGCCTCGGCAGCAGCCGCATCCCCCTTCACCAGCTCCCCCACCCTGCCTGCAGGGGAGGGGGAAGGAGGAAGGCGGGGAAGGCGGGGACGAGGGAGGCGGGGAAAGGGGTAAGGGAGGGGGGCACCGGGGCGGCAAAGGAAGCTGTGTGAGGACGCTTCTGCGGCCCGCACAGGGTACGCTCTGACACACACACGGCCCTCCCGACCAGCCAGCTCCCACCCAGCAGTCTCAGCCAGTCCCGTACCTCTGCCCCCTCCCTCCAGCCCCAGCCCACACCACCCTCCAGCACCGCGGGCTGCCCCTCCGCACCCGCCGCTCTTCTCCTTCCAAACCCCCACCCGTCCCCTCCGTAGGGCCCTCTATCCCCCCCTTCCTTCCATCCCCATGGCTTAGCCCCAACTTGTGTGGATTCCTATGGTTTGGTCAATCCCTGATCTTCCCCCAGGCATGGCGGGATGGGCGGCATGGCGGGATGGGCGGCATGGCGGGATGGGCGGCATGGCGGGATGGGCGGCATGGCGGGATGGGCGGCTATATCACGTTTGCACCCCATGGTGAAGCCTACATGACTCACACAGCTCGTCAGTTCACCCCCTTCGTCATACAGTCCCTCAGCCCCCGTGTTCTTAGTGCCTCCGAATGCGCTCACTGCTTGAGTCGGGATATGGGATTGGGATTCGTTGTTTCACTTATTTAATTTTTTCCCGCCCCCCCCCCTACCCGTCTCCACCAGCGCCCGCAGGTACTCCGCCGCCACCGCGGGGCTCATGCCGTACTGCCGGCTCTCCACGCGCGCCACCACCTGGCGCGGGTCGCTGCGGACCAGCTCCGACAGGTAGGCGGCGTGCTTGGAGGCGTCCTGAAGGGGGGGGGGAGGGAGGGGGAGAGGATAGGGGGAGGGACATGTACATAGGAAGGGCGCGGAGAGGTCCCTTCCGTCCTCGCCCTCCCCCCCCCCCCAAGCCAGGGCCTCTTCTTGTCCCGCTCGCTTGGTCCGTCCCCACCCCCGCATGCAGCACCCCCCTGCACCCCACCACCATCTCCCCACCTGTGGGTGCTCCTCGCACGCCTCCCGCAGCCTCCTCAGCCGCTGCAGCTGCACCCAGGCGGGGAACTGCTGCAGCGCCGCCAGCAGCGCCGCCAGCCACCCGGGCAGCTGGCGCAGCAGGGAGGGCAGCTGGGCCAGCAGGGGGAGCAGGGGAGGGGGGGAGGGGGGTGACGGGGGTGGAGACGCGGAGGAGGAGGAGGTGGAGGGCTGGGCTGTGACGTCCCCTTCCGTGGCGGCAGCTGCTGTTGATGGTGGTGGTGGTGCTGATGTTGAGGCTGGTGAGGCAGATGCGGTTGCAGTGTCAGGGGCTAGCGAGCCGTCTGGGGATGCGCTGCTGCTGCTGCTGCTGCTGCGGGTCGCAGAAGTGGTCCCCGACTCCAGATGTGATGCTGTCGTTGCGTCACCACCGGTGTCGGCAGCAGCAGCTGCAGCTGCAGCACAGGCAGTAGGTACTGCGTCTGCAGGTGCGCTAGGCAGCGCAGGCTGCGACGAGGCAGCGGAGCTAGGCGGCTCGCTGACTGGGGCGACCTGATGGACGACCATGGCTGGATGGCCATCCTCCGGCCGGTCGTTGTTGCTGCTGGAGGGCCCTGGGGCTGCTGCTGGCCCATCCACGGGGCCGCTAGCTGCGCCTGTGCACCTTACTAGCCCGCATCCTTTTCGGCTTAGACCCCTAGGCCGGACTGAAAGCAGTGTGCTAACGGGTAATGACGATCTACAAGGTATCCGGTGGCGTAGCCCTCGCTGGAGCCCGAGAGGTTGCATCCGTGCACCTGATTTTGCGCAAAGCGGAGAACGAGAAAGGAGTTGAGGACTGCGGGTCGAAGCCTAACGCCAACCAGTCATAATGGGCCAAACAAAACGCAGTCCCCTGCCGAAAGCGGACATCTTCCAGCGTTAGCTTCGCACCTTCCTAACCAGCTTAGTCCTTTACACGTGTCTACTGACAGGTATTAGGGCTTCCCGAGGTATCGCTTTGCGACGGCGCAACAAGTGTAGTGTAGAAATGTGTTTCTTGTCAATAAGTATCTTCCGTTAACAAGTTTGGTCCTTTAGTCCTTAACCGAAGTGGGTCTTGTTAAGCGCTAGGCAAGCCTAAACTCTTTAGAGCCAAGGGAATCCATGGTCATGCCGTCTACAAAGCGCGCATCAACCTAGAGAAAAGCAAAGGGAATGGGACTGCTGTAATTTGCACGTAACAACGAAAGGGCTCAACGCGAAGAGGTTTGTAAATGGTTTCGGAGGTTGCTTGGGCTAACTGCCAGTCTGCCTGCTCTGCTACCATTCACCAGCCAAGATTAGGTCTGCCTAAGTGGGTGTCATAAGCTTCAGGCGTCTATGCTGTTGTCCAGAGCCCATAATCTACTGCTGGCGTGCTACGGGCGCAACCTGGATAATGATGCAACGGATACATACTACCTTTATGGTCCGCTAGTCATAAGAGTTCATGTGGTACCTAAGTATCGTGCTCCCCGCGAGTTTCATCTAGCCGTTACAAGGATCCCGCAGACAGATTTGCCTCCTCGCTCTTCTGACAGCAACGGGAACGCAGGCAGGTCAAGAGCACCACCACTTCAAACCGTGGCAGCATCATGGTTAGCATCAGAAAGCAACGCTTGAGTTATACACTTGTTTGCATCATCGCGTCCACGGAATCCAACATCGAACCCGATAGATGGATACGCAGATGCCTACGTCTTCGTCTCCCCTAATGCCACCTCCGCCCAACCGAGATGTGAGTCAGAAAACCTAACGTTTGGTGTCACCATACGTTGCGGTCTCCGCACAGCAGCGCAACATAGTCTTCAACAACACTTCGCCCACCTCTGTCAACACTCTGCTGACACCCCTACCCCTCCAGCTGCAACGCCGCTAACCCCATCACGTGCAGCTCTGCTGGGCTGGACACATCTCCTACGTCTACACAGCCTCAACACCCCATACCTCAATACCGCGTCACAAACCACACAACAACATGAACAACATCTGTACAGCTGTATGAGCCATCCGCCTAGCAGCCCAAGCAGTAACGTAACACCAGCTGCAGCCGCAGCAGCAGCCGAGCACAAGCGCTGCCCTCTCCTCTCGCACACCAACCCCACCAGGCACCTCGCCACCATGGGGTGGGTGACCGCCCGGGCGCTAGGTGAAGAAGAACGTCTTGATGTCGCCCTGTGGTCAGGTAGGAGGGTTGTCAGGTAGGAGGGTGGTCAGGAGGAGGGTGGTCAGGGGGAGGACCAACAGAAGGCAGGAGCAGCAACACAAGGCGCAGGCGGAGGCAGGACCCAGGATAGGGGGCGCGTAGAAGGAAGGGAGCTCGCCCACCCACAGCTCGCCAGTTCTTCTTCCTACTGCCCCCCCACTCCAGTTAGTTGTTTCCTCTTTACCCCACTCCCCCCTCGCACGCACCTTTGCAAACACGATGCCGCAGCCCGGGCACTTCCTGTTGCGCGCGGTGAGCGTGCGGTCGATGCACACGTCACAGAAGACGTGGCAGCACTTGGTGATGATGCGGTTCTTCTGCCGCTCGTGGCACACGTTGCAATTGAGCAGCTGCCGCATGGCGTCCACCTCCTCCTGGAGGGGGCAGGTGGGAGGTGCGGGTAAAGGGGGTGGTCAAAGACCATACCAGACCATATGGGAAGCCACAGGATAGGGTGAAACAACGGGGATAGGAGGCGGAAGGGTGGCAAGATGATGGGGTTAGGGGTAGGTGGGGAGTACGAGACCATGTTGGTTACCATAATGGCAGCACGAGGTGAAAGCCCCGCACGGTTGGATGACGCAAGTAATTTGGAACAGTGATCCATCCCTCCCTCCCTCCCGGTATACCGGTATACTAGGTTAAACGACAGAGCGGACCATAACCCGGGGTGCCTGCAAAACACACATACACGCTTCCCGTCGCTTCCCTTCTCTCCACTCCCCCCGCCCCCACCCCCCCCCCCACCTCCAGCTCCCGAGTGACCCCCGCGGGGCTCTGCAGCTTCTTCAGCCGCTCCACCTTGCCTTGGAGGGACTGCGGAGGGGGGTGGGTGGGAGAAAAGGCGAGAGGCCAAGTCTAAGAGGGGGGGAACGAGGCGGCGAATGAGTTACGCTGTGTTGTGCTGTGTGACGTCATGGTCCCGATCCCTCACAGTGTGCTGTAGCCCCTCCTTACTTCCCTTCCTTCCTCCCCATTGTGGCTTACGAAGCAGCCCAAGCAGCGGTGCCTTTAACACGCCCCCCCTCCTCCTCCATGCCCCCTTCGCCCCCCACCTTGATTTCCTCCTCCACCCGCTGCCGCTTGCTCTTCTCCTTGATGTTCTTCTGGTCCGCCTCCTGCAGGTGGGGGAGGGGGGATGGGGGTTCATGACAGCGCAAGCAGCTCCGAGACGCGTGCCCACATGGACTCGAGACAGGCTCAAGAGGAATGCCATGTTTCATGCATCAATCCACCTCCTATTCACACCCTAACCCCCCACACACTCCCAAACCCCTCCCTCCCCCCCCCTCTCACCTCCAGCGCCTGCCTCTTCAGCTCCAGCTGCCGCGCCAGCCCCTCCATCTGCCCCTGCAGCCCCACCACCTGCTCCTCCCGCCGCCGCATGTCCAGACCAGCAGCCTCCAGACGCACGGAGGCGGCGCGCAGCTGCTCCTTGGCCTGAGCAGGAGGAGGGGGGAGGGAGGGGGGTCAGAGATCACATGCCACCAAACCACATGTTGGGGCAAAGCCACGGGGAGAGCAGGTGGCAGTGTGACACAAACCAAGTATCGGGGGGGGGGGAGAGGAAGGGGGAGGGGAGGGGGTACAATGGTTGGCGCGACAGAAGCCGTAATTCCCCATCTTGTTACCCTCCCCCAAGGCCCTTGTCGCCACATTCACCTCTTCCTCCCCGCATACACAACCCACACCCGTCCCTTCCCTCCCCGCCAATACCCGTGCATACAACCCACTCACCCCTTCGCGGTTCAATTTACCCAACCCCCTCCCAGTTCCCCCCCCCCCTGCCCCCTCACCTGCCCCAGCTCCCCCGCCAGCCTCGCCACCTCCCGCTCCAGCGCCTCCCGCACCGCCCCCAGCCCCTCCACCTCCCGACCCAGCCGCTCCGCCTCGCAGCGGGCGGACTCGGCGGCCTCGGTGAGCAGCGGGATCTGCTGGGAGAGCTGGGGGGGAGGGGGGGGGGAATAAATGAGGGGGAATGGGAGGAGGGAGTGTGTTTCAGGAACGGGGAGAGCTGGCGAGAAGCCCTGGCAGCAGTTGGATCAGCATAGCGGTCGAAGAGCTGCACGAGAAGCGCTGACGTGTGCCCCGTTCCCGTTCCCGCATGGTCCCCCCCAACCTGCCCCGCCCCCCCACCTTTATCCTCTCCGCCACCCCCGCATTTGCCGCCTCCTCCCGCTCCGCCAGCGCCGCACTAAGGCGGCTGTTCTGGGCCTGCAGGTCCTCGTAGGCGGCAACGGTGGCCTGGGGGGGGGGGGGATGGGGGAGGGGGGGGAAGGGGAAGAGGATAAGGGGGCGAGGGGTTTAAAAGGAGGCGACTGGTTGTGTACAAGCAGCAGCAGTAGTCAACCGGATGGGAGAAGACGGGGGGTACCCCATGCCTGCATGGTTGCACAGGCAGTTGTGTACGGCAGCCTAGGAAGCCCCTCTCCCCTTTCTCACCCACCTGAACCTGCCTGCTGGGTACTCCTCCCAACCCACACTCCTGCTCCTGTCCTAACCTTCTTCTCCCCGGCCCCTCCTCTTCCCTTCCCCCCCCCAGTTCCCCCTCCCCCCCCTTACCTCAATCTCCTGCGTGTACAGCTCGCACTCGGCCCGGCAGTCCGCCAGCTGGGCGGCCAGCTCAGCGGAGGTGCGCTGCGCACCCGCCAGCTGGGGGGAGGGGCAGAGGGGGGTGGGAGGGGCAGGGAGGGGGCGTATCATGGGTTCATGGCGGTGGTGACATGGTGGCGGTGGTAAGGTGGTGGCAGTGGTTGCTACTGTAGCCATGTTCCTATCGGCAGTGGGACAGGGTCCAGTGTGACAAGCGAAGAAGCGATGCGGCCTGGCCTTGCCTCGTCCGGACCACTTTCCCCCAGCCCCTCCACCCCCCCAGCCCCCCATTCCCCCCCACCTGCACCCGCTGCTCATCCGCCTCCAGCGCCGCCAGCTCCAGCTGCCCCCGCACCTCCCGCTCGGCAGCCGCCAGGTCGCGCAGGGCGGAGTGCAGGGAGTGACCCTGGCCATGGAGGAGGAGGAGGGGAGGGGTGGGGTGTAAGACCCTAATGTGGGGGAAGGGGAAGACGGGTGGGTAGGAGGGCCGACGGGTAAGGAGGAGTAGCTAGGGAGGCAGGGACAGAGCTCAAAACAGCCCTCCTGGCCCGCCGTACACCGCCCGCCTGCCCTCCCGCGCGCCTAACCTGGCTACCCATTGACCTGGATCAGGCTCGGTGAGTCCGGCGGGGCGGTTGTTCCTTACTACCCCCCTCTCCCCCTCTCCCTCCCCCCAGCTCGTCAGTTTCCTCTTTACAACCCCCCTCTCCCTCCCCCCACCCCAGCCCCCCTCCCGGCACCTGCAGCTGCTGCCTGCAGTCCGCCAGCTGGCTCCTCAGCGCCGCCTCCGAGGCGCGCACCTCCGCCACCTCGCGCGGGTCGCTGCAGACGGTGGTCAGCACGTCAACAAAGGCCTGGGGGGGGGGGGGTAGGAGGGGGTGAGAGAGCGGATGAGAGGGGGGTGTGGGGGAAGGCGTGGGGAGGGAACGCCACATGAAATAACAGGTCAACCGGGTATCACGTGCGTCGCAGTACGCCCCGAATGAGACCAGTAATACAACCTTGCTCGACCTACCAGGTCAGTCCAAACCCACCCCTGCCCCTGCCCACCCCCACCAAACCCTACCCCCCCTCCCTCCTCTCCCCCGCCCCACCCTTAGGTCCGCCACCGCCTCCTTCAGCGCCACCTCCCGCCGCCGCGCCTCCTCCGCCTCGCACTCCCGCCGGGACAGCGCGTCTGATGGGGGGGTGGGGGTGGACGGAGAGTGAGTCACGATGAGGGGGATAGGGATGGGGCCGGGGTGGGGGGACGCATGGCGCGTTGCAGCAGCAGCGCAGGGTGCCCGGTGACAGCAGGGCGGCTGCTACCAGGCAGCTGCTGCTGCTACTGCAGTCATTCCCCAGCCCCCACCCCCCGCCCGCACCTTCTCTACCACAACCGCCCGCCCCACACCTCCAACCACAACCACCCAAACCCAACCCCCTTTCCCCATTCGGCAGCCCCAACCCCCCGCCCCACCTTTCAGCCGCGTCACCTCCCTCTCCCGCTCCGCCAGCCTGCTAGCCGCCGCCACCACCTCTCGCGAGGCAGCCTCCAGCCGCCCCTGGTACTTCTGAAGGGGGGAGGTGAGGGGGAGGGGGGGATGGCGAGGACGAGGTGTGGTGTGGGAGGAGGGTGGAAAGCAAAACACACGGCCGCAATGTGCCCCTCCCGACCCATATCCCTTCCCCTTGGTCTCTTTCTACCCATACTCCATTCCTCCCTCCCCCCCGTCCCTCCTACCTTCTCCAGCCCCTCCCGCCTCCCCACCGCCCCCAGCTGCGCCCTCAGCCCCGCCACCTCGCCCCGCAGCTCGCCCACCGCCCGCCCCGCCGCCGCCCGCCCCGCCGCCTCCGCCGCGCGCCCCGCCTCCGCCTCCGCGCGCCCCCGGTCCGCCTCCGCCTTGGTGAACTGCAGCTCGCGGTAGGAGCGCTCCAGGGAGGACAGCTTGGTGCGCAGCAGGGACTCGGACTGGGGGGGGAGAGGGAGGGAGGGGGGGAGGGAGGAGGGGAGGGAGGGGGGGAGGGAGGGGGAGGAGAGGGAGGATATTGAGGAAAGAATTAACTGACCGTATGATAAGGCGTCATCATGTAGTGGCCAACATGCCAGCCAGCCCGACCCGCCCGGGGAGGAGAGGGAGGAAGGGGTACAGGGGAGCCCGGCTGTAATGACTGGGGCCAAAGCAACCCACCCACCCAGCCTGACCCAAATCGGCCAAGCCCAAAATGGCCGTGAAAGTGATAGAAGAAGGGATAGAAGAAGCACCACCCCTCCCTGCTCCCGTCCCTTTTCCCGCCATCTCCCTCTTCCACCCCCTCCCTCTTGTTCTCCCTCCTCACCGCCGCCAGCGCCGCCCTGCTGGCCGCCTCCTTCAGCGCCTCGTCCCGCTCCCGCGCCAGCACCTCCACCTCCCGCCCCCGCGCCGCCAGCGCCTCCCCCAGCGCCGCCGCCTGCTGCTGCGACAGCACGTACAGGCGGGTGGAGGGAACCCAGGACTCGTCGCCCAGCCGGGACTGGGTCTCCTGCAGCTCCCTGGGAGCAGGGAGGGGGTTGGGAGGGGGTGGGAGGCAGTGTGATCACAGCAGTCTCATGGCCTGACTCATGCAGTGTGTGAAACGGCGCCGGACGGATGGTGGTGGAGAGGGTGTCGTACTCTCTGCCTGTACTCCTTGCCCTTTCCTCCCTCCATCAACCCTCAGTTCCCACCCACCACCCCCACCCCCACCACCCTCGAGGTGGCAGCCTCGCCATACCGTTTGTCAATTATCCTTAATTTTACCCCCACCACCCCTCACACCCATCCCCCCACCTCCTGGTCTTGGCATGCGCCTCCCGCTCCCGCTCCAGATCCGCCGTACGCTTGGTCAGCAGCGCCTGCAGCTCCGCCACCTCATCACACAAGTCCCCACCAATAACACCTTCTCCCCCTCCTCCTCCTCCTCCTGCTCCGGAACCAGGGACCCCCAGGGGGCCGGCTAGGCTGCCCTGGCGGCTCGGGCCGCCAGCTCCAGGACCGGTGTCAGCGGCAGCAGTCCCCCCTCCTCCTGCGGCCCCGCCGCCGCTGTTCTTGAGCGTGAGGTATTTCTTCTGAATGTTGCTGAGCTCTTGCTCCGTGTCCGCGAGCTCATTTTGAAGTTGTCGGATGCGCTCCTCGGCTTCGGTGCGCCGGTCCTCCGCAAGCCGCAGCTCGTCAGCGGTGGAGGTGTGGTGCGCGCGGAGGGTATCCAGCTCGCGACGAAGAGCGGCTACCTCCGAAACCAGCCTGGAATTCTCGGTTTGAAGTGAGGATGATGGGGATGAGGAGGTGGAGGATGAGGACCGGAGTTTGGAGGAGAGCTCGTCCTGGCGGGCGTGGATGGCGCGAACGGCATCAAGCACGGACGCCAGGGCATCCTTGCAGCTGCGGGCGCGATCTTGCAGCGCCTGCTCTACATCGGTAAGGTCAGCGTCGATGCGCTTCTGCGCGTCTACCAAGGGTTTGGTCGACTGGCTCGAATCCGCGAGAAGGCGCTGGATGAAGGGATCGCGGACGGCTGCTGGGCCCGTGGACGTCGTCGGCGGGCGAAGGTCGACATGGCCCGCCAAGCTGGCGCAAAGATGCGAGATTGCCGACGTGAACTGGCTCCACACCCGGTTCACGCATAATAAAGTTTGTTCGTATTCCTGCTCCTTTTGCTCATACGCTGAAACCTTGTCCTCCAAAGCCTTGCTCGCTTTCCGCTTTTCCTCAAGCTGCACTGCCAGGCGCTGATTCTGATGCGTCAAGACCTGCAACTTTTGCTCCGTGCTTTTGGACTCCATCCTTGCTCAAAACTGCCACTAACTTGCGGGGACGGCAGCCAATGACAAAGTAAGGATGCCGTCCCCCCGCTATGCAAAGGTTTGCCCTAAATGTAAATACAGCCGAAACAGCATGATAACGTAGCGGTTGAATTTGCAAAAACTGTAGCAGCAGCCTGCACGGGACAAGCGCAAGTTTGCCGCCCCTGTACTGCATAACTTCCATTCCGGACAGCCCAACCTGAGACAACCGCAAGACTCTGAACTGAGTTTTCGGAGGCCATTGTATGCTTTCCTGCCGCCTTCCTTTACTGTCCGCGTTGCCTAAAAACTCTTTTCCAGGCGGCTGCTTTGTGGGACGCCGCGATGGACAACAATGGCAACCCGTTTGGGCAATTGCAACGCACAATTGATCAACTAGGTAGGGGTATAGCGTCGCGATGGGAACAGCTGCCAACACAAATGGAGCAGGCGTTCGTGCCCATGCGACACGGCGTGTCCAGATGGTGGGAGCAGACGCCAATTGCTCAGATCATTCGAAATGCACAAGATGCAGCATCCGCTCCGAAGCGGTCGCGGGATCAGGGGCTTTGGACGCCGATGCTTGCGGTAAGCCCCGATCGTCGATACCCAACTGAGGAAAAAAACCACTATTCATTATACAACTGGAGTTGTTACACATAATTCGTCAAATTGCAGTCGCTTACGATGGCCTCGCAAGGGTCTCGGCCACAGCCGGTGATGGACCTGGCGATGGCTAAGGATGAGGTCAAGGCTCGGCTGGCGCCCGTGCCGGTTTACACGGTTGCAAACCCGAAGAACGAATTCGTGCTTGTGGCGGGAGAGGTGGGCTCCAGGGAGGCGCTCTGGGCGGGAACGGGGTGGAGGGGGCATCAATGTGGACGGAATGGGTTTGCCGACGTAAACGGTTCATTCGTGGCAGTACGACAACAGCCAAACAGCAGCTAGAAAGTACTTCAGATTGGCTGTACAGCCACGACAGGGAGTCGTGACCGTACACACCCAGTTAGTATAACAACCCTCCTGCATTCCTTCACCCCCAGCCCTCCTTGCTCTATTCCCATCCAGTTTCACACCATTTCCGGATTCCTCGCACATCCCCTCGTCTCTCCCTGCCCGCCCTTCCTCCCCCAGAACAAGACGCAGCTGGGCTTCTTCTTCTTCCGGAAAGAGGACGCGGAGGCGCTGGTGGAGAAGGTGGGGGGGGGGCCGGGGAGCGGCGGGGAAGGGAGGAGGCTGGGAAGGGGAGACAGAGGGTAAAACGGCAGGTTGGCGAGGGCGGGCGGGTGTGGTGGTGGAGAGGGAGGAGGCTGGGGCTGGGGGCGCGTGCGTGTGGGGATGCGGGTTGCAGCGAGGAGGAGGGTGAGGGTGGGCAGCTCAGCAGCTCCAGCAGGCGGGCGGCCCAGGGCGGTGTGGGTGCAGGAAGGGAGGAGAAGATGTGAGGTGGAGGGGTGGTAGGAGCTGCAGCCAGGTGGTGGAGGTGCCGAGGGCAGGCAGGCAGGCAGGACAGGGCGAGAGGGGCGGTGTTGCTGGCAGCGGCCCCCGTCTCCTGCGCTGCGCAGCGGCCCCCGCGGGGCAGCCTAATCCCTCTGGGAAGCACCAAAGGCAGCAGCAGCAGCAGCGGAGGAGGAGGAGGAACAGCAGCAGGGGAGCTGTAGGGGAGGAGAGGAGGAGAGAGGAGCAGCAACAGGAGCAGCAGCGGGGGAAGTAGGACCGCCCTGCACGACCCCGCCCCCCACCACTCTCCGCCCCCGACCCCTGCTCAGGTCCCCTCGCAGGAGGCCAGCAGAGGCAGCAGCAGCGGTGGCAAACAGCAGCGCCAACAGCAGCAGCAGTCAGCAGTATTGTGCTGTCAGGCGTGCTACAGCTCTCCACCCATGCCGCCACCTGCCCACGCCTGACTCCTCCCTTTGTCCCGTCACCAGCCCTCCCACCTGTCCTCCCCTCCCTCCTCCCCTCTCCAAATCCCCCCCTCCGCGGCTCAGTGTATCTAATCCCTCTCCCCCCGTCATCGGGTATTATTCTCCCCCCCCCGCTCCTCCCAGATCCGCGAGGAGAACCCCCGCCTGGCCCGCGACTCCAAGATCCTGCGTGTCACCATGGACAATGTGTACGAGGTGTTCACCACGCCGCGGGAGCAGACGGGGCTGCAGGTGGGGGGCAGAAAGAGGACCCGAATCCCCGTTCCTGACGAACAAACAACACGTTAGGGACAGGCACTAAGGTGGCAGGGTCCGTGCTGCAGCTCCTCCGCCATCATTCCTCCCGCCTCTCACTCAACCCGCTTCCCTCTCCTCATCCCCTCCGCACTCCCAACCCCAAAAGCTTACCCCCCCCTACCCCTCCCCCCCCCTACCCCTCCCCCCCCCCAACCAGGGTATCCACTTCCGCTTCATGCCCGACATGCGGCAGGTGTCACATGCGCTGCAGGTGCGGGGCGGGAGGGGGGCCAAGGTGTGTGTGTGTGTGTGTTTGGGTGGTTTGTGCGGGGCGGGGGAGGTGCAGGGGGGAAGGGTCAGGCGGTGTGTGTTTGGGATGTACGGAAGTCAACAATAGCTGCAATGACCAGCGGCACACCATCAACCCACCGAGCTTCCGGTGGAGTGCTGCGGTAAGCGCAAGGGCCCTGCGGGCAGGGGCAGGAGGACCTGGCAGCAGCCACTCACACCAACCAGTACAGCCGCCTCCATCCGCCTCACCATACACCCTGTATCCGCCCTTCAGCTACGCCGCCGCGCCTGCCCTCCTGTTACCCCTCCCTCCTCTCACACACACACCCCGTCCGACTTGCCATACAGCTCGTCAGTTTCCTCGATCTTTCCCCCTCTTCTCTCCCCCCTCTCCCCCTCCCTCCCATGCAGCTGTACAAGGACGCGGGGGTGCCCACTGCGCAGTTCATCGGGGTGCCGGTGTTCCAGGCGGAGGGGCTCACCGTCACCACCCGCGACATGGTGGGGGGGCAGTGGGGGAGGGGAGTGACCCATGGGTCATGGTGGGGGGGATGGAGGAGATGGGGTATAAGCGACCGACCCATGGGATGTCGTTGGTGTTGTTAAAGGGGTATGTACGACACTTGCAAGGCGCCTACACACTCCCCAGTTCGCAGCCCACTCTACCTCCCTTCCCGCCCACTCCTTTCCTCTTCCGCAACCCACCCGCTGCCCCCTTCCCTGCCTCCTCATCATCCTCCGGTATCCTATGGTTAAGGTCAGCATTTCTCGCAGCTCAGCTTACCCAGTCCCTCCCCCCTCCCCCCCTCCTCCCCAGCAATACGTGCCGCTGTTCCTGTGCAAGGAGGATCTGGACATCGCCGTACAGTCCGCCTACGTGCAACGCAGCGCAGCCAACATTCGCACATTCCGGGACAAGGCGGAGAGGTGCCAGGCGGAGTACGACAAGGTGGGGAAAGGGGGGGGAGGGGGGAGGGACTTATGTGGTAGAGGCGCGAAGGGAGGGGATGGAAGGAGGGGTGGTGTGCGTGGTGACCTGCCTGCTTCCGCTCCCATAACACCCCGTCCAGAAAACCCCCTGTTCCTCCCTCCCTCCCCACCTCCCCCTCCCTCCCCACCTCCCCCTCCCCCCCCAGCTCTCCTCTGAGCTGTCCTCCGCCTCCTCCCCCCGCGACCGCTCCTCGCTGGAGACCCGGCTGGCGCGTGCGAGCAGCAAGCTGGAGGCGGCGCGGGACAAGGTGGCGGCGGTGGAGCGGGCGCCGCTGCCTAAAGTGGAGGTGGGTCAAAGACCATACCGGTCCGTAGGAAACCACAGGTTGGGGTTGGAGGTGGGGAGGGGGCGGGGGAGGGAATGATAAAGGGGAGGGATTAGGGGGCGGGGAATTTGGGTAATAATGGGAGGGAACTTGCGGGCTGTGAAGTGGAGGTGGGGGGTGGGCGGGGAAGGATTGATAGAAGGGAGGGAGGGTACAGGAAGCCGACTGCTTGGGGGAGGGAGGGTGGAAGGGAAGGGGGAAGGGAAGGGGGAAGGGAACGGAGGATGGTTGCGAGGAAAGGGGAGGGGGCGGACGGGACGGGGGGAAGGAAAGGGAGGGCGGTGGCGGAAGAGAAGAAGGGTTTAGGCAGCAAGCAGGAGAGGAAGGGCAATGGCAAGTTAGTGGACATGCCGATGCAGCGCTGTAATGGGTGTCCCCTACCTCTCCAAACCCCTCCTAACCTCCCCCCCTCCCACCCCCCTAACCCCACTATCCAGCCTCATGCGGAATCTTCATCCCTAGTAACCCCCCTCCCCCCCCTTCAACCCCCCCCCCAGGTGGGTAGTTTCGAGGAGGTGGTGATGCGCATGACAGCCAGCGGGGGCAGCGAGCTGGCCGCGTGGAGTCAGGTGATGTTCGTGGCGCCGGCACTGCTGCAGGAGGCCAGCAGGGGGGGAGCGGCGGTTGGGGCGGGGGCGGGGGCAGGAGGGGTGGTAGAGAAGAAGTGAGGTAGGGGGGACGGGAGGGGCGGGGAAGAGGGTGGGGGAAGGGGCGGAGGAGGAGGAGGGGAGAAGGGGAGAGGGGGGAGCTGTAACGCCGGGGTAGGAGGGAAAGGGTGTGACGTTGGGGGGGGCGGGGAGAGGCGCAAGAAAGCATCGAGGAGGAGGAGGAGGAAGAATGACGAAGGGGGGTAAACACGTTGGCCGGCAGCCGTGAAAACACGTTGCTGCGGGTTTGTGGGGAGTGAAGGCTTGGGGTGTTAAGCTCTGGACAGGTTGTTGGGGGATGTACGCGGTGCGCGGTCCTACATTAGCAGCAGCGTGTATGCAACGATGTTAGCCCACGTTGACTACTTGTGGGGCAAAATATGACTTATGGGGCATGTTGTAAGAGGCACAGTTATAACTGGTTTTGGTGTGAATCGTTGTTGCTGTTGCTCTGTTGCTGCGTTCTTCCTCCTTACTTACTTCTGGTGTGTGTTGCAGTGTGTGCTGCACCGTTGACCATCTTGACGTTTGACGTTTGTCTATCTGCTGCTGGTGTGGCTAGCATCATACGAATCCTTTGTCGGTTGCTTGTTTGCTGCACAGTCGGGTTACGTGGGGACAATCTTTTGCAATGTATGTATGTCCGGCGCTTGTACGTTGCCGAACAATTGCCAAACAGCTGCCAAATTACGCCAAGTAATGCAACCCCCAGTGACGAGCAGTTAATTGCTGTGTGCTTGCGCTTGCAAACACTCAGAGGACTTTATTACATCTTACAAAGTAGTTCTTCCCAATACGGTACTTCAGCCTACCCAACGCAGTCTCCCATCCATAGGCTGTCTCACAGCGACTAAACCCCTCCTGTCTAGGATATACGAATAAGGCCGCAGCCACACGACCCTGTATCACATGGCCTTCCACAATTACTACCGCTACTCCCTAAGAGCTCCTAGGGGCTTCTGCGCGAAACCCAGCATACATACAAAGCCTGAAGACGTTTGTCCCAATGGTAACTAGCCATGTGGGCAAAGCATCCCTATTACAACCGGTACACCTATCACTGCACAGACCTGCGCTACAAGTTTTTTTTCAACGTTCGAGCCAAATCATAACTATGAGCAATAGGCTATATGTGCTCCGAAGCTCTAGGGCCACCTGAAAATGCACGGGTTACGAAATACACACGCACACACGTGCCTAGTAAGCCATATTCCATCCTACAATCTCGAAGCAATCCTTCATATTATTACTCATGCATGCGAACTTACAAGCACCCGGTACCTCCTGCACGACGTCACGAAACCCTAGTTGGACCGGTGCGGCCCCCACAACCCACATCAGCACAGTCAACACAGCACCGCAACTACCACAGATATCACGGGCCCTCTAAATACCGTAACCAACCAACTCAACCTCCTCTTCACTTTCACCTGATCACCTCTTGACGCCCTCTCCCAACCAGTCCTCACCCACCTCCACCTCAGCTGCCTCTGCTACACCTGTTCCCGCCCTGCTGCTGTTGCTGCTGCCTCCACTTGTATTACCTGCGGCTGCTGCTGCCGGGCCTTACGTCTGCGGCGCTCCTGGCACACGGCCTGCATGCGTCCATGCACCTCCAGCAGAGCCGCCTCCAGCCGCAGGGAGGTCAGGCACATCGTGGCGGCACCCGACACCTCGTCGTTGTCCGGGTCGCGTTCCACCGCGCGGGTCTGACCCGCGAGCAGCAGCTGCTTGACATGCGCGAGGCGGGCCGGGTCGGCGAACGCGGGCTGGAGATGCGGACCCATCTCGAGATGCGACCAAAGCTCCCGGAGCTTTTCCAGAAGCTCGAGCTCTTCGGACTCTAGGTCTTTGAGAAGCGCGTCGAGTTGAAGGAGGCTCAGGGCGGATAGGGGGAGGGCTGGTTGGGTGATGAAGATGGCTACCGGCGCGGAGGAATGGCGTGGGTAGGCATGGCGGTTGCGGATGCGGAAGGCAAGCCGGCTGCCGCAAGCTTTGAGCGTCTTGACGGAAACCTTCAGCACTCCCAAGGCGCGATGTGCCTTCGCCTTAAGGCAGCGCTCCCTGCGGCCAAACGACCGGGAAATGGGCACTTAAGGCAACTTGCGATTTGAGGCATAGCTTTGAGAGTTCCCACATACAGTTTCAAGCGACGGTCATCCAACAAACTGTGCAACTCCAGTTAGATTTAGGCAAAGGTTTACTTGACAGTTAGGGGCAACGACTAAAAGTTTACCGTTGCGAGCTTCGAAATGTATGCAGAAAATTGGTGGCCCTTGAAGGGCTTAGCTGCTAAACTGTTACTTGTATTGTCGGCTTGCCAGGTGACGGCCCTGGCTCAACCCAATCTTCGTCCTCCCAATCTTCGCAACGTACCGGTAGCCTACCTGGCGTGTTCCTCCCTCAGGCGTGCTTGCTCACGAAAATACTCGACCACCTGGTGATCATACTCGGATTCTGTCCCAAGGGCGCTAGAAGACCTGCATATGTTGGGCGACTATCGGACGTTACCGGTCCCAGCGCACGAGACAAAGCCAATACAAGCGGACCGAAATTCCTAAACCTTAAATACGTAATTGACACGAGGAGAAGCAGCATGCTAGCTAGTCCCGAGACGGCAGCTGCAGGCGTGGATCAAGCGCACCTGCTCAGAGGGACGCCCAGCTGAAGCACCATACCAGCCAAGCTGGCCAGGAGTTTCGCTTTTGCAAACCGGTGGGGCTTGTCGTCTCAATATAACACCTCTTATGCCACAAGCCCTATATCAACTTAGAGACAAGTACGCAAGGAACGCACCACGACGCACGTCAACTGGGATTTGTCACCAGCAGGCGAAGGTGCTTGAGCGACAATCCTTCTGTGTGAGGGATGACACCGGGCGTCAAAGGCGTAAGGAAAGGTGCCCTTTGCACGTATTTGCACCACACGTCACTTTATGCGGTTTACGGAGGTTTTACGTCACTGAGTGCCGTACATCTATCAGGCCTTGACAGCCCATGAGAGGTCAATCTGGCCTGCTAAGAACTGAGCCCAGCTGTTTGCTCACAGCCGCACTTGCGTGGCTATATTTGTCCAAGTGCTGCACTGCGCTGCGCATCAGGGAGGGGCTGCTGGGCAGCGTTTATAGGAGGGGCCAGTAGGCCCGATGAGGCCCAAGCTATAGGATACCGCGACGTCTTGGTCGTATGCCTGTGGTCTCTTCCGACACCGTAGATGTCTACAATGGAGCAGTGGAACGTAGAGGAGGAAACCAAACCACAAGGCGTGCCCGTTTTGGAAGCGACCACCGAGAACTACTGTTTACTGTAGAAGCCGGCATACATGAGGTGTGATGATGCTAAAACCACCCACTCCTACACACGTGTCATGGATGGATGTGCGCACAGCCGCGCCCTGCTCTCTGGCAAAACACGTGTAGATCTGGCACGTGCGCACACACACCTGCATACTTCGCACGCACTGATTCCACCTCCTGCCACAGTCGCTAGCTTGGCAGGACGAGAAAACAGCGTCACAGAAGTCAAGCCCAATACCAAATACGCCAGTGTGCCCGGTGTGCAATGTAGTACAATGTTAGCGCTAGCTTCTTCTCCCGAAGTGAACCCAACACAGCTAGCAAGGGCCCCACCCGCCAGCCAGCCACTCGCCTACTCCCGTAGTAAGTAACCCCAACCAGCGCTTCCGCCCCACAGCCCCATAGCACACAGTCGTGCCGCTCGTTTCCTCGCTCGCTCGCTCGCTCGCTCGCATGCAGCCGCCGCCCTACACAGCCCCGCTGCGTACCCACCCTGCCCCACACGCAGTGCCCACCCGGTACGTTGAGTTGAGGGCAATAGCACCGCGCAAACCTCGTTTGTAAGAAACGCACAAGAGCCGCAACACGAGGCCACCGCGCATCCCTGCTACCGGTGCGGCTGCCCTGCTACCGCCACCGCCCGGCATCCGACCATGCTCCCTTCCCCATCATCACACACGCTGCTCCTCTCTACCCTGTACCCTCTCCACCACCCTCCCATCCCCCATCACTCCGAGTCCGGTCATGAATAACTCATTCATCCCTCCCTCCCACCACCTCACCCGTCTGCCCTCACCCCCACCGCGGCTCTCAGTTAGCCTGCCTCTCCCGCTCCCTCCGCCTGCGCAGTCAGTACCGCCCCACCAGCCGCTGCTCGATCTCCCTCCGGATGTACACCAGGTCCTCGTCCTCCAACTCCTCCAGCAACGCCATCACCGCATACAAGATGTTTTTCGTCTGCCGCCCACCACCCCCACCGCCCCCACCCGCAGCGCCTGCGCCTCCGCCGTTCCGACCCCCGCCCAGCCGCCCCCCTACACCTCCTCCTGCCGCTGCTGCTCCCCCTGCTGGATAGTACCCTCCTCCCACTCCCCCACCACCAACTCCACCGCCGCCGCCTGCATGCCCACTCGGTTCCGGACTGGCCGCTACGCTGCCGCCGCCGTTACGCACCCCAACTTGCTCCGCATAGGGTGAGGGCGGGCTGGGCATCGACACCGGCCCCGCTCCCAAGGGCCCTCCTCCTCCGACAGCACCACAAGCAGCCCCAACAGCAGCGGTGGAGGGTGCGGGTCCGGGGGTGTCCAGTGCGATGAAGGAGGTGAGGTCCTCGTTGTCCAGCTTGTGCAGGTGCGGCAGCGTGCGCGCCACGAACTGCTTGTAGTGCGGGTGCTCGGCGCAGGGGTTGTCGGAGAGCCACAGCACGCGCAGCTCCTTGAGACCCGCCAGGTGCTGGATCTCGCCCAGGTCGCGGACGTCGTTTTTGCGGAGGTAGCTGCGAGGGAGGGAGGGGGAGGGGTTGGGGAGGAGGGGAGGAGGGCGAGGACAAACAGAGGGTGGGTTCACGGAGTGGGAATGGGAAGTGGGATTGCAGTGGGATGGCCGAATGTCTGCATGGAGGTCGAGAGGAGCAAGATTCGTGGGCAGAAGGGCAGGAACGTGGCGCTTTCCCGCCGCTGCTGTTGTGAATTGCGCCCCGCCATCCCGGCCCTCCGTCCCAAAAGGGTCCGTCCGCCGGAATGGACTCCACCGTCAGCACTTACAGCTCTTGCAGCTTCGTACAGTGGCGGAAGTCCTTCAGGCTCGTGAGCTTGTTCACCGACAACGACAGGACTTCCAAGTTGGGCAGCTGGTTGACAGATGGAGACGAGGGGAAAGGTGGGAAGGGCCCCGTTTGCACAACTATTCAGCTAGCGGTTGCATGGAAGCCCATGCCAGAGCAACTCTCTTTCCCGACTAGTGGAAATGTGATCCCTTAGCCCTATCATGAGGTACCTTTGAAAGAATTGTACAATCGTCCAAGCCTTGACCCCATAAGTTAAGATTTCTGACCTCCTCTAGTTTATCCAACCGTGTTTTGCCTTTAATTATCTGTTCTGTCAGAACCACCATTTCTAACGCGTCTACGAGTCTACTAGTTAAAAAAAGGTGATCGGCAAGCTGTCGAAGCTGGGCTGCGTGTCAAGTTCCGAGCTTGATTCAAGACAAAAAAAACAGAGCTAGCAAAAGACCCAACAAGACTGATTGCAATACGTGCATGGTAACGCAAGGAGCCGATCACGCATCGCCAAAGAAACCGACGTACGATGCCGTAAACGCCATGATAGCCTTCGCAAGTAATCTTTCTAGCTGCCTTGCCGTCGCCTGATCAAACAGTAAATACGTTGAAATCACGCCTTACTACTTGCACATTCTGTTGGAATCCACCCGCCAGTTTGCGCGGCACAGCATTTTGCCTCCTCACCTGCAATACATAATTTACAAGTGGCTACAAGTAGATCGCTCGAAGCTTTATAGTTTGGGCATTATAAGGCAGCCCCGACGTTTGGCTACAACAGCAGAAATTACCTATCTTTTGCCTGCCGCGACCATGAGCGTCGAGTCTAGGGCCAAGACACGCTCTAAGCCAAACACTGTGCACTATGCCGCTGAGACTGGGGACATCAAGTTGTTGCAGCACTTTGTGAAGGAGGGAATGGCCTTGGTGAGCCTAGAGCAACTTGAAATGCAGGACACATAGAAATTACGACCTCTAGTCTTAATCAGGAGTATGGCATAAGCACTCGTTGTGGCTTGGCGTGGCGCAGGGAAATCCGGAAAGCGTCACGCTTCAACAACGCGAGGACGTGCTTGGAATGATGCCGCTGCATGTGGCTTGTGAGAACGGCGAGCACGAGGTTGTTGAGGTGGGTCATGTCAAGGGGGGCACAACCGCCTCAGCACGACGCTTAAGCTTCTGACATGTGTAACTTGCCTCGTAGTTCCTTGTCAAGAAGCGAGTTGACGTCGACGCTGGCGATAACTTCAAGGTCACGGCGCTGCATCTTGCTGCTATTGAAAACCACACGGACATTGTCGATGTGCTCCTTAAGGCCCGGGCTGACCCCAAGCCCGTGGATGTTGAGGGCGACATGCCCATCCACTGGGCGGCGACGAAGGGACACAGCCAGGTAAGGATCGTCGCTTTTCCTCCATTGTCAACCCTCACCTATACTCAACACGATTCAACCTTCTGCACGCCATGTCACAACACACTTCGCATTGACGTTGCCCTTGCGACGTTGCCCGGACTTCTTATCCCCCGCTCCTACCCCCTTTAAGCCCTTATCTGCCCGACCCAAATCCCAAATCCCATACCACATCCCACTACCTTATCCAAGTCCAACTTATTCCCCCTCCCACAAACCTCACACCTCCCTTATGCGCACCCTCACCACCGCACAGGTCATCGAGCAGCTGGTCCGCAAGGGCTCCCCGGTGGATCCGCACAACAAGAAGGGCTGGACGCCGCTGCACCGCGCCGCCTACAACGGCCGCAAGGACGCGGTACTCACCCTGGCCAAGCTGGGAGCCGCCATCAACGCCGTCACCTGCGACGGCAACACACCGCTGCACCTGGCCTGCTTCATGAACCAGCTGAGCACGCTGGAGAAGCTGTGCGAGCTGGGCGCCTCGCAGCGGCCTGTGAACCGGAACGGCATGCGGGCGGCGGACCTGTGCATCACGGACGCGGCGCGGGAGATCCTCAAGAGCCTGCAGAGCCATGATGATGCGGGGGCGGGCACGCTCGCGGCGACGCCTGCCGCAGGGCAGCTGACTGCTAACGGCGCGGGATCCAGGTGAGTGAGGGGGCTTCACACGGCTCTTGGTCAGCAGGGCCAGTATAATATTGTGGGGGCTAGCCAGGGGCCGTCATGCTTGCAACCGCGCATGCTACCGGTAGCTTGGGGTAGCTCGAAAAAGCAGTGCGCACATGGAAAGTTCCGGCCAGCTCTCACATTGCCACATCGCCCTGTTTCGCGCAGGCTGGCCAAGGACGGGGCCGCATCCAGTCCCAGCACGGGTGGCAAGCCGGTCATCCCCAGCCTGGCCGCGCTGCAGATCAGCAGCAAGTGAGTGAGCAGGGCACTGGTGAAGAAGGCTGCATGCGCAAGCTGTGTGAAGGGCTTGTGAACCCGAAGCAGGAGGAAGTGTTTGGGGCGTTTGGAACGTCATCGTTGGGACACCGGCTCTCGGTGGCGGCAGCCTCGATGAGGACTAGGAGTGCCAGCTGCCATGCCTTCCCGCTCAACCCTGTCTCCCTTTCACCCGGCTCGCTCTCAACGCCAATCTCCCTTCCCCCCGCTGCCCCCGCCCCCTCAGGAAGTCCTCTCCCGATGGCTTCCCCTCCCCCGCCAGCTCCCCGGGCCCCAGCAGCTTCTCCGTGCAGCGGCCGGCGGGCCCGGCAGCGGGCGTGGAGGCGGCCAGCACCGCCGATGTGAGCTTCATCAAGTCGGCCTTGACGGAGGCGGGCACCAACCCATACACGGTAGGGGCGGGTTGGGGGGAGTGGGTTGAGGGGTGAGGGAGGGGGGCTGCAAGGGAACAGCTACGAGCTGTTCCGATTGATGTGCACGAATTTGTTTACAAACTGTGTTTGCAAGGTGTAAACCACTCTTCTTGCTCAGCCTTTGGCTAACAGCAGACATGTAATGCCGCGGCCCTTTGGCCCCCTAAAGCGCAGGGCATGAGCGGGGCGGGAGCAGCAGCAGCAGCTGCTGCTGCGGCGGCCGCAATCAACGCGGCCGCATCCCTGGCTGGGCGGCCGCCGTCTTGCAACGGCTCCTCCTACGCCTCTTCCGATACTGCCGCTGTCTCCACCTCCGCTCCCTTCTCAATGACCTCGGATCCGCAAGCACGCAACTCCTCCTCCTCATCCTTGCACGAACCCGCACCCCTAGCGGAACCTAGCGGCTTGGCAGCCCACCCCACGCCGCTCGCAGGCTCTCTCAGACCGCTGAGAGCACCCAGTGCAAGCACTGTCAGCGTTGGAGCGGCAGGAGGAGGAGGGGCGGTGGGGCCGGCTCGGCCACCTAGCACGGGTCGCGTGGGGACGACGACGACTGGGAGTAGCGTCGTGGGGGAGCTGTCCTCCTCCACATCTGCTTCTTGGGTCTTGGGGGGTCTAGCCAACGTAGCGGGAGGGGGGTTGCTGTCGCCTCAGCTCCTCGGGGAGGACGTACAGGAGCGGATCAAGGAGGAGAACAGGCGGGGCTCCTCCGTATCTAATGATGTGCTGCGGCCGCGATCAGCGCGCCCTGTGTCAGCTAATAAGAAGTTCCTAGCACGCTATAACTTAGACAAGCTTAACCTGTTTGCGCCCTAGCGGTTAGTAGTAGGAGTAGACCACCTAGGTGCAGCCGCTTCCTTTCCTTCTTGATGTTTAGCTTGGTAGGGTAGTGCCAGTCGGGCGTGTGCATGCATGCATTTGCGAGGCGCGACACCTGCGTAATGAAGTAACGTGGTGGCCGTAACCTGTAGGCGGGAGTGTTTATGCGGTGCAATGGAAAGCGGCTGAGGTGAGGTTAAGGAGGCTGTTTAAGAGGTGACCTTGCTGACTTTGGGGTATGGGTCGTCTGTGTGTGCCGTGTTTCTTCGAGCAGTGTGGTGCGCGCTGTAATGAAGCGCTGCTTTTGTCATATGGTTGCAGAGCGCTGCAACCATCGCCTTTGCCATCTCGCGCTCGGAGGATGCGCTACAAGCTTTATAAGCAATCTTAGGAGGAAAGGCGTGGTGGGATGCGAGCAAAGTGACGTGTGGTTTGGCGTTGCATGTAGTTTGTGCAGTTTGGGTTAAGGAGGCAGGATAGGTTCTGTAGACCCGCATATGGCATGTGGCCGCACGTCAACCCCACAGCGACTGATGTATGGGAGTCAGGACCACTGGGTATGACGTGGGGGTTATGAGGACTCGTGAGGAGAGGCATGTGGGGAAAACAGCAAGCGGTGGTTTGTGTGTGCCTCCGCGGGTTAAAAGCTGCGTGTGTCTCGTTTGTAATGGTGTGACAGGTGTTGTGCACAGCATGACTCACCGACCGACGACTAAACCCACATGCGTGGAGTAAATGTTTCTTGTATATGTGCGTCCTGGGGCGTAGTATGTATCCGGGTGCTATCTTATGTTTACGAATTACATGTGCTGCTGCTAACATTCATTGTGTCGGACTTCACAAGCGGCTGCGTGTGGAGGACTGAGCTGCGTAACCTGCTGCGTGTGTGTGAAGCGTCTTTTAGCGCTTTGTCGTGCTGCGCTGGGCCCATGCAAGGGGGGCCAGGCGCAAGGCGGCTTGTGTGTATCGGAGGAGGTGTACAGGGTTTGCTGGATGCATATAGGTGTGTACAGAAGAAGAACTGTGGCTTTCGGTTAGCACGAGTGAGGCTATGCTATCACGGCACGTTACCGGTACTTCCCAATTAGGGATTTGTAAAGATCCTGCTAACCTAGTATCCTCTTCCTTCATGCCAGCAGATCACTTGACACGGTATTGCTGCTTGCGGGCTTGCTTGCAGTAACGAGAGACTTCGAGGTGGCGTTAGGTGAAGGTTAAGGGCACACCAACGTTCCCGGAGTGCCGGCTTACAGGTCGCGGATTTCTGGTTCCCCCATTTGAGGATCCTTTCCCCTTCCTTTCCTTCTATTGTCTTCCATTCAAGCCTCGTGACATGCATGGGCCATTACCGTACACCGCATGTTGCGCACACTACAGCCTGTTTGTGTCGCTTAAGCATGTTAGATATCGACTCCATAGCATTTGGAGTCCATATTTATAGGAGTTCAACAGGATGTTGGCTGCACAACCCAAGACGGTTGGCAAGCGGGCCGAGACTGGCTGCGGTCGTGCGAACTTCGCCTTTCAGCGATCAGCGCGTCCTTTGCAGCGTCCTTTCACACAAATAGTGCGACAGCCGCTTACAGTTAGCCATGCAGCGGAACGTGACATATCGGCGCCTCGACTCATCCAGCACAAGAATGAGGCCTATTGGTTCTATGCTGGGCTCAGTCAAGTCTACGACCATATCGTCAACCCAGGTCACTGGACGGAGGATATGCGCGAAGGTATGCACCTTCGTGACAGGATACCTCGATGCTTGCAGCAATGAGCCAGCTTCATGACGGTCCTTTTCATCGTAAATTTTACCCAGATGCACTTCTCCCAGCTAAGCTGAATGATCCAAAGCTTAAGGTCGTCGATGTTGGCGGTGGGACAGGCTTCACAACCCTTGGGATCGTGAAGACCATCCCTCCCGAGAACGTAAGCGCAGCGCGTACTTGACATGGGAGAAATACAACCTGACCAAGCTTCTAAACAATCCTATATTCATCGTACGAAGGTAACGCTCATTGACCAGTCGCCTCACCAACTGGCGAAGGCAAAGGCGAAGCCAGCGCTGAAGGGAGTCACAATCCTGGAGGTACGTCAAGAGGGCACCGGGCACTTTTAGCTGCAACCTTGCCCACGAAACCTTGTTTTCACTTCTATATCCCCTTGCTTTCCAGCCAACCAACCAACCTCCCATCCCCAACCAACCCTGCCCCTCCACCACCCCCAAACCTCCCCTCCTACGCGCAACCACCTCCCGCCAGGGCGATGCCGAGGACCTGCCCTTCCCCGCCGACAGCTTCGATCGCTACGTGTCCGCCGGCAGCATCGAGTACTGGCCGGAGCCGCAGCGCGGCATCCGGGAGGCCTACCGCGTGGTGAAGGAGGGCGGTGTGGCGTGCGTCATCGGGCCGGTGCACCCCACCTTCTGGCTCTCAAGGTTCTTCGCGGACGTGAGGACACTGGGGCAGACATTGGTTGGCGGTTGGCGGTTGTGGGGTGGCGCTGTGGTGGGGTGCGGCCTTGGGTTGGCGGGATGTGTTCTGCGTGCCTTGTCTTCCTTCCCCTCCCTCCCGCCACCGCACCAGGTCCCCACCGCGGCCCCTCCCCACCCCCCAGCTTGTCGTCTGGTTTGCCATTCTATCTAACACATTGGGTATTCTTCTTTCCCCTCACTGTGACGCCCTCACTGCAACTCAGGTGTGGATGCTGTTTCCCAAGGAGGAGGAGTACATGGAGGTGGGGCCGGGCGGGCGGCCAGGGAGGGCGAGGGTGGGGGAATGCGAGCAGCTAGTGCTGGGGAGATAGGGTAAAGGGAGTTGGAGGGTAACGTAGGGAGGCGGGCGGGCGGTGAGGCGGCCCCCCGGCACTCCTCTGCACGACACTTCCATCCACCAATCCACCGAAACACGCCCCCACGTGAGCCTTACGTGCGCCAGCGGCTCTCCGCCTGACCCGTGCGTCTCCCCACCTCCCCAGGGCCCCACTCCTCCCACTCCTCCCTCATAGCGGTAGCTAGACTGCGCAGCCTGCCCTTTTCCCCCCCCCCCCTCCTTTGTGCCCCCTTTGAGTCGGGATCCCTTGGATTGGGACTCCTGTTGCGCTCTTTCCATATACGTATACACCCCCCTAACCTTCTTTGCCCCCCTCAGTGGTTCACCAAGGCTGGGTTCACGGACGTGAAGATCACGCGCATCGGGCCGCAGTGGTACCGCGGAGTGCGGCGGCACGGGCTCATCATGGGCTGCAGCGTGACGGGGGTGAAACCCAAGGTGGGTGGATGGAGGGGGAGGACTGCAGGGAGGGGCGGGCAAGGGAGGGGGGCGTGATCTCTCCCTATGCTTGGCGCCGACGGTACCAGCTGCTGCTGCTTGCAATGAACTTGTTTGTTTGTTTGCTGGTTCAACTCATACATTGCGGGGTGCAACCTCTTTCTCTCACCCACCTTTCCCTCTCCCCGCTTTCCCCCCTCTCCCCCCCATGCAGTCCGGCGACTCCCCCCTGCAGCTAGGCCCCAAGGCGGAGGCCTCGGGTCGCCTCAACTCCAACCCGCTGTCCTTCCTGCTGCGCCTGCTGCTGGGCACTGCGGCGGGCTTCTACTACTTCGTGCTGCCCATCTACATGTACGTCAAGAACCTGGTGTGGCCCAAGAGTTGGCCCATGTGAGGAGCATGAGCCTGGGGGGCTGGGGATGAAGGGGCGGCGGTTGGATGTGTGTAAGAGGTTGTAGGAGGGCTGTCAGTGACCCGTGGGTCGGTGACCCACATGGACCGTCCCTGCAGCCGGACCATCAGGACAGGAAAGGGAGAAGAGTCGTGGTGTGGAGAGGTGTGCATGTGACACAGCTGTCGCTGGTTGGCTTAGCAGGTTGGCGGATGACGATGGGGTGTGGGGATACTGGGTTTTGGGGTTTTCGGGGTGGGAGACGTTTCGGATAGAGGGAATAGGTTCGAGTGAACAGATGTCGGGGAGGTGTCTGTCGCAGGAGCGTGCATGGTACGTGCATCACCCAATGCGAGTGTGTGTGTGTGCATCACGCTGTACGGATTTCATCACTCGAGTGCGCGTGTCATGATGTGGTGTTCGGTATTTCGCAGACTGCATCTAATATGTGTGCGGCCCCACACAGGCATGTTCGGGCCTGTAGTATCTATTCTGTGCATTGCTGCGCCCATTGGTACCCTTGGCAGGGGTGCTGAGAGAGGGACGCTCTTCTATTGCAGCTTGTCGCCGTTGCTGTTGTTTCCAGTTGCTTGCCCCGTTATTGCCGGTTCGTAACGACCAGTTCCTTGCACTGTCAGTGCTTGCTAGCTCTGATGTTGCTGAGTTGAGCCACGTGTTGCCTTACTGACAGTTGCCATGCGAGCATGCGGGTCTACAAGCAGCCCTGGCTCGTACCTGATGTCGGAGCGGGGTGAACCATTTTAACGGTGTGCATGCGCGTGCAGCTGATCCAGAACACGTTATTGCCCCGGGTTAGGCCCTCAAGGACCTCACGGCCATAAGTCGCGGTGGATGTCACCCGGGTGCCCCGCTGCCAAAACACACACGCTGCTGAGCTCGGCTGCCTACACTGCCTGCCATCTTGGCCTTGCCAGCGGTCTCATAGCTTGTAATTCGGAACGATACCATCCACGTGCTCTCAGCGTCTGTTCATTTCTGTTGCAACGATTGTCGTTGCTCCAACGAAGTTACCAAAGGACACCAAACGGGCGCTGCGGGCTTACAGGGTGGAGGAAGGTAAACACGTCCGCGCCACGCAGACGCAAGTTCCTTCAGTGCCGCTCTCCCGCTGGGGGGCTCCCAACCACAACAGCCACATGCGCTGTGAACGAACGAACGAACAAAGGACGCAGCGAGGCAACAACTCCCCGCCACAACAACTCCCCCGCCAGCAGCTAACACACAAACCCTCGGAGCGGCGCCCCATCCTTGTCTTCTTCCTACTGTACAGTATTGACGACCCCCCTCTGTTCCATGCACTACAACACGAGGCGATGTATGACGCAGCCATGCACTACAACACGAAAAGAGAACCGTCTAGAGCTCATCTTGTCCTAACCAGGCACGGAATGCCATAACGCAAGCGGCCTACAGCTGCTTGACTGGCAATCCTACGGCATAGCTATTACCCTCAGCGTAAACGCCCGCCACTAACCACCAACCGTTGAACCGCCAGCGATTCCGTCATGACGGCCGCTGTTGACGTCTCTGGCCGCTGACGCCCCTGGCCATTGCAACCACTGACACCCAAGGAGGCTGATCAAACCTCTGCCGACGTATGTGCCTTAAGAGCGCCACGAGCAGCCACTCCCCAAGCAGCAATCAGCACCCGTGCCAATACACAGCCTGACGAGGCCCATGCGTAGGGTCATGCTGCCTGCCGTCAGCAGGAACAACTGAACTCGTCAACCACCTTAGCTCCTGCTCTCACCTAACGCATTGCAATTGCCAGGATCTGATCCGCCATGATGTGCCGTACCGCTACATGCAACCACCCAACTATCCGCGTGGCTTGTTGTCCACAACCTCCCTGCTGCTGCCCGCTTGGGTCCTCCCGCAACCTTTACGCCCCTTCACTTGCGAAGCCCCCGCAGCCCGTCAAGTTCCCTCGCCACTTTTGCCCCCTCCCCCCCTTGCCTCACCCACAGCCCCCTCACTTCCCAACCGCCGCGTCACCACCGCCGCGTCACCACCTTAGCCCCCACAACGCAGCCTCTCCCGCCCCTGCCTCCTACCCCCCTCTCCCCTTGCCTACCCCTCCGTTCCCAACCTCCCCTACCGCCCCACCTGCCCCACCCCACCGCCGCTCAGTTGAAGATCATGTACTTGGGCGTGGCGCTGAACTTCTGGTAGCCCTTGATTACCTTGTTGACCGCCTCAAGGAAGTCCTTCTCCGTCACCGTCTTGCGACGAGCACGGATGGCGTACATGCCCGCCTCCGTGCACACGCTGCGGATGTCCGCACCCGTGCTGTTCGGGCACAGCCGCGCCAGCAGTTCGAAGCGAATGTCGCGCTCGCAGTTCATGGTGCGCGTGTGGATCTGGAAGATCTGGGTACGACTGGCGAGATCCGGCAGGCTGAACTCCACCTTGCGGTCGAGCCGCCCGGGCCGAAGCAGCGCGGGGTCGAGGGTGTCGGGCCGGTTGGTCGCCATGAGCACCTTGACGTTTCCGCGCGCGTCAAAACCGTCGAGCTGGTTTACGATCTCGAGCATGGTGCGCTGCACCTCGTTGTCACCACCCGCGCCGTCGTCGAAACGCGCGCCGCCGATGGCATCGACTTCGTCGAAAAACACGATGCAGGCTTTTTTGGAACGAGCCATTTGGAAGAGCTCGCGGACCATGCGTGCGCCCTCGCCCACGTACTTTTGAACCAGTTCGCTGCCGATGACGCGGATGAAGCAGGCGTCGGTGCGGTTTGCGACGGCGCGGGCAAGAAGCGTCTTGCCGGTGCCGGGAGGGCCGTACATGAGGACACCCTTGGGCGGGTCGATACCCAGCTTGACGAACTTCTCGGGGTGCAGCATGGGCAGCTCCACGACCTCGCGCATCTTCTCCATCTGCTCCTTGGAACCGCCAATGTCGCTGTAGGTGATGTCGGGCTTCTCCTCCACCGTCATCATGGTGACAGAAGGATCGATTTTGGGTGGCAGCGGGATTTGAATTTGGTACTTGGTGCGGTCCACACCCACACGCATGCCCTCCTCGATGTCGGTGGGGGCCACCTTGTCGCCTAGCCCCACCACGAACTTGGCGATCTGCTTGACGTTGATGATGTATTTGGCCTCGTCCGTCCCGGGGTTGATGATCTTCGTGCAGCGAGCCACCTGCAGCGGCTGCTCCTCCTGCTGCATCTGCTTGTCGGAAACCAAGTCCCAGCGCGACGGGGGCGCCAGGCCCGTGTCCGACTCCTTGATGCCACAGACATCGTTAATGCGCTTTAGGATATCCTTCGCATCTTGCTCAGCCTTCTTAATGCGGCCAGCGTAAGGGCCAAGGCCATAATGCTTCAGGAATGCAATATCGGTCTCATCTAAAGCTTTAATGGGGGCGTCCTTGTCAGGATCTACGTGCTTATCCTCAGGCATTGTAACCTAGAAGCGGCCGCGCCGCAGCGCGGCGGTATACTGTAGGTCGCTAAGAATGCAGCTGAGATCTGCCTGGCAGGTCAACAGACGTAGGTGGCTTAGGATAATTGCAAGGTTTACGGATATGACAGCACGTTAAAAACAATAGCCTGGCAGTAGGTGTAACGTTGCTTTGCCGCGCTTCATGTCATGCCAAAGACATCCGTACTTTAGGGCATATGGCTTTGCACAAGGTCGAGCTGCATTCCTGGTAAATGGATATTCAGTATATATAATAATTAAACACACCTTGTTTGCATAGTAAGTTGTTACTGTGCGGCCGAACTTCGCTCAACCACCGCATCCATCACCTATGCCTGCACACGGTTGCCATTGTGCAAAGCTTCGGCAGCTGCCTACTGCAGTTGGCTCTCGTGAAAAGGCACGGACCCATACTTACTGCGGTCGATGTTTATTGCGAACGCAGTCCCAAGGAGCATACCCATCCACAACTAGACACGCCGGTCATACCGCCTTAAGCACGTCATACCCTAAGATCAAACCTATAGAAACAGGCGACATTGGGGGCCTGTACTGTCCGCTTCCACCCATCCTTGTAGGTTCATGCATGCTAAGCGCTTAACAGGCTACAAACCAAAGTCAGCGGAACCGAGGGCGGGAGATAGGGCAGTAGCGCGAGGGAGGGTTGCGCAAGGAAGTGCTAGATACCCAGGATGCAAGAAAGCTGCGCAACCCTAACCCCTGAAGCCGGGCAGGAAGCCGGGCAAAAGCCTGGACTGCACTGCACCACCCTTCCTAACGCCAATGATGACCAGCCGATCAGGATTTCCAAAGCACAATGCTGCACCGTGTTGCAGTGTTCTCAACCAAATGCGGCCCCCTTGAAGTTGCTCGTGACTGCGCCTCTTTCAAGGCTTGCTGCTTTTGTAGTTTACAAGATTCAACGCGGTGCAGCCACCGCTGCCGCTACTGGTGTACTTGTTCCCATGAGCCAATCCTGAGTAAACAGAGTGGCTTTCAGGCATGCCACAAGTCATAAGCAAGCCACCCTTTCCAACCGCTCCCTAACAGGTTTCAGTATCCACCCTCGGTGCTGAGTCTCTGCCGGCGACGACCCCTCACACGACCCAGACGCTGAGGCTACTTACGACCGTTTGACACGAGCTCCCCAGAGCCGCGTAGGCTACCAGGTGACCACAGCCACACGGCTCTGTGTAGTCCTTATAACCACCTACACCCCCGCCAACACCGCTTCCCAATCCTCCACCGCTTCCTAACCAGTTCCCCGGGGCCCATCACAGGTGCATCAGCTTCACCCCATCCGTCATCACCGGCCGCCCCAACGCGTCCCACAGGTACTGCGACGTCGGCAGCGGCGGCGGCGGCGGCGTGGGCGGCGGCGACGGCAGCGGCGGCCACGGCGGCGCGAACAACGCCGTTTGCGGCAGCGTCAGCAGCGCCGCCGCCACCGAGGAGGTCGCCCAGGGGCTGATACCGCGGCGCGCCAGCGCCGCCAGTGCCTTGAGGGCGGCCAGGAGCTCCTCGTCACTCAGCTCCTCCTCCGCCAGACCGGCGGTGGCGCTGGCGGAGGCGGCGACGGCGGCAGCAGCGGCGGCGGCAGCGGCGGCGGCGGGGTCTTCCTTGGGACCGGAGCCGATCGACATGGAGGAGAGGCTCATGACGCTGGAGAGGATGTGGGTTGCAGGAGGGGGAGGCGGCGGAGGAGGCGGCGGGAGCAGCGCTGAGGTGGATGGGGGTGCAGGGAAGCAGGGGCGTTGCCGCGGCGGCGGCGGACCCGCCGCCGCCGCGGACGCCTCAGGCGCCGGTACGGCGCCAGCCGCGGCGGCAGAAGCTGCCTTGGGCCGCGGCCTCCGCGCCTGCGCAATTCGTTGCAATATTTCCGCTAGGGGAGCGACCATCTCGGGTCCCCAAGAGTCCGGGGAGCGCAGGGTGTCCTGCAGGGCGGCCATGAAGGGCGCTGCGGCCAGCCAGCGGCGCTGCTTGAGCAGCTGCAGCAGGCACTGCAGCGCGGCGGCGCGGACGTGGGCGGGGAAGGGCGGCTGGGTGGGGTCGGGCGGGGGCGGGGGAGGCGGCGGCGCGACGATGCTGCGACGGTTGGGCGCGATGGTCTCCTGTGGGTTGACCGGCGGGTGGGTGGTGGAGGGTTGAGGCACTGTGTTGGAAGTTGTACACACACCTAGGTATCAATCTTAGGTAAGTTCATTCCTAGGTAGTTTCACACTTCCCAAGAGCCTCCTGCGGTGTCATAAACCCCTACCAACCCCCACCAACAACACACCTCCTCCTTCCCACCGTGTACCTTTTGCGATGACTCAGACCGCGGTGCCGGCGGTGGCGGTGCCGGCGGCTGGCGGCCCAAGTGGAATAGCGGCACCAGGTGCGGGGGCGCGGGGCAGCCGCCCACCGCCCACCAGTGCTGCTGCACGCCCGGCTCGGACAGCAGGCAGGATAGCAGCAGCAGCAGCGTGGCCTGTGGGGAGGGAGGGTTGAGGGCAGGGTGCGTGAGGGAGGAGCGGGGGTGGTCTCTGCCGAACCACCCAAAGGCCTTTCCAAGCAAGGGTGCGGAGCGGCAGTCATGGGCTGTGCAGCTGGGTGTGACGCATGGCTCCGCTGTTAGGGGAGGTCTGGACACGTGACCCTCACAGCACTGAAGCGTGATGTGAGCTACATGCATGCCTGCATGCAGCCATGCACATGTACGGTATCCGTCCGGTAAGGCTGGCATCATGACAGGCTGGCAGGCGCATGCATGCACGCAGCCAGGCACATGCAAGGACGTACGCAGCCGGGCACAAGGTTGCTCCCCAGTAGGACGCAGCCCCGGGGCGCACCTGGAGGTTGTGTGAGGGGGTGGGGGTGCGGCAGCCGGGCAGCGGCAGCGCGGGAGGCCCCTCCAGGAAAGGCTGCCAGGTCTCCTGCGCGGGGACATGGGGACGGTGGGGGGGGATAAAAGGGGGAGGCAAGAAGAGGGCTGGATAAGAGGGCATGAGGGTGAGAGGATGCAGGCGAAAGAGGGTGCAGCGGAGAACCCTTAGCGAGCAGGGGGGGGTGGGAGTGAGCCAGCAACCGCGCATGCACCCACCCTAGCACGCTGCTCCTTCCTCGTCTCCTGCTCCTCATCCACCACCTCCTCCTCCTCCTCCTCGTCCCCCTCCTCGACAGCGCCGCCAGCCGATCCCTCCGGCCTTCCCTTGGCAGGCGACTTGGCCGGCGACCGCGGCATCGGCGACATGCGACCTCCCTGCAGCAGCTGCTGCTGTGGTTGGTACTGCTGCTGCTGCTGCAGAGGAGGAGGAGGGGCTTGCAGCTGAACCTCGGACGCGCTTGGGTTCCTGCTTCCGATAGCCTTCATGCTGTTGCCACTGCGCTGCAAGCCGCCCTGCTGCTGCTGCGGCTGTTGTTGCAACTGCTGCTGGTGGTGTTGGTGCTGGGGGTTGTGCAGCTGGTTGTAGAGGTCGGTGTGTGCGGGCGGCGCGGGCAGCTGGGTGAGCAGCAGCTGCAGCGCCCCCAGCCGCAGCAGGTGCTGGCAGGCGCCGTGGTGGTGCCGGCAGAGCTGCAGCAGCAGCTGGGCGGCCTGGTCCTGTGGGGGGGGAGGTGGTTGGGGAAGGGAACGGAGGGGGATTGCCGGTGAGAGGAGAGGGGGGGAGTGGAAGGGCGGAGGAAGTGGAGCGTCCGAGAGGGGACCGGGCTGAGACACCAAAAAGCCCAACAAAGGTCCCTCTCGGCGCTGCCCACCTGCCCCACATCACCCCGTGTTGCCGTGTCAAGGCTCCCGGTCACCCACACCGCCACCCACGACCCCAGCCCCCTCCCCACTTGGTCGTCCTACTGCTTCATCCCCCCCCCACAAATTGCCCGCACCTGTAGCTTCTCCGGAGAGCTCTGCACCGGCCGCGCAAAGTCCAGCTGCCCCGCCTCCACTCCCCCTGCCGCCGCGCCTCCCGCGCCCTCCCCTCCCGCGCCACCACCCGAGCCGCCCGCCGCATCCTCCGACGAGGACCCCGGCCTCAGCTGCCCGCCCTCTCCGGGCTGCGCCCCCGCATCCGAGGGCGTGCGGGGGGCGCCTCCCTGCGGTGTGACGGGGGGCTGCTGCTGCGGGAGCTGCTGAGCGGAGGGCGGCGGCGCGGGGGGCACTGCCTGGCCGGTGGCGGGCGCCAGCAGCAGGTGCAGCAGCGCGGAGGGCAGGCCGGCATCCAGGGCTAGCTGCATGGAGGGGGCTGCGAGGGAGGGAGGGGGGCAAGGGGGCACGGGGACCGGCATGGGAAGGATGAGGGGACAAGGAAGGAATACCGGTATCGGAACGTGAAGGAGCGGCCAACAAGGCGAGGAGCGAGGATGCGTGGGTTCACAGCACCCTTCGTCGCACCGGCATCACCATTCCTTCCCCATCCCTCCCTGCCCCCCCTGCCCCTCCTCACCATGCGCCGCCATGATGTGCGACGCGGTGGTCATGGCCTCCTCGCGCACCGCCCCGCTGCCGCTGCTGCCCACCAGCTGCGTCAGCGCCGCCAGACAGCCGCCCCCAGCCAGCCAGCCAGCCAGCGGGGCGCAGCGCAGCAGCAGACGGGTGAAGCGCAGCGCCAGGAGCTGGGGGGAGGGGGGGAGAAAAGTAGGGGAAGGGGAAGAGGGAGTGATGGGTGTTTGAAGCTTCCGCGTGGTGGTGGACGACAAAGGTGGAAGGGGAAGAGGTCCTCCTGCATCCCATCCCGCATCCAGCAAACCAGCACCCAGCATCGAGCACACCGCACGCGCGCGTGTGTGCGTGCATGCGCACCTGTATCCTCAGCGAGTTGTGCCGCAGCAGTGTGACCAGCGGCCCCACGCGCCGCCCCACCACCTCCAGCAGTGCCTGCTCGGCAGCCGCCGCCGCCTGCTGACCCGTGGGTCCGCCGCCAGCCCCCATCGCGGCACTGAGGGCCACCAGCACCGCCTCTAGCGCGTACTTGCTGGGACCCTGAGCAGAGGGAGGCGAGGGGGAGGGACAGCAGCGTGGGGTACCGGCGTGCACCGGTTATGGTGATGCATGGTTAGGGGCGGTACACTTCGGCAGAAGTACAGGCGGGAAGGAGAAGAGGTACCCGTACCCTGAACACCGGTAACACATGCTGGGAGGGCCGTTCCTTCAGCGGGCGACAGCTTCAGGAGGAGTCAGCCCTGTCCTCTCCAGCACCCCTCCTCTCCACTCCACCCTCCTCACCGGCAGGCTGCTCTCCGGGTCCACCGGCGGTGGCGGCGTGCCCTTCACCGGCCTCCTGCCCGCCTCCTCCCTGCCTCCGCCCGCTGTTCCGGGGCCTCCTCCGCCCGCCCCGGTGCCGCGCCCGCCGCCCGCGCCCCCCAGCCCCGGGTCCGCCGCCTCCGCCAGCATGGTGGCCAGGAGGACCAGGTAGTCGTCGAAGACGGCGTGGAAGTCGGACAGCACCGACCATAGGGCCTGACAGGAGGGGAGGGGGGGTGAAGAGGAGGGAGAGGAAGAAGACCCAACGTGTATTGAATGAAGTAGGTAAGGGGCAAACTACTATAGGTAAGGAGGGAAAAGGAGATATAACCGTGTGGCATGGGGTGCATCCCTACCATGGGGTGCATCATGGTTGACATAGGGGTTGGGGTGCAGCGAGGATGGGGGTTGAGGGAGGAGGGTGTTGGGACAGAGAGAGGAGAGAGGGTGAGGAGGAAGGCGGCAGGCTTGGGTGCTACGCCCAGATGGGAGGATACGGGGTCCTGGAAGGTCAGGTGTGCGGTTGGGCCAATGCGGAGCGGAACGACGATGGGGCAGCAAGGAAAGCTTACCTGCAGGCTAGCTGGCTGCCTGAAGGCCTCACGCAGCGCCCCGCGCCCCTCAGCTACCAGCCGGGTCAGCATCTTTATGGCGGCAGCATTGACTTGAGTATCAGATGCCGCTGTATGCGGTGTGACCAGTGTAATCAGCTGCACGCCAACGTCCAAGTCCTGCACGAACCCGTACGTCGGGGGGTAAAGGTGCGGCAACACTCGGGAAAGCTGACAGCAGATGCGCAACACCGGGAGACGTGGACGGAGTTGCGTATGGCGTGTGTACCTGCTGATGTGGAGACAGGTCTAAGGCCAGCAAGAAGTTAAGCGCCTGAAGGAGATGCCCCGCGTCCGTATCGGAGTTCGCAAGGGTTCCCAAGGCCCATGGCAGGTCAAGGCGGACCTGCGGGGCTGCGTTGGCTTGAGACTTTGGGGCCATGTTTGCTTCTGTATATTACGTCTGTACTAGCTACAGCTTAGGGTGTTAAGGATCACCGTTATGCCTATAAAGCTTCACATGCGGTGGGTCGCGGGCCATGTTTCCTACCGATTGCTGTGTACTATATTAATGCAATACACGCTAAGTAAACATAGGTGTAAAAACTATAAGGAAATAACGTGTTCTGACAATGTTAGTACAGTCGAAGTACAGTATTGGGTCTTGGCATCAGCAAAGGGTCTGCGTGCTACACATTTTTATATACATTGCCCGTTGTACGCACTTTACGAATCTCTAGTCTTTAAAGTGCTTTATCGCTGCGGATCCATTTTCACTTGCCTACTTGTCCCAAACATCCAAAAGAACAATCCGCTCGCTAGATTAGGCACAAATTATGAGACCGTGCGCAATTGGGCATCAGAGGTTAGCACCGTCACAACTTCCAGGGTAAGCTCTTGTGAAATATGCGCCGCAAGGCCTGGGGTTTACTGCTACTGCAGTAGATCCCCTTTTGACTGGTGGAGTAAAATCCATACAGGTGTAGATTAAAATGCAGCGTACAACGACCATGCCGGGGGGCACCGCTCGTCTGCCGGACCGCTGCACCTACCTGGGCCGAGCCAACCGCGGCGGCGAGGCCATCGCTAGCAGAGCTAGAAGATGATATGTTGGCGTCGACGTCGGGCATAGATTTTCAGCCGGAGCTCGAACCGTTTAAGCGAGAGGAAGAGCCAACGAGGTCGCCCCCGAGCATTACGGACACCGGAACGTTGCGACCGTCAGCCGAATGGTATCCGCAGTGGATGCAGTATCGGCGGCGAGAAGACAACTACGTTTTCTGGCAGGATAAATTCATGCGATGCTCAACTGATATCCCTTGTAAGCGAGGCAACCATGGGGTGGGCAACATCCCTTCCATGGGTCCCGTCACCCGCGCTTCCTCAATTTCCCCTCTCCCTCCAACGCACTTCCTCCCACGTTGAACCCTAGCACCATCCCACATCTGGGTCTCTCCGTAGCAATCTACATCCCCTCAGCAAGCCTCGGCTCACATCCTCCTCTACTCACCCACTTCTCTCCCCTCCTCTCCCCTCCCGCACCCCACACTGCACGCCTGCAGGGTATGAGAAGCGCTGGACGGTGTTCTCCACCTTCTGGTACCTGGCCATGCGCTTCAAATTCCACGGCATCCCCCCCGCGTTGCGCTTCGTGTGGTTCCTGGCGTGGCGGGGGCTGATGTTCCGGGCGTATGCGGCGCACAAGGCGCTCGTGCTGTGGCGTGAGTTGCTGGCTGGGCTGGCGGGGTCGGAGGGGGGAGGAGGAAGAAGGAGACCAGTCTGCTGGGGCCTGGCCTTTGCTCGTAGTGCTGCGGAGGAGGGGATGAGTCGTGGGTAGGAGAGGGTGTGTGGGGGGGGGCTCGCCGGGGTGAGCATGCTTAATCGGCTGGGGCGGCAGCACCCTGGCTTCTCCCATGATGGTGTCGCGTCACTCATGTCCCTCCTGCCCACCCCTCCTCTCCCCCTCTCCTCCTCCTCCTCCTCCCCCTCCCAGAGTGCAAGCTGGACGCCGCGCTGGCCTCCCGCGGCAGCAGCGGCCGGCAGGTGGGCTTCAGCCGGACCATGGCGCTGAGGCGGCTGCACTGGCGCAACAGCGCGCTGGGGGAGCTGATGTACGCGGTGAACCTGTACAAGGTGCGGGGGGGGGGGCGGGAGGGGGGGCGAGAGGAGGAGGGAGGGGGGGAAAGTAGAAGACCCAATTGAGGTGTGGGGAGCAGGAGGGGCGGGGAGGTGGGGAGGGAGTGCAGTAGAGGGGCAGCCCCTTGGGTGGGGACCTCTTATGGCCATGCGACCATAACCATAGTCGACACCCCGGCAGGCAGCTCGGCAGCCTTCAGGGCGGCGGGAACAGGGCATGGGGAGCGCCCCCGCTAGTATTCTCTGTGCTAGACCAGCATCATCTACCGGTGTTTCATCATCTTACCGGCACCACCCGAGCCTACTCGAGGAGTCCCGCTTCCCTGGCCCATTGCTCCCTGCCCCCTCCCTCCACCCCTCCACCCCTCCCTGCGATGCGTGCTTCTAGGATACCGGTAGTGTCCCCGAATGCGCTCACTGCATGAGTCGGGATATGGGATTGGGACTCGTTGTTTCACTTCATTAATTTTTTCCCTCCCTCCCTCCTGCAGACGGGGCGCATCCACCTGCTGCCGCCCGTGGCGAAACCCGTTCCCCGACCCACCTTCTTCTGGCTCTTCTGAGCTGGAGGGGGCCTGGGAAAGGCAGGGGTAAAGGGGAAGACCCGCACCGTGTGACAGAGGTAGAGGCGGAGGGGACCAGGCGGGGTGGAGAGCTCCGGGTTTGGCGGCCGGAGCGCTGGCAGATGGTGGAAGGTGTGGCGGCTGGAGCAGTGCTGGCAGCAGTGCTGCGACTGTGGCTGCGTGGTTGGGGGCGGTTGCGGGCTAATGCCGTGCTCTGGCGGGCACTGTTGGAGGCCAGTAATGAGATTAGGAAACGGACTTGACAGTTTTTGAAGGACGTCTTACTTGTTGAGCACGGTGGACTGTGCAGGGACGTTTGCATGGCAGGATCGATGATGTGGGCTGTGTGGCCCGGGCTGGTCTGCCGTACAACTGGTTAATGGCATGCGTTGGCTTCTTGACACTTGGAGTGGGGACACAGAGGGCCTCGAGGTGTCCTGTAGGTGCGACAGTCTCAATGTGGTTCGGAAGGTCCTCAAGGTATCGGGGTGTCAGCCGTTTGCTGTTGTTTGCTATTATATAACCTATACATGCTTGCGGAAGCAGGAACGCTAGCCCCCCCTTCCTTTTAGACAGGACGCTGTTGCCAGTGGGATGCGGACTTGGCCCACGGGTCACTTAGGAGGTTACGGCAGCCTGCGGCTGTCCTTCCTTGAGCGAGGGTGGTGCAGGTTGCTTTGTTTTACAAGCACACTCCACTGACGGGCTTGCCAAAGGGAATGCAGCATGCGGAACGTCGTACATGTTGGCCAATGCCACTTCAGAGGGTTGCACTTTAAGCGCCACGCATTCAGCAACTTGGATGGGTTGGCTCTGGTACGCTATATAACATGATCCAAGTACATGGCAAGTCCCAGCCGAATCCCTGCCGTGCGCTGGTCGCGGCAGCCCGTGCCTCCCCGCGATAGAGCGATCGATTTCACCTACGCGGCGGCCCCCTTCAATGCCGCCCCGTCGTGATGACTAAAACGCACAGCCTGCCATCATAACAGCTGCAGTACGGACCCTGTAGGAGCGTTGTTGCATTTCGGAAACGGTCCTTGCGCCGATGGCATGAAAGGTACTGAAGAATTCAAGAATGTGCGGCGCAATCCAGTTGCAATGTTGGAAGGTTTTGGAGGTTTCTACCACTGTCTCGAAGTACGCAGTTATGCACTATGCACCTGGCTAACGGTTGGGATCGTCGAACTTAACCGAGCGGGATCCGGAGCGAAAGAGTACTTGAAAGATAGCCAAACTATTGACCTTAGCCACATATACCTCTATAACACGTAGACGTCTTCACAATACGTAGCTCGCCGGAGGGAATGGGCCATGACTTCCACAGTGCTACCGGCGTGGCAGTCTACTGCAATAGCCCAGTTTACTGGCCAGGAGACGTAGTAGAAGGTAGTGTTCTGCTAAACGTAACTGATGCGATAGCGGCGCGTTCAGTAAGCGTGGAGGTAAGGGGCCCACGTGATAACTGTCCTGCGCGGCGTTATCGCGGCGAATCCACCTATCCCGCTTTTATAGAGGCTAGTGACAAGCGACCTTGTATCCTTCTTGATCTGTTCTTGAAGCGCTTACTACGAAAGTCTGAAGAGTGAAGGGGCCTTTGCTGTTGCTGTAGGTGTCAGGCTTCGAAAGCTTCTCCTATGAGGAGGCCGCGAAGACGAAGGAACATGCGGATGACGGTGCCGGGAGGGATGCTCATAGAACTCAAGTTCGGCTGGTTAAGCTCGATTTCCTAAAGGTGAGCGATTCTAGCCATCGACCCATAATTAGTGCCTCGCAACCAGCTACTGTGATCAATACTTTTCCTTATATACTTATTCGCAGGTTATAACAATAACATGGCTATGCGATAATGCAGCGAGCGCAGTATCTGCCACAACGACATGTTGCGCGGCCGCTCCACACGTATTGACACGTACGCACAACCCTCTTCTGCCCTCCTTAGGCGACCTTCCTGCTCCACCAGTGGAAGGGCGACAGCCCAACCGTGCAACCGGGGCAGTGCGAGTTCCCATTTCGCTTCACCCTGCCGTACGGCCTGCCGGGGAGCTTTCGTGTACAAGAGCAACACGCATGCGCCCAAGACGGCAAGGGCCGGCAGCATCAGGAACCGCAGCGGCCGGTCGCACCGAAGGGAGTCATCGGTGGTGGCAGCAGTAGGGGCATCGGCGCCGGCGGTGGCGACTGCGAGGTCGTGAAGTAAGTGGGGTTGTGTGTGGTCTCCTCCTCACGCTGCTCCTCCTCGGTGTACGTCACTCCAGGGCTTGTAAGGTGTCCTTGCATGTACATACAGGAGAAGGGGTTACTTGAACGATGATAGCAGGTGCTGTGAGCCCGCCCCACAACAGGATCGGCCAGGGGATTCCTGGGGCTTCTTAATGAATGACCGTTAAAATGGTTCCGTAAAAGGGAATCGGATAGTCCAGGTGGCAAATGGCCCGGCTCAGAGCCATGCGCTCGACTCCTCCCGCTAAAGTAATGCACAAATTCCATAACGTTACGCTTGTCTCAACCCACTTCTAACGACCCATGGGTCACGTCCAATGACAGGGCCGAGGTCCGCTACCTTATCAATGCTCAAGTGGAGCTGGTACGCGACGTTTGCAGTGACAACAACGGCAGCAGCGGCGCCTGCAACAAACAACCCAACGGTAGCAGCACCCGCGGCGACAACACCGCCTCTTCAAGCAGTCCCAACAGCAACGACACCCATACCCAGCATACCGGAGGAGCCACCAGCAGCAGCACCACCACCATAAGCACGAGCGAGGATGAAACCAACAGTCCTTCCGCCACCAGTAACCGAAACCCAAACCAACCGCCAATTACTGGGAGCAACAACAACGGCTGCAGCAACCTGCACGGTGGCACAGAGATCGTCGTACGGCAGAAGTCAAACAATCGCTTTCCTTCGCAGCCGATGGTTGCTGAAACCACCGCACGTGTACGGCAATGCGGCGGTTGTTTCGGTTGTTGCTGGGCACATGGGGGAGTGCTGCTGCGTGTACGGACGAGCAAGGAGTCTTACGAAGCTGGGGAGACGGTTGAGGTCATAATGGAGGTACGGGTGCGGGTGCACAACAAACATGCATGGGGGGCCTACACCTCTTCCTGCTCACTTCCGTCTTACCTCGTTTGGGCCCTCCTCGTCTTCAGAGCCCTACGACCACGTTTCCATTCCTTCGTAATGCAGCCCCAGCCAGCCATCTTCCTCACTTCCTCGCAGCTCACACTTCCCTTGTTGCCGTACCTGCCGTACCTGCCGTACCCCCTGCGGCCCCCCCTATGCCCGCATGCCTGCCTGCCTGCCCGCATGCAGATTGAGAACCGCACCGACGTGCCCTTCCCGGAGGTGGTTTTGCTGCTGGAGCGAAACATGCGGCTGGGAGGGGCGCTGCAGGCGGCGGTGGAGGCGGGTCAGGCAGCAGCGGAAGCAGCCGCCCAGGGAAGACCGGACGGCCAGTGGAAGGGCGGTGGTGACTGTGGTGACTGTGGTGGCGCTGGCGCCGGCACTGCTGGCGGCTGCAGCAGCGGCTGCTGCTGCAGCTGTGAGCAGTGGGAGCGCATCTGCAAGCTCAAACACCCCGGTGGGTGAGGTGGTGTGTGCTGCCGCCCGGCAGGGGTGATCAGGTGCTCACGTGCAGTGCTCATTTCCGGCTGCGCCTAGGGTTACTGTTGAGGGTGGTGCCCACGGTAGACCCAGGCGGGGCAGACGCCTGTGTCTTCCGAGCTCCTTCCGTATGCGTGTGCGACCATGGCAGTGGGAGGCGGGGGAGCACGGATGCGATGAGAGCAGGCTTCCTGGCCCCGCAGCAGACACACAGAAGGGCTTTCCGGCTACCGCTGACCCCTGTGACCCATGGCGTCACCATCACTCCTTACCTCCCTCCCAGGCCTGGTCCCCGGCTCCAGCTACCAAGGCGACAACGCGCAGCTGCTGCGGCTGCTGCTGCCGCCCGGCCTGCCGCCCTCCAGTCACCCGGACCCGGAAGCAACAACAACCACAACACCCGCCTGTTGCCAACTCGCACAACAGGCGCGAAACGGCTGCAGCAGCGGCAGCAGCCCACATGACGGCCTCAGCCCCATGCAGCCCCAGCAGCAGCCCCAGCAGCAGCCCCAGCAGCAGCACCTGCTGCTGCGGCCCGCCGGACGCCTCGTGAGTTGCCGGTACCGGCTAGCGCTCCAGCTGGCGGGCGGAGGGGTACTGGCGGACAGCCTGCGAGTGCAGCTGCCGCTCCTGGTGCACGCCCCGCTGCTGCTGACGGCACTGCCTTCGCACGTGCCGGCGCCTGCTGGGGGGGCTGCGGGTGCCGGCGGGATGCCGGAGGGCTGGAAGCCCCAGGTGATGAGTCGATTGTCTTCGCTTATGTACCTTGCGTGACGTTGACATATCACTTGAGCAGCGACGCGCCTTGTATCAACTTCGCACGCCCGTCCACCTGTTATGCGAGGTTGCGGCTGCCCGGTACAAACCCGAACCCCAACCTCATGACAGCGGGCAGCCTAGTCCTGGCAGCAGCAGCAGCCAGCACCGGCCTTGCCTCCCTGCCTCCAGCAGCCCTCACCCTCCATTGCCGCTTCCGCTCCAACCCTATTCTGATCCAACCCCTCCCTCCTTCCTTCTGCCCAGATGATCGCTCCGCCAGTGGATCTCCCCATGCCCTCCTTCCCGCCAGCGCCGCCCGCACCGGCAGCCGGCATGTGTCGCCGGGAGGGCGGGTGAGGGGCGCTGGCGCTGGAGACGTGGCAGGCGGCTGGTTTGGATATGGTGTATATGGCGGCGGTGCTGCGTGGTGGCATTGCGTGGTATTCGGGCGCTGGTGTAGTTTACTTCAGCTGCCTGGCCACGAGTCGGAACGTACTGTGGCATGCGGGCGCTATACATGCTGGATGCTGCTTTTGGGAGTGATTACCTATAGATTGCTGATTTGCATGTGCATAGCTGGTGTCTGGACTGGTGTTGCGTCCCTGCCTTGCCTCTGTGTGTAGGAGTGCAGGGCATGGGAATTTGTGTGATGGATTGCAAGGCATGAGGACATATGCATGGCGAGGGGGGATCCTAGGTGTTCCCCGCCAAAGCCACTTTGCTTTCACCGTGTGCTGGTAAAGCTGGTGAGCTGGCCGCTTTTGATGGGCTGATTGTTATCGTAACATTATTTTAGGTTACCTGAGTTCATAACAGTTGCAATGCGTGAGCTACGGATGGGAATGAGGTGGGCCAGTAGCAGGGTTAGCAGTGGTTGGTTGTTCCAGAGCGGGTCCATTGAAGGCTGGTAGTTTGTTTGTTAGTTGTTGTGGGAGGTTGTTTTAGTGGAAGAGGGCATGGGCATATAAAGCAGAGATTCCGTGTTTGGGAGTCCAAAGCAGCGGCACAGGAGCCAGTGTGGATGGCAACTGGGCTGCAATAGCTGGGTGGACTCGCGAATGCCGTATACCGGTATTCGGTTCACGGGGGCACCACACGTGCTCGTTCGTTACGTTACATGTTGCATGCAGGGTCTGCTGTGGGTGGGGTGGTGGTGCTGTGGCCGCATCACGGCCAATGGGGCTTCGCTAGTTTGTACGACGTGTACCGGTGTGTGTGGTGCCGGAAGGTTGTCGGCATCTATGTGTAAAGAATACTGGCCGCGAGTCGGAACGTACTGTTGATGATTATGTGTAGTTGAGCGGAAACAAGAGCAAGCAGTTGGGATAGGTGATGATTATGTGTGTGTGTGTCTGCCATTCGGTACAGCTGTGCGAGTGAGTCTGGGCGGCTGGTCTGGTGTTGAGGTGCCGTTGCTGTTGGCGGCTGCAAGCGGCGCTTCACCTGTAGTTGTTGGTGTTGACGTGGAGGCGCCATGTACCGCATGCTCCCGTGCTGTGGGGATAACCGCAGCTATGTTGGGGGCGTTGTATACGTAGGTGAGGTGGGGAAGAGGGTGTGGAAGAGTGGAGGAGTGAATGGTGGGTGGCATGCTGTGTGTTTACGGATGTTGCAAAGCTGTGCACGTACGGCGAGCCATGGCGGCTGCACTACTGCATGGAAGGGTGTTGCGGAGTAGCCCGTCAGGTGTTTAGGTGGTGCAAGAGTGAGGCCAGCCGGTTGGGTGGTGACTCTGCTGGGTGATGCGAGGCGGGGGGCACTCAAACAAGGGAGGGAAGCAGTGTTGACAACTCGCAACTGGAGAGGTCACATGACTAAGCAGGCAGTTTGAGGGTGGGAGGATGATCCTGTCTAGGACTGGCTTGCATCAGATTACGGTAGTTGGTTTGTGACACTGCCAAACACCACCTGCGACAACCGGAACACGCAGCTACCTGCCCCGCGCTTCCCATTAGGGGATAGTGAAACAGGCTTCTACTCCTACGCTTGCGCGTCGTGGAGCATGACTCCTAATATCGGCTGAATATGGCTGATGGCCGACACCGCCAGGTTCCTCGTGCGGCAAACCGGGTGTACGGAGTCATTGTCATTGCAAGGCACCTTCGCTCATTCTTGGTTGGATCTTGTGGTATAGGTAGTTTAAGAGGTGTTTATTTTACTAGAGAAAGAAAGCACAATCAACCCTTCACTGCTAAACTTTGAGTCACAACAATGACATTGCTAGACTTTCAGTTACGCACGCTGGAATATCCCCATTCCGTGGACTTAACACAAACGGAGTCAATACGACAGCTCGTTGTATGGCTGGAGAACAAAAAGGCAAGCGTCGCGGCGCAATGTCACGGTGTTGCACTTTTCTGTCTTGGCAAACTCATTGATACATTAATTTACGCTTTCGTAAAAATACACGCGTACTCGAGAAACTACATCCATGATCACCACTTGCGTATCTTGCGGTTGGCTGGGCATGGCAACAGTCCACATCGCATCGGGCGCACCGTCTAAGGAAACGGCGGTAACTATGTGCAAGCGTTCTTATTACACTTGAATATTTAGCACTTGGCAACTCTGCGGGGTGCGGTTCACTTAACATGTCCAACGCCCGCGTCGCACCCATTCTTTCACGACATTTCCTCAAACCCCACCCCAAATCTATAGGCCATTGCCCATGTTTGCTGTAACCCTTTTCCCAGCCGCCATGTTCGCACGCACCTTCCCATCCTAGGCACCCCCCAATGCACTGCTCGACGGTCCGATGTTAGCAGCCGCCAACTAGCTAATCGATACTATTGAACATCAACCCTATGGGCGGCTCTACATTCCCCCCTGCTGCTGGTTTCGCGTTTGCCTTACACTCCGGCACAAGCCATGCTGGCCTTGCTCTCCGCACAAGCCATGCTTGCCTTGCCCTCCCGCTCCGCCGCCCTCCCGCAGATCCGAGAGTACAAGATTGCAGATCGAAAGGCCCTGAACGACACCCAGTCTCCTTCATGGGATGCGGCGTTCAAAAAGGTACCGGCAGCCGTGGCACACGTAAACAAGTGCGAGCCATGTTGTCACATGTTGTAGGACGTGGGCCACGGGGGGGGACGCACGTGCGGGTGTGACGTTGGAGGATAGGGCTTCACGGAACCCGGAAAACCTGCTACCCCCGTAATCCCACATCATACATCATCTCGCAAAGCCGCGATCCTACGTACCAGCAGGAATGTGGTGGAACCAGTTGCTGCCCTAACTCATCCCCCTGTCCTCATCCCCCTGCCGCACGTACTGCCGTACCGCTGCAGTACCTGGGCGACCTGGAGTGCCCCCTGCCGCCACCCGCCGGGGGCAGCCCCCCCGCGCTGCTGGCGGCGCTGCAATGGCTGCTGGCGTATGCGCTGCACCTGGAATATGAGGACAACGGTAAGGGGGAGGAGGAGGCGGAGGAAGAAGAAGAGAATAGGAAGAGAAGAAAAAGAGAATAGGAACCGTGCTGTGCACGATAGTGATAACTGCAAGGAGGGGAGTCGGGGGATGGCGGGAGCTCTCGGGCGATGTCGAACGGGCCACTGAGGTCAGAGAAATAGATGGCGTGGGCCAGGGGAAGAAGCGACCCGTGCGGCCCCTGTGCCTGCGTTGGGATCGCTTTCCCTGTTGGGCAAATGCCATCAACATCCTCACGCAGTAAAAGAGTGAGACGAAAACGAGTCAGGAACGTAATTTTGGTATACCGCTTTACATGCCGTACATGTTCGTACATACACAGCGGACAAGATCGCAGCAGCAGCAGCGGGTGCTGCGGGTGCTGCCAGCGCGGGCGGGTCGTCCGCGCCTGTGCCGGCCGGGCCACCCGCTGCGTCTGGACAGCTGGCCCCGGCCTCCGCGGGTCAAGCGAAGAAGGACGGCGCAGGAGGCGGCACAGCAGGAGGAAGAGCAGCGGGAGCTGTGAGCGACGCCCCGTTCTGCGACCGTAAGTTGGGGTTGTTGAGCGGCTGTTTGAAGCGGGGCAGGGTGCGGAGGAGCACAGGCATGGACTGCGTGCTTCGAGCACATCACGTCGGGGCTGCATCGCGTATAACGCTATTTGATGTTGACATACGGTAACAACACCCTACAAGACGCGCGCATGTCCGCGACCGGCTTTCCTCCCAACGCAACGTCCTCTTGCAACCCACCCACCCACGCCTCGCATTAACACGTTGGGTACCGTATTCTTCTTTTTCCACCCCTCGCGGGTATCATGCAAGCCGCCATGTGCCGGATTCGTGCTCCATGCGCCTACTCATGATGCTAACCTGCCATGTCATGCGACGACGACGACGACGACGACGACGACGACGACGACGATACCATACCCGAACTCATATGGTCCCCATACGAAACACCCGCAGTTGCGGACCCCGCTACCTTGTCAGCGCTGCAGCAGCTGCTGCGGATCACCGGAGTGGCACCGGCGGGGGCGGCGGCGGCAGGCGGCGCGGATGCCGCCTCGGGAGCCTTCGTAGATCAGCTGCTGGTGGGATGCGGGGGGGGGGACGGGTCGCCCGGGAGACGGGAGGGGCGTAGCAGTGCTTATAGATGGATAGGGCGTGTGTGTACACGATCGTGTTGGGTTGTCGGCCGTGGCACGCATGTGGCGCATCCACCCACCGGTGGGTGTCATCTTTCAGCGATCACAGTACCGGTACGTTCCGCCCCGCGGCCAGTTTTCCTGGCACTGCGACACCCGTTGAACCCACCCGCCACTCCACTCTGCCCCTGCCACTGTCCCCAGGCAGCAGCGGAGCTGTTGGTGTGTTCGGTGGGGCCGGTGTTGCAAGCGGGAGGAGGAGGCGGAGGAGGGATGTGGGACGCTGGCAAGCCGCCACGACAAGCCCTGGCACGCGTGCCGTTGGGCTTCGAGGTGGAAGGTGGGTTGCTTGCCGTACAGTATCATGGTTTGCCGCCACCCTGTCCTTCTTTTACTTCTTTACCTTCTTCGGTAACCAATTTTTCCGTTGCAAACATTTGCAACGACCTTGCGCTCGCTCGCTCGCCACCCCGCGGTCGTGTGCCTCCCTCACAGGCGAGGCGCTGTCCTCCGCTGCCGCGGCGCTGCGACTGCTGTACATGCGCGATCTCCGACGCCTGCAGTCGCAGATCGACCATGCGCTAGTGGAGATGCAGGTAGGTATATATACCCGTATACGGCTGCCGTACCTGTACGGTAGGATGGGGCCTGGATGACCCATGGGTCTTATGGCTTCAATCCACAAAGAAGAAGATAGCTCAGGGCAAAGTACCTGTTGGCCATCCAGGCAGGGCCCAGCCCATCTTCCGCCCTGCTCCTTGCCCCTTTCTTTTCATGTGCCTTTCAACTTTCCTGCCGTACTCCCGGCAACCTCCCAACCCCTGCAGGAGTACACGGCCAACCCGCGCACGGATGCCAGCCTGGGCAAGGTGGGCCGGTGAGGCTGCCATACACACGGCGGGGATCATCATATGCGGTCAAGCCAGGGAATGCAACGATCAGCAACAATTCATGTCAAAGAACGTTTTCAGGATCCGGAATATTTTGGACTCTACGCTTCTGTGGCGAGCCGCGAGAGGTCGTTCTCCACCACAGCAAGGGAAGGGAGAGGAGCTGCTGACGCATGCTAGCATGTGTGTTCCGAAGCTAGCACGTCCTTGCAAAGTTAATTTGGCGTTGGCAATGTTGACAGTGCTAGACGGGAGGAGCTGCGCTTTGTGTAGGCAGCAAACCTCTTGCCAAGCTATGCCCGTCGGAGGCCAAGAAGGGCTTATGAAAGGGATTAGTTCGTCTGTGGTGTGGCTTCGGAACGATCGGAAATGGTTGTACAGGGGTGATCCCAGGAGGACGGCAGTTACTATCGCATCGGTCGGCTGAGGAAAACACGGTACGGGTGTTGGCAGGGTATTGGGGCACCAATCGCCGCTCGCTGGCGTTTACACTACGGGAAAAATGCTGCTACGTGCTCAGTTGGAGCAAAGGGAGCAAGTATAGGTAGCTGAGTCTCCTGTCCCTCCATGTCAAGTTTCGGCAGCGGCAATCTCAGGAATACTTTTGTTTCCTGCTCTGCCTAATTGTAAATTTCCTTCCTCTCTTATAATACTCATTTGACCAGCCGTACCGATGCCTTTCCGGTAAAGATTAAAACGCTATTCAGTTGAAAATTCGTTGACTTTATTTTAGAGATACCGTTTAGAATTGTAGGCATTTCAACCTATCTCTACAAACTGCTATGTGCACAAGAGGTCTACAGCTGGTTCGGGGCTGGCACTCCTGGCAGCGTCAATTTACGACGCGCATCCCGGAGCGGCAAAGACATGTGTGTCTTTCTACCAAATGTGATTTAAGATATATATCAATGGATGAAAGGTTTAGGACGTGAGAGGTGGGCGAACCCTTCCCATGTAGAAAGCAAGCGCTATACTGCAGGGCGGCAGAGGTGCCAGCCATCCCAAGCCTCAACAATAATGTGCAAGCACAAGAGCAAACAGCAAGAAGATATTAACTACTTGTATAAATGCGGGCTTGTGTTGGCGAATATGCGCATAGACACCCTCACATGGCCATGAAGGAGTCCAGCTCGGATACTGTACGAAGCTCGTCCCCAGAAGCGGATCTGGTACATGTCTGAGTTGTCGCTTTTCCATGGGCAATCCACGGGGTGACCTGACAGGCGACTGAAAGAAGCATTTGAGCAGGGAAATAAACATCGAGGATCTAAACAGGAAGAGAACGCAGCCGCCAACAATAGAGAAGTGCAATTCTGACAGGTTGAATAGGACCTAGATCGATTAGGCACAAGGGGTTAATTTATTCCAAGGGGGCCCAGAGGGCAGGTCTTCCAGATGACTGGCCGTAAGGCTGCTGATGCCGGGCGTTCAGCTCGGTGCCGCAAGCGACATGCAGAGGACGACCTTGACGCACAGGGAGAGAAGCGGGGCCCATGGATGCCGGACGTGAGTATAACGGGGAAAACGACTGGGATCCATTATCCAAACAAAGAGGTCGTGTCACCTGGGAGACTTCCAGTCGACCTGCAGGCCGCTCACAATTCCAGCCATGGTCCTACGCTCTCACGCGTTTCTCACAACTGAGGCCCACCTAGTTACTAGAATGCTACTATGCCGCCTATTTAGTAATCTATAATAAGTCATTGCTTCCTCCTTCGACTCCACCACTTCCTGCTGCACAGGAGGACAAGCTCCTTACAGAACTCGTCGCAGCTTGCGGAGCTCAGCGCTGGAGTACTATAGCCGAATCTATACAGGGGCGCTCAGGAAAATCCTGTAGACTCAGGTGGGTGCAGGCTGCCTGTGTCCGGCTTGGCCGAGAAACCCAATAAGGCGCGCTGACCAGTCGCACCGGTATGCATGTGCGCAGATGGTGGAACCACCTGAGTCCTCAGGTCAAAAAGGGACCGTTCAGCGATTTCGAGGACGCAGTAATTGTGCGGGTGAGGCCAAGCAAAGCTTGGTATCCCGACCCGCCGCAAGTTGTCGGTCCTTCGCGACTTGTTTCCCGTAACCCGCATTATTTGAATGATGTGCTTATGGCATTTGGACCCATAAATATTTTCTTTTGCGCCGCAGTCTCATGAAAAGTATGGCAACAAGTGGTCAGGTGGGATTGTCACCCTTAAGGAAGGCCAGGCGCCATCCTAAGCAAAGCTCTGCTAGGGTGCGATGCCTCCACATGCTGCAACGCTAACTCATAATTTAAATTGCAGTCATGGCCAAGCTGCTCCCGGGAAGAACAGATAATGCGGGTAAGCTCGAATGGGTCTGCTGCCACCGCGGCTGCTGTGCTGTTGTTCATTATGCTGCTGTTCACTGTTCCTTCCACAACTGCAACGTACTGGAGTATGGAGTTTGTGGCAGACCCAGTGGCAGAATTAGTAAAAGATGTGGGCATCTATGCTTAGTCACGCGTGTCTCACTCTTTCCAGCCTGCTTCAGGCACACTTCCCATGCAGCCCTAGACAAGAATTCCTTACGGTCTTGGGTTTGCTGTTCCATTCCTCCAACCCTCCACAGTCAAGAACAGGTGGAACTCCACGCTCAAACGGAAACACACGGGCGGAACACTCAACAACAAGTGAGTTGCCGCTTTCGGTTATTACTCATCACAATCTCGCTGCTAGAGGATTCCTCTCCCGTTGCTGGGCAGATCTTCGTGCTGCATGCTCGGAATCCAGTCAATCATGCGCTTCCCAAATGACGTTACCCAGCGCCGCTGTCCAGGCTTACCGCTGCCAATGCCATTCGCGAACTTCTTGCCCAGTACCGTATTTGGCTGACCCAGATCAACGCGAGTCGTACAAACACCGCGAACACGCCCGCCGTCCCCATCTATTCCCTGTTTATTTCTTAACATGCTACATGCTAAACCCTCTGCTGCGACACTGCGCCCTGCGTTCTTCTGCGTCCTCCTGCGTCCAGGTTCGTGGACAAGTATCCGGAGCTGGACGCCCTGATGGAGGACCCCGAGGGCGCCAGGGAGAATGCCGAGTACCACAGCAGTCTGGAGGCCGCGGGATTCCACGTCACCTCCACCCACATGTGCTCCATGGGGTCGGAGGACGAAGACATGGACGAGGATGAAGACCACGTGGGTAGCGATGATGCGGAGGAGCCGCCGCCGCATCACCACCACCAGCATGCACCGGTACGGCACCGGCAACCGCCGCGGCGGCAGCCCTCGCAACGTCAGGCGGCGGCGCTGCAGCAGCAGCGGCTGGCGGCGGCGGTTGCGGCGGCGACTGCGGCGGCCGAGGCGGCCGCCGCAGCGGGGAACGGTGGTGCTGCTCAGCAGCCGCAGTCGCGAGCAAGGCAAGCCGCAGCCATCAAGGAGGAAAAGGAGGAGGAGGACGAGGACGAGGAGTTGCCGGCAGCTAAGGCTGACGGGACGGCGACACCGACGGCAACCGAGACACCCCGTCGCAGGCCGCCGCAGACACCGCAGTCCCTGTCACCGGCAAGCTCGCCCGACATTGTGCGGCATCCTCCGTCGCCTGCCGCTGTCGCATGCGGCTTGGGCCGCGATGAGGGAGGAGACCAGGCAAACGTCCCTGACCAAGCGCGTCTGCTGCCTCCGCCAACAATGGACGAGGTGTCACCGTTTTCCAGCCGCTCCACGCCGGCTGTCACGTCAGTACCCGCCCCGCATTCGTCGTTGCAGCCCAACCACCCCATGCAACCGCAGGATAACCACCACCTCTCTAAACGGCTTCGTAGCACTGCCAGCGAGCCTCATGAGGGCTCCGGAACCACCACCGCGCAGGAGCACTCGCCATCAAGCTCTCTGCCCGACCACCAGTCAAGCTTGCCAGCCGCCCCTGCTGCTGCTCCTGCTCCTGCTGCTGCTGGTGGTGGTGCAACGGCGGCAACCCGGACAAGCACGACCATGTTCGGTACTGCCACGGGCGCTGACGCTTCGGATGCCGACCAGACCGCCGCTTCAAGCCGTAACGCCAGCAATTCTGGGCTGGATACCTGCACCGGAATGGATACCACCACCAACAACAACAACCTCAACAACGTTACCTGTTCCGGTCAAATGGCCCACGTTCACGGTCCTGGCAGCGGCAGCAGCAGCAGCAGCAACAGCAGCGGTGTCGCCGGTGACTGCGGTATGCGCCTTGACGGCATGATGGCTGCCCAACCCCAAGCATCCGTTTTTCGCTTGGCGCAGGAAAACTGCGGTGGTGGCGTGCTTTCGGCGTCTGGCGCCGCTGCTACTGCTGCTGAAGGTACAGCCACAGGTACAGCTGCCGCGACTGCTGTTCCGGCCGCTGCGCCCACACCGCCTCCAGCACTTATGGAGGAACCGCAAGATGACCTGGAGTGGCAGAGCATTATCGACTGCTTGGAAACAGACATGCCGGGGTGTCCCACGGGCGGGGCTTTATTTGGAAGTGCGGACTGGACTTGTCTACCCGTTGCACAGCCACAGCAGATGCACCAACAGCAACAACTCGCCCAGCAACAGCTGCTGCAACAACAGCAGCAGCAGCCGATGATGCAGTCGCAGCAGCTGCAGCAGCAGCAGCAGCCGTCACCCCAGGTGGCGCAACAACAGCAACAGCAACATGCCAAGCAGCAGCAAGAGCAGCAGCAGCAACAACAGGCGCTTGGCATCCCTTTCCCGCCCAGCATGGTGGCTCCAAACGGCATCATGTGCAACAACAGCGGCGGCGGCGGTCCCCTCAGCAGCATGGGGTGCATGCCGGCATGGGGCTGCATGGCTGCCCCGCCGTTGTCCTGCTCGGCGCCAGTCCAGGCATTCCAAGCCATGGGCATGCCGCCCATGTCCATGACGCCCTTGGGCATGGGAATGGCGATGCAATCGACACTAATGGGGCCCACGCTGTTGTTTCCACCCGAGGTGAGGGGCGAGGCCGCGCGATAGCGGCCATCCTCCTCTGCTGTGGCTTGTTGCTGAGTGCGGCAGGGCACCGGAAAGTGATGTTGGTGAGGTTGCGGTTGTACCGGTTAACATTCCATCATGCCACTACGGTGGTCGGTGATGTTACTAGGGTTCAGGCATGTTGGCACAATCGCATCGACATTGACGCGCTGGCCCACTTCCTGCCGTACCTTCCGTGCATTCAGGCTCCCATGGGTCTTCACCCCGGCAAATGGTTGGCGGCACCGGCGCTACCCACGCCGCCGCAGCCGTCGCAGCCGCTCTCCGCAGCATCCGCCCCGCAGCGGGTGCAGCGCGGCTTCTCAACTTCCTCCGCCACCCCCGCCACCCCCACGGCCACCAACCCGGCTGCCATGACGCCGGCGGCTGCCCCCATGCTACCATTCCAGGGGCAGCCGCAGCCACCCATGGGCCGAACCGCGGGCGAGTACCCCTGGGCAATGCAGGTGCGTACACGCGTGTGCTCTTGACGTTTTAAGTGTCTGTAGTACAAGCATGCGAGCCATGCGCGCCTGGGTACCTTGCATGAGCTTGTCCAGGGGGATCGTAGGATTGATCGGGATGTGGCAATGGATGCCGTTTCGTGTCATGCACAAGGCGCATGCATCGCCTTTGCATGCATCGCCATGGTTATGGCTTGTGCTTCCCTCTCCATGGTTACGGCTTCCGTGCCACCCGGTGCCGTATCTACTACCGCTAATCACCATCTCCCCCTTGACTCCTACAGGACATGGAGCTTTCCTTCGCAGCAATGTCCAGTGGCAACGAGTCCTGTGCTGCTGCTGCTCCTCGCCCCTGCAGCGGCCCTCAACCGCAGCTGCAGCTGCTGCCGCAGCAGCTGCTGCCCCAGCAGCCGGCTCCGTACATGATCCAATCTTGCTGCTTCCCGCCGTCCTTCCCTTACGACATGAGCCGCTTCGCTTTCGGGAACGGCGTGATGAGCGATCAGATGGCCTTCCTGGTGTAGTACAGGACGGATGCCATGAGGATGAGAGCTGGCATGACGCAATTGGGAGGGTGGAATGCTTGCCGTCTGCACGAGTGACACCGCGTCTGGTCACCGATTGCATATGAGCGATTGCATGGCTGGCCATGCTTCTGCTGTGTGACGTTCGTACGTGCTTGTGTACCGTAAGCGCTTCTTAACCTATCTATTCTGGCATTGGTGCATGAGAAGCTTCTTTAATGCTGCATGCTCTATGCGATGCATGTAAAGTTGGAGAGGAAGAAGATATGCTGCTGCAACACTGTATTCGCGCAGGCTTTTGTACCGCACGCGGTTTTATGTTGTTGGAAGAGGCAGTTGTGAGGGCACACATGTGTTGTACGACATGCATGGATAGTACGGCAGTCCATGCGTTGTACGACACAGCCTTTGCATGCCGCAACCAACGGCCACGTGCATTATTATTCAATTCAAGGAGAGAGAGTTATTCGTTGGCCGCCTGTATACCATTTTTGCTGGCCAGAACTGCTGCATGTGATGAGTTGAAAAGGCAGGAGGGGGTGTTACAATTGGTTTACCACCCTTGTTAGCTTGTTAAGAGAAGACGCCCTATTTAGGTGACCATGTGCAGGTTCACAATCTGCTTATCTACCTATAAAGAGCCGTTGAGGAAGAGGAGTCGTTGGAGACCGTTTGGGGTAGTGCGACCTGATGGCCCTTGGTTGCCGTGCACGTTGCACCGCGACGTGTGTGTGTTTAAGTGTGAGAAGACAAATGTGATTCCGGTCCATTACCCTCCGTTAGGCGCCTTACCTGTCGCGCCTACGGTGCCGTACAGCGACGGGCCTTTTGACGTGATTTGCCGTACCTCTTGTTTGTTGGCCTGGGTTTGCGCGGCCGGCTTTGCAGTCCGAGGCTATTGGGGACGCGGGCGCCTGCCAAGCCTGTATTGACCCGGAAAGTATGCTGATGACCCTCCGTATGCTGGTTGTGCTTTGCCTTGAGTGGAGTCGGTTTTTCCGCTGTTGACGGCTTCTGAACTGCTGCTGCGGGCGGCCGGAGGCATTGCTTCGGCTGCGGCCTAGAGCTTGAATGGTATTGTCAGTTGTTGACTCTCTGTGGGCTCGAGGGCCTGTGTTGCGCCTAAGTACCGCTGCTGCAGTGCTTGCTGCGGGGGTAATGTAAGAAAGGCAGTTGCTTGGTCGATCGGTTCGTTGGTCTTGGCCGGTTTTAATAAGGAGTACGGAATAGCATTAGCGGAGGAGTGGAGATGGGCGTGTGGCTTTGAGGGAGTGGAGAGGTAAACCCAAAGAGCAATCAGTGAGGAGAGTGTATCAGGGTTAGATATCCTTGGCTGAATTCTATGACGTTCGTATTGCCCTTAACGACAGTAACTGCCGTCCTAGGCTAACACGCCAGACCAGTCCTGTTGGAGTGTGGGGCTTTCCCACGGCGCTTTGGGGTTGCTTGAGATGCGTACGTGTTTTCGCAGTAACGCGGTCCTGTTTTGAAGTAACAGGTATGATGGATGATGCGTGCTAGGTGTGCTGCTGCCTGTTTCTGTGCGTTTGCGGTGTTGCGGTGGTGGCGACGATAACGACTATGATAAATGGTGATGGCTACTCAAAGCACTTATATTCGTGAGGGACTTGTTTTGCCGTACGCTGCTGAGCATCGTACGTAAGCTGAATATCTTGCTTTTCCTTGTAGCGAGTGGTGATGATATAATGGAGTTGATATTATCGTAACATGCCAGGATAAAGTCGAGCATACGAGGGGCTTGTTCATATGCTGCAGGAGCGATGGTGTTTTGAGCTGAGCAGTAAGAGAGAGGAGGGGCGAGGAGCAACAACAACAACGTTTTCAGTGTTTCCCTTTCTTTACTCCGTACTTTTGGTCCCCTATCTCTCACATGTATGATTACTGTGTGGTTTTAAGTATTATTAACAATTATCAATGTACCACAGAGCATTGCGGCGTGAAGTTGAGCCTTGGAGTGCGCGTATGTTGTACCGGATGTGTGTGGCTGTGGCGCGTACGCGCTGCACGGCGTGCGGGTATATTGATGTTGCCGACAAGATAGTTATGGTTAGGTGAAGACATTTGGGTAAGAAGATGTGTGCTATGGTGCATGAGTGGTCGCAGGGCGACACATCCCCACCATTGCACTGCCTGGCATTACGCAAGGAAAGGTCACCACTTGTAGCCTTGACATGTAACACCCCGTCCCGAAGGACGATTACGGTGCCCAGCGATAAATTAGCCGGTGCGCATGGAATCAAGACTTGGTCCAGAGGTGTGCATGGCTTGTAGCTAGGTCAGGTCGGTCCATGGGTCACGTATGGCTCGTTAGCGTTGAGAGAGGTATGAGAGGTATAATACTGTCTGGTTATTCAATTGCAAGGATACTCTTTCCCCTGGAGACGTGCTCAACAGAAGCAGAACTGGCCCGGGCACGATAGCACTGCGGCAGCAGCCCCTAAATGAATGAATGACTGTTACAATGGTGCCCTAAAAGGGAACACTATATCGTAGCGCTATGTCGTAGCAGGAGGGTTGCTAACGTACAACTAGAAGCTGTGGCAAGAGCTGCGGTGCCAGCAAAAGACGTACCAGTATGCTCCAACACTAGGGCTACCCCATGGGATACGCATCAACCGTTTGCCATTTCAGTGAAATCCTTATTGACATTTAAATACTCGATCATGTAGGCACATATTAATATTATAATAGCGATGGAAATAGCTCAGCATGCGGTCAGCAGCAGGTAGGTCAAGTTCTGTACGGCAATGTGGTAATCCCTGTCTATTCGCAACCTGTTCATGGTTAGGCTAGTCTTACCTATAGGGCATAGGAGGTCGACTACCTAGGCTTCTTAAACTTCCAACCCTTCCTTTGGGGCCCGTCCGATCATCTTGAGAAATGCTGCCTGCCCTCGTGCAGCAGGCCCGTATCCATGGGCTTGCTACTGTAAGTTTTCAACGTATTCGCTCAGGAAAGACAGTTACAGGCCGTATTAACGAGGTCACTGTCCTCGCAGCGTCTGCCACGCATCGCCGCGGCTGTTCGAGGGTTTGCCAGCCAGCCAACTGAGGTCTGTTTACTGCCTTGTAACCTTTCTACGCTTGTTACCTTAGCCTAGCTTATCCCTTCACACAGATGACTGTACGTGACGCGTTGAACTCGGCGCTCGACGAAGAGCTGGCTCGCGACGATAAGGTCTATATCCTGGGCGAGGAGGTAAGCGGCATGAAGCAAGACACTTGAACTGCAAATTACTAACCAAGCTTTACCCTTGGCTTTGGACAGGTCGGAGAGTATCAGGGTGCCTACAAGGTAAGCACTTGGGTCTGCAGTTTCACGTGGTAAGCAATCCCTTGTTAACTCTAACCCGTTAACCCCTCTCAGATCACCAGGGGTCTTCTCCAAAAGTACGGCGCGGACAGGGTAAAGGACACGCCAATCACTGAGGTGGGTTAGCATTCCCATCCATCCTTACGGACCCTCCTCGACTATCGGAAATCCGCCACCCAACCACCAATCCACCAACTCCTCACCAACTACAGGCGGGATTCACGGGCATCGCCGTTGGCTCGGCGTTTGCCGGGCTCCGACCAGTTTGCGAGTTCATGACATGGAACTTCGCGCTGCAAGCCATCGACCAGATCATCAACTCCGCTGCCAAAACGCTGTACATGTCAGCCGGTCAAATCAACTGCCCCATCGTGTTCCGCGGCCCCAACGGCGCCGCTGCGGGTGTAGCGGCTCAGCACTCGCAGTGCTTTGCCTCCTGGTACAGCTCCGTACCCGGCCTCAAGGTGAGCCTGGTGGGCGTCCGTTGCGCTGGGCGGTGGAGGGCTGCTGCTGCTGCTGGCTAGCGATGAAAAGCAGGGAATCCCGGCTGGGCACAAGTATACGTGGTTTTTGCTCCACACAGCTGCAGCAAAGCTCTGCCGTATCTCACGCCCTCCCACATCCCCCACACCCCCACCCCTTTCCCCTCAGGTGCTGGCCCCCTACGACTCGGAGGACGCTCGCGGGCTGCTCAAGGCCGCCATCCGCGACCCCGACCCGGTGGTGTTCCTGGAGAACGAGATCCTGTACGGACAGAGCTTCCCTGTGACCCCGGAGGTGAGGGGGGGCGGGGGAGGAGGGAGAGAAAAGATATGACTAGTGAAGCAACTGGCGCAAGTAGAGGGGAGGGGAGGCGGGAAGAGGAAGGTCACTGTTGGTGGTGGTGGGTTGTCAGTGCAGAGCAAGGGCGGCTGCGGATAGAGGAGGGACTCGGGAGGTACTGGCGGAAGGCGGGACGTGGGCTGGGGCCCTTCTCCTGGGGTGGTATCCGATGGCAGGATGCAGTCAGTTGGCCGGGGCCCTGGTTGGCTGGGGCCCTGCTGGTTGGCTGGGGCCCTGGTTGGCTGGGGCCCTGCTGGTTGGCTGGGGCCCTGCTTGGCTGGGGCCCTGCTGGTTGGCTGGGGCCCCCTCCCTACACGGTTCACTGGCTGGCAGCACGCAGCAGGGGTTCGCGCTGGGCACCAGCGCCGCAACGACACACATGCGGTGCAAAGGAAAGCCGGCGTGCAGTGTCCACGCATGGTTTCGTTTTGGGCGCAGCGGTAGCGGCAGTCGCCCGCAGTCGGACGTTAGCAGTCGGACGTTAGCAGCAGCAGTAGGGCCCGCACCCCACTCCTCCCATCACGCCTGGCTCCCATCGCGCCTGGCTAGCAGGCATCAGCCGGGCTAGTAGCAGAAGCGCGCCGGGAGGGCAGCTAGGAAGCTTGACAACTGCGGCGATGGCAGCGGCGGCAGCAACAGCTGAGCGGAGGGGCCGCGATTGAGGGGGGGGCCCACGGAGGCCCTCCTCAATCGGCCGCCAGGGGCAGCTGTGTGTGTATTTGCCGGGCCGTGTCCGGCCCGCAAGCAGGCCAAACGCGGCTCCGTAGCAGGCAGGTGTTGTGCAGAGGAGGAGGAGGGGACTTGTCCCCTTGCAAAGCGCTCTCGCTCTCAACGTGCGCACGTCGGCACGCCGGGTGGCGGCTGCATGCGAGGGGGTGCCCCGAGCTGATACCGGTACCCCGGATTGGCTGTGTGCGAGGGCGACGGGCGGCGCAGGCGCAGATGAGGTGTGGACGAAGATGTAGCACGGCAGCAGCGGCAGCGGTAGCAACCGGCAACCGGGACGGAGAAGGAGGAGCAGCAGCAGCGGTGGAGCAGCATGATGGGACGCGGCCGGCGCTCGCCTGCTGGTGCTGCTACCATACCCCTCTTCCTCCACGCAGCCCTCAGCTCCCCCTCCCTCCCCGCTGGATGGCATGGCAGTAGGAGATGGACGGGAAGGAGATGGATGGGCTGGGGCTGGCATATGAACCCTAACCCCTGCCTCTCTCCCCTCCTCTGCCCCCCTTCAGGTGCTGGACAAGGACTTCACCATCCCCATCGGCCGCGCCAAGGTGATGCGCGCCGGCAGCCACGTGACGCTGGTGTCCTTCTCCAAGATGGTGGGCTACTGCCTGCGCGCGGCGGAGCAGCTGGCGGAGCAGGGAGTGGAGTGCGAGGTGGGAGGGGAGAAGAGCGGGCGGGCGGGCGGGGTGGGGGAGTACCGGGGTTGCCGGGGTGGGATTGCTCAAGGCAGGAGGCCACCCCATGCCTCATGTGATGCTTGCTTGGAGACGCCCCTCATTGCCTCCCTATAACTAACCCTGCTATGCCGCTAACCTCCTCCCCCCAACCCCCGCCGCCGCCCCCGACCTGCCCCCAGGTGATCAACCTGCGCTCCATCAAGCCGCTGGACCGCGACACGCTGCTGGCCTCGCTGCGCAAGACGCACCGCATGGTGGTGGTGGAGGAGGGGTGGCCGCAGTGCGGGGTGGGCAGCGAGGTGGCGGCGGTGATGATGGAGATCGGGTTCGACGAGCTGGATGCACCGGTGCTGCGGGTGACGGGTGAGTGGGGGAGGAGGAGGAGGAGGGAATGAGGGGATGAAGCGCACAGTCCGTAATCCCGGGGAAGAGAGGGATTGCAGAGGGCAGGAGGGAGAAAAGGACGTGTGGGGGACCTATGCCGGGTGCTGTGCGGGAGGCTGCAGCCTGTCGCGTGTACATATGCGTCCGCCTGTGCTCACACCATGCCGTCTGGGAATACGGATTGCACACGCAGGGTAAACTCGGGTTCTGCATGTGAGGGGTTCCTCCTCCCCTCGGCCAGCCCCTCCCCTCCGCTCACACCAAGCCCCCCACTCCCTCCTTCCCGGCCCCTCCCAGGTGCCGAGGTGCCCATGCCCTACGCGGCCAACCTGGAGGCGGCGGCGCTGCCCCAGATCTCCGACATCGTCAAGGCGGTCAAGAGCATTGTGTAATAAAGGGGTGCTGGTGGTGGTGCGGAAGGAAGAAGCATATGAGCATGGTGATGAGGGAGGAATGGGGAGTAGGGAAGGGGGGAAATGGCGGGGCTGTTGGCCGTCTGTGTATAAGAGGTATACGAGGTACTTCTAGGTGTTGTTGCTGCAGCTGCTGTGGCACGGTGGCGTCGGAGCGGTATCTCGGAGGGTGGTGCGGACGGGGGAGGAGTGTGATCCGTTGCTGCTCTCTTCTTTGCGGTTTGAGCGAGTGTTCACTCGGCAATGCCGCGGCGGACTCCTGCTAATGATTCGGCGGCCGTGGCTGATGCTGCTTCTGCTAGCAGGGAATGTTGGGCTCGCGCAATTCGTCGTCGTCGGGGAGAGAGGCATCCTGTGGGGCGGGGGGTTCCTATGGAGGGTAGTACGAGGGGATGTGTCATTGTTTTCTGCCTCGAAGCGTTTTGTGTCTGTTTCTTGTTATTGCTTTGGCACAGCTGTTTGGCGACCTGGCCGCTGCGGGGTTTGCTGTGCATGTGCGGCTATGCAGCTGCTGGGAGGTGACAGGTTAGCCTCCTCGAGTTTGGCTGTGGTTGGGCTGCATGTCCAGAAGAGGTACGGTAGTAGCGACCCACTTTTGCAGATTGCAGTTTGGGTTTCTCGTATGAAGAAGATGGCGAAGAAGAGGAAGAGGAACAGTTGCTTTTGGCTGGCTCGTAAACCGTATGTGGGCGCTGTGTGTACGTTCGTTGGCGTGTACGTTACCTTACTTTGATTGTGTGTAAAATAGGTATTCCTGTGATGGCGGTGGCGGTGGGTTCATGGGTATAGTCCTGGTGGCATGCAGCTCGCGGCTCGGGCACGTGTGTCCAGGAAACTCGCCGCGGGTAGGAACGTACGGGCACGTGCGTGAATAGTGTTTGCAAGGAACACTGGCGGTGTGGCGGGTGTGGGTGTTGTGCTCAGTTGTTGTGGCGGGACGTGGAAGAGGGGTTGGCGGGAGGGGATGTAGGCGCTGCTTCTAAGGCTGCGGAGCTGTTTGGCCGAGCTCCTCTGCCCGCGTGTCCCACCAAATGGCGGATGAGCCTGTGATGGTGTGGATCATCGCTGGCGTTTTGCCCGCGGCGCAGGTGGTTGTTTTCAAGGCGGCAGGACGTGACAATGATGTTGCACGACATAGGATTGGTTGTTGGGCTGGCGCTTGGAAGCAACGGCACGTGTACACCGTATCAGCGGATCCACGAGCTGCACAGTTCAGCAAGGGCACTGCTAGCACTTGTAGCCACCCTCCTTTCCCTTATGAAAAACACGTGTCAGGTGGAAACAACAAGCGGTGGTGAATCCTATGGGAGAAGGGGTGGCGCGGTAAATGGAACTCACGTCAGACTGAGGGCCTAGTAAGCTGTGGTAGTTCCGCATGCCCAGCTGTCCTGGGGAAGGACGAAACCTGCTCAGCACTGACAGATCGTAGATCCGTAGCACGGCCGCCGGTGCCTTTCTGGAAGGAGTAACGACAGAGTTACATGAGCAAAGTAAGCATTAGCTCCGTTTACGGAAACCGGCGTTAGTCCGACAGGAAGCATCCCCGACCAGAATGGGTTACGCCGTGCTGCGGATATGGTAATCGCGACAAGACACGTAGGGCTCTCCGATCGGGCCTGTTAAGGGGCTCATCTGCGGGACCTAGGTGGGAGACATGACTAGCAGTCGATTGTTGTAACCAGTGTAAATTCCACTCGGTTTGTTTAGTGCAATAGGTAATAGGAATTACAGATTAAGGCTTAACCATAGTGACTAGCAAGACGTCTTGTCAGTCGTGGGAATAACGCTTTGTAATCCTTGCCTGTACGGGTTGGCGGTCTGCTCCGTCCGGCAACTGTCTCCTCAGCTTCGAGGCAAGAACAAAAACCGCGTAATAGTTGCCTGTAGTATGCCATTTATATTGCTGTATACCTTGTCTTCTGCTACACACACCTGCTCGTAATTCTGGTTAGTCGTCCAATTCTCTAGGACTGGCCCGAAAGAACTCTTACATGTGGATCACTATGACGCCCTGGGATATACTGTAGCTTTAGTCCTGAGGCCGGCGGTTCCCCTTTACAAAATGAAGCGTCTTGGCCAACTCCTTTCCTCGTTACGCTATGAGAGACTGCCCGAGAAGGAGAAGGACGACCGAGAGACGGAATCAGGTTCACCAACAAAGCAACAGCTGGGACAGACAGCGTCTAGGGCGCAACAGCACGAAGACAGGACCCGATGGCCTGTCGCTCTGGTGGGTTGAGGTGGCCCCATGGATTGCAGCAGATCAGTATGTGCCTTGCTCCCACCTATGACGCCGACGGGGCAAGCCATAATGTGGAGTCCCTGACATATGCTTGCCATCGTCTGCCCCATCACAGCTCTCCGTGAAGGGCATGACCTGTGCGGCCTGCTCCAAGGCCGTCGAAGCCGCTCTCAGGCAAGTCAGCCTCGTAGTACTCTACGTGTCCGCGTCTCCTTCCCTTCTCTCTCCTTACCAACTCCTGTCACATTGCCCCCACCCTCTGGGCTCATCATTGAGTCATCGTTGCCACCCGTCCTGGCCTTATCCTTCTCCCCTCTTCCAGTTCCGTGGAGGGAGTGAAGCGGGTCAGCGTGGCCCTGCTGCAGGAGAGCGCGGAGGTGGGTCTGGTGAGGGTACTTCTACTTTGCAGAGTCAGGGTCAGATGGGATGGGGGTTGGGGTGTGGGATGGGACAGGACTTGCAGCTCCACACTTGCTACTCCCATGCCCGACCTCTCCGTCTTGCCCCACCCACGCACCCCACATAAGGAACCCGTGTTCTCTGCTGCCATTCCATTCCATTCCATATCCTGAACCTCCCATGTAACCCGTTATCACCTCTCCTCTCCCCCCTTCTGCCCTCCTCTTCCTCCCCTCCCCTCCTCCCGCCCCCAAAGGTCCACTTTGACGAGTCCAGCATCTCCCCCGAGGCGCTGGTAGCGCTGGTGGAGGACGCGGGCTTCGACGGGGCGCTGGTCAGCGTGCGCAGACCCAGACACCAAATGGAGGTGAGCTGCAGGCTGCGGTGTGTTGTGCGTTAAGGAAACTGGCCGCGAGTCGGAACGTGTGTTAATATAGCTGGCCGCGTGGCGAAACGTGCTGTGGCTGGTGTTGTGTGTGTGGGGGGGGGGTTGGGACTTGAGAGGGGCTGGTGTGCGCTGAGGGGGCCCCCGTTGTGTTGCAGTTATGTGGTGTGTCGGTGTGGTGCTCGGAGGCGGCTTGTGTTACAGGGTTACTGCAGCTGCATCCGTCCTCCGGCCCCATTGTCATGCATTCACCTCCAGCCCTGCTCGCATCTTCGCTTTCCTTCCCGCTCCCTCACCCTCGCGCCTGCAAGCATGCCCTGCCTTCGCACCCGCATAGCGCACCTCTTCTCCCTCTCCACCTCATAACCTGAACCTTACTCCTCAACCTGCCTGTCCCACCAACCCACCCGCCGTCTCTCCCCAACCAAACCCCAACCCGACCTCAACCCCAACCCCGGCCCCAGGTATTGCGGCTGCGGGTGAGCGGCATGGTGTGCAGCGCCTGCAGCGGCGCGGTGGAGGCGGCGCTGCGGGAGGTGCCCGGGGTGACACGGGCGGGGGTGGCGCTGGCGTCGGGGGAGGCGGAGGTGACGTTTGACGCGGCGGTGGTGACGGCGGTGAGGAGGGATGAGGAGGGGAGGGGAGCGGGAGGGGAGGGGTGAAGGGTATGGCTGAGGGGGGTGGATAAAGAGGGAATGCTAACCACGTGACAAGGCTGCGGCATGGGATGCGGGGTGGTGTGGGATGTGAGGCTGGGGTGTTGTGTGGGTGCGTGCAGGGGCCACACCGCTGGCCGAGTGGAGGAGGGCAGAGGTCAGGACTGGGACGCGCTCCTGCCCCACTTTCCTAAACAACTGCCGACTAAAAGACCCCGGGTACTACGGCGACTGGCTATGACACGCACGCACGCGTGCTCGCCCTCCTCCTCTTCTCCCTTCCCCAGGAGTCTGTGGTGGCGGCGGTGGAGGAGGCGGGCTTCGAGGCGGCCACGCTGTCTCAGGAGGGTCTGGAGACCATGACCATACGGGTACGTTGGGCGGGTGCATGGGCGGAGGGAGACAACGGGGGGCTGGGGTAACTCTTGTGTTAACAGCGGGGTTCTGGCCCCTGCATTAAGCATGGAGGGTCGCTTGCACTGCGTCCGCAGCTTCTCAGGCTGCGGGCCGACCCTCTCTCTCCACCACCAAATCCCTCCCCCACCCACCTTCCCCTCCCCTCCTCTCCTCCTCTCATCTCCCTGCGCCCCCACCCCCAGGTCGAGGGCATGACGGGCACCTCCAGCAGCACCGCAGTGGAGGCGGCGCTGCGGCGGGTGCCGGGGGTGGCCCGGGCGGCTGTGAACCTCATCGCGGGTCAGGCGGAGGTGTGGTACGACTCCAACACGTCGGGGCCGCGGGACTTCCTGGCAGCGGTGAACGCATGCGCGGGAGGGGGCGTGTACACCGCCCACCTGGCCCGAGGTCTGGGGGCGGTGGCCTACCTGCCGGCTGGGGCTGCGACAGGAGGAGGGGGAGGGGCAGCAGCGGATGCCTTGCGGAAGGGAGGAGGAGGAGGTGCGGGTTGCGGCGGCATCAGCAGCAGCGGAGGAGGAGGAGGAGGAGGGGGAGGGCTGCTGGGCTGGCTGCGGCTAGGCGGCAGCAGCGCCTGCAAGGCAGGAGGGGCAGCAGCGGGTGGTTACGACGAGGCTGCTGCTGCAGCTGCTGCTGTTGCTGCGTCTCGCGGCCCCGCTGCGGGTGCTGACCGGGAGCGGCTGTACTGGCGCGGGCTGCTGAGCAGTTCGCTGGTGTTCACTGTGCCGCTGGGGGTGGTGGCCATGGTGCTGCCCATGGTGCCAGGTGGGGGGGGGAGGGGGGAGGGGGGAGGGTGGTGGGGGGAAACATAAAAGGAAAATGAAGCAACGGAGGGAGGGTGGGGGGGCGGGGGAGAGGATGGTGGGGGCGAGGGGGGGTGTGCGAGGGAGGGAGGGATTCGGATGCCGCCTGCCTGGGATTTCTGAGGAGGGAGGGAGCGCATGAGGGCTGAGCGCATAGGGCCGAGCACGGGGTGACGGCAGAAAGACGTCGATAACCTTCCTGTCAACGTCTTCGGCCCTGTGGCTAGGCTTGACGACTCGAGAAATATGACTGTGCCTGCAGAAAACAAACGGGGTAAAAATGACTGGCGTGGGCACACTCCCGTCCGCAGGCACACTCCCGTCCGCAGTGAATCCCCTTCCGCTGCCAAAACCCCCCCTTTCCCACCTATCTAATTTTAACTATTTTAGCTGCACACGCATCAGGATAAGTATGGGAACTTAGGAGGAGGGAGGGAGGGGGGATGGTTCGAGCCCAACAGCGGCGGACTACCGGCAACCCTATTGCGAGCGGAATCGACACCGATTTCAACGCCATCCAAGAACAAGCTACTTCGCTTGAGTGCAGCGTCTACAAAGAGCACTGGCCGGCCATCAAGAATTGTCGCCAACATCGCTCGATAACCGTCTGGTTCTGGGTTCTTCGAACCGATACTACTGAAACAGCCAGTCGATACTTCCGACATCATCTACAGCAGCGACAGCCAACAAATACGCTCAGCCGGCTCCAGCGCCTTCAGCAGGGACGTCGGCAACCTCCAGGAGGCGGTGGCACAGCCTATCAACATGCTCGCGGAGCACGAGTATTACCGCGGATACATAATGCATGCACGCTAACTGATATAACACGCATGTCGCTACCTATAGGATCGCATTAGGCAATGCCTTGTTGCTAACCCCCTCACCCTGCCATACACTAGCCTCCGTTCATGGTCAACTGGTAAGTCTGCACGCCACCATGCACCTAGGTCTCCCACACCTGCAGCCCCGGTGAGCCTGCATGCAATGGCTCGCTTGGGTGACAGGGTTGTTTGGGGAGCCTTGCGAGGCCCCGCCCTGTCATTGTTTTTTAGCTGTCATTACACTGACACCGCACGTTTTGCACCTTCTGCATATCTAGATCATAATACCCATACTGCGCTTGCGCTTAATTTAGCATGCTCGTCCCATGCCGTACTTCTCATCGCCGCCTTTCGCATAAATACTAACTCTCGGCATAGTCCCGTCTCTTTCATCATGATAAGCCAGCCATCTTCATCGTCATACAGCCTGCGTCGATATACAGCGCAGCTTGCAGCACCAGCACAGCACAGGGACGCATGCCTGCCTTCAGTTCGCTCGTCGTGCCGCTTTCTTGTGTCTCATGGACGCTTTTCGCTCACTATTAACGAAATTTGGTACGTCTTCGTTGCACAATTTTCCCTTGCTACGCAGGTTAGTCGGGGTTCGCACTAGTGGGTGGGCTGGGCTTTGTTAGACCCATGGGTCATTTGCGAGGGTCGGGTAGGGTGGGATGCTTTGGTGCACACAGCCGCATGACAGCCCCAGCTAAGCAGTGGAGCTTACATACGTTATGCAGCTGACAGCACTGCAGCACAGACATCAGGTCTAGCGCAGTGGCGCCGGGTGTCACAGGAGCAGCCGCCTTTTATTCGCCAATGCAGAGTGATCCCAGATCACCCCAGCCGCCATGGAGCTTACAATACGGTTTGTTATTGATTGATGCTACTAACTATACAACAACTACAATTATTTGCTATCCCAACTATCCAGCGTAATGCGGATTCTGTTTCCAAATTAACCCCCCTCCCCCCCCCCCCCGCAGGCTCCTCCTCCATCACCACGGTCCCCATCCTTGGCTTCCCCTGCAACCAGCTGGTGAAGTGGGCGCTGGCCACACCCGTGCAGTTCGTGGTGGGCTGGCGCTTCCATAAGGGGGCGATCAAGGTGGGGGGGGGGTGAAGAGGAAGGGAAGGGGGCAGACAGGGTGAGGGGCGATCACAATTGGCCGCAGCGGTCGTGCAGCGAGTGAGTAATGTCCTCTGGGGGTCCAGCGCGCATGCATGCATGCATGGCGACTTGCTGTGCTCTTCCAGTTCTTCAAGTCTCCTCTTACTCCCCACCCCATCCTCCCTGTCATGCTGCACCCTCATGGCTGCTCCCCTCCCACCCCACCCCGCCCCTTCCCCTCCCCCCCCCTCGCTCCCCCCCAGGCTCTCCGCCGCGGCACCGCCAACATGGACGTGCTGGTGTCCCTAGGCACCAACGCCTCGTACCTCTACTCCGTCATCTCCATCATGTTCCACCATGTGCACAGGTGGGTGAAAAGAGGAAACTAACGAGCTGTGTGGGGGCAACAGGGGGGTTAGCGGGGGCCCGGGATGGGGGTGGGGGGACATGTGTCGCGGCTTTAGCGCATGCCGTGTACTCCACTGGGTTCCCATTGATTCCAAAACTCGCCTTGCCTTCATTGTCCCAAATTTAACTACCAACTGGCCGCTGCCCTCCCCCCCCTCCCCTCCCCCCCCAGGCACCACATCACCCGCGACTACGTGCCCACCGACTTCTTCGAGACCTCCGCCTTCCTCATCACTTTCATCCTGCTGGGCAAGTACCTGGAGGCGGCAGCAAAGGTGGGGGCGGGGGGTGGGAGGGGAGCCGGGAGCCTGGCCTAGCCCGGCCCAGCAGGGGCTTAGGTGCACCTCGCACCAGCAGCAGCATCGGGTGCCACCCTTCCAGGGTTGTTTGCTGGGGGTTGCACCGTGTTTGCAGGATACCTGCTTGGTCGCGATGTAGTGGTGAGGAAGTGAAGGCGGTCAGGCTCTTGAGTGCGGCGGAGGTATAATGTCCGCATGCCGCGCCAGGAAGAGGCCGACACACAACCCCACACCTCCGCGTACCTCACCCTCCTGCCTCCTCCCTCCTGCCCCGCCCTAGCCGGTGCCCTAACCTATTGCTTCCTATGGTATGGTATGGTCTCCTCCCCCCCCCCAGGGCCGCACCTCCGCCGCCCTGGCCGCGCTGGCCGCCCTGGCCCCCGACACCGCCACGCTGGTGCGGCTGGAGCCCGGGTCGGGGGCGGTGCTGGAGGCGCGGGACATTCCGGCGGCACTCATACACCGGGGGGACGTGCTGAGGGTGAGCGGATGGAGGGGGGTTGGGAGTGAGGGGAGGAGGACGGAGGGGAGGTGGGAGATGGAAACAGGGAAAGACGGGAGGCAACCGGAAATGGAGGGAAGGGGACGGCAGGATGAAGGGGCGAGGGAGAGAGGGAGAGGGAAGGCTTGGTCTCATGTGCCTGGGACGGGGTACTGTTGGCAGTTGTGAGGGCAGCACCGGTGTGGTGTGTGGCGCGGTGTGGGTGTGTGCGGGGCGGATGGTGTGTGGCACGGGTATGGCACGATCGTTACCAGCCTGGCCTTGAACCCCCTTTCATTCCCCTCCCTCATTTCATCTTTCATCATTTCATTTCATTCCGTTTCCCCCTTCCCCGCTTGATCTTCTCCTCCTCCCCTTCTCCACCTCTCCTCCCCCTCTCCTCCCCCCCCCCCCCAGGTTCTCCCCGGCAGCAAGGTGCCCACTGACGGAGTCATCCTGGAGGGGCAGTCCTACCTGAACGAGGCCATGGTGACGGGCGAGCCCACCCCCAAGTGGAAGCGCCCCGGGGAGGTGGTCATCGGCGGCACCCTCAACACCTCCAACCCGCTGCTGGTGCGCGCCACGCGGGTGGGCAACGAGACGGTGCTCAGTCAGATTGTGCGGCTGGTGGAGCATGCGCAGATGACCAAGGCGCCCGTACAGGTGGGGAAATAGGAGAATACAGGGTACAGGCACAGGTGGGGAGCGAGGGTGGGGAGAGTGAGGAGCGAGGAGGAGGGTAGTACGCGGAGGGTAGCTGGGAGGCGGGTGCGGGGTCGGGTCGCGTAACCCTCGTAAGGCGAGATGGGCTTTTTGTTGGCAATTGGAAACGACTCGGGTGTGAAGTAAGCATCGTACTGCACATGAGGGTTCGTTGTGGCCCACCCCACCTCACGCTCTGCCATGCGTCCCAAGCCTTATCACGCAGTTGCCGTTACTTGGTCGTTCCCTCATCATCCCCCCTGCCACCACCATCCTCCTCCCCCCCCACCAGGCCTTCGCCGACCGCGTGGCCTCCATCTTCGTGCCCCTCGTCATCGCCGCCTCCCTCATCACCTGGCTGGGCTGGTTCACCGCGGGGCTCACGGGCGCCTACCCGCCGGGGTGGCTGCCGGAGGGGCACTCGCCCTTCCTGTTTGCGCTGCTGTTTGGTATCGCGGTGCTGGTGATCGCCTGCCCCTGCGCGCTGGGGCTGGCCACCCCCACCGCGGTGATGGTGGGGACGGGGGTGGCGGCGCAGATGGGCATTCTGATCAAGGGAGCGGATGCGCTGGAGGTGAGGGAGCGGGAGGGAGGGGTAGGGTATAGAGGGATGAACTTGCGGGATACCGAACCCGAACCCGAACACCTGAGTGCGCGGGTTCCGGCACCTGCGCCTTGCACACCTGCCACATGACCTCCACCCTCACCCGTCACTCCCCCCGCATCCCCCCTACCATGGGGGGTTGCACCCCATGGTGAAGCCTACGTGTCATACAGCTCGGCCCCTCCCCCCCTTCCCTTCTCCCCTCCTCCCTAGGCTGCCAGCAAGGTGGATGTGGTGGTGTTTGACAAGACCGGCACCCTCACTCGGGGCAGGTGTGTGCGGTGGGGTGCGGGAGGGGGGGCGTGTAGGAGGGCGTGTAATATTGCATGGAAGGGCGGGGCCTACCGACTTACCGTACATGCCCCCCGCTTGCAACCACGCAGGAGTTAAGGGCACGTAAGCATCAGTCTAATCGTCTGCCTTTGCTTAGAAGTGACACCTCCAATTCCCCTCGCATCTTTTCCCCCTCACCTCTCTTACCCCCAACTCCGCATAACCCCATCGCAACCTCCCCCACTGCCCCGCCCCTAGGCCCACGGTGACCGACTGGCGCCTGGGGAGCGAGGCGGGGGTCAGCGGCGGGGCGTCCCTGGGAGGCAGCGGCAGCGCCAGTGCTGCAGTCACCGCCAGCTCCTCCTCCTCCTCCGCTGCCGCAGCTGGCTCCCACCTCCCCACCCCTACCACCCCCCTGCTGGACCTGCCGCTGCTGTGCCGCTGTGTGGGTGCGGCGGAGAGCGGCTCGGAGCACCCGCTGGCCCGGGCGCTGCTGGACTTTTGCAGGTGGGGGAGGGAGGGAGGGAGGGAGGGGCATTGTCTCCGCGGCCTGGTGTGCGGCCTGGTGTATGGGCTGTGCTTGTGACTGAGCTTTCCTGGGTGTTTCTCTCCCCGTGGTGGTCCGCTGCCAGCACCGCTCCTCACCATCCCCTGCGGCCCCCGTCTACACCCCCACCCCCTCCACAGGTTGCAGCTGGTGATGGCGCAGCACGGGGCCACCACCAAGGATACCGCCGCCTCGGCTGCTGCTGCCGCTGCTGCGCTCCCTACTTCCCCCCGCCGCAGCAACAGCATCAGCAGCAAAGGCGGCAACGGTGGCTGCTGCAAAGAGGGCAATGGCAAGGGGGGCGGCGGCGCTACCGCAGCAACCATCAACGCCACCACCACCAACAGCAACAGCGACAGCGGCGGCAGCACCATCACCTCTGCCCCTCCTTCCAGATGCAATCGCACTGACAGCAGCAGCAGCACTAGCAGTGGTGGCGCCGCCACCACCACCAACAGCCTCCGCCTGCGGCACTCCGCGTCCGCACCTCAGTCCGCCCTCCTCGCCGCCTCCTGCTGCTCCCCCTCCGCCTCCGCCCCCTCGGAGCAGCTGGAGACCCTGCTACCCCGCGCCCGGGACGTGGTGGTGTCCCCGGGAGTGGGCATCACCTGCTTCGTCAGCCTGGACGATCTAACCACCCTCACCGCCGCCGCCGCCGCTGCAGCTGCTACCTCTACCACCACACCCACCACCAATACACCCACCTCTGCAAAGCCCAGCAACCAACCGCCGCCGCAGCTGCTAAGGCTGCCCGGCGTGTGGCCGCCTCGTGACCCCGGTTGGGTCCGTGTAGCAGTGGGCAACCGGGGGCTCATGCAGCAGGAGGGCGTGGAGGTGCCGGAGGCCGCGGAGGCCTTCATCGCACCCCTGGAGGGCAGCGGACACACCTGCGTGTTGGTGGCGGTAAACGGCGTGTTGGGGGGCTTGTTGGCGGTGACGGACCCGCTCAAGCCGGAGGCAGCCGGGGTGGTGGCGGCGCTGCGGGCGCGGAAGATCGGCGTTGTGATGCTGACGGGGGACAATTGGCGGACTGCGAGGGCGCTGGCGGGGCGGCTGGGGATTGACAAGGTTCATGCGGAGACGCTGCCCAAGAGCAAGGCGCTCAAGGTTCGGGAGCTGCAGTCGGGGGGTCGGGTGGTGGCGATGGTGGGAGACGGAGTGAACGACTCGCCGGCGCTGGCCGCTGCGGACGTGGGGGTGGCGATCGGCAGCGGCACCGACATCGCCATTGAGGCGGCGGATTACGTGCTCATGCGGGATGACTTGGAGGTGAGGGGGGCGCTGGGCGCAGGGAGGGGCGCTGGGGGCCGAGACAGTGACAATGTAGTCGGGAGGGGGAGACGATGCGGCCCTCCATGGAGAGGCCCATGACGGACACCACGCCTAACCCAGAAGCCCCATTCTTTCCCTCTCCTATCCCTTCTCCCAACATCTCCCCTCCCGCCTCCTGCAGGACGTGCTGGTTGCTCTGGACGTCTCCCGCCGTACCTTCAACCGCATCCGCCTGAACTACATTTGGGCCATGGGCTACAACACGCTCATGATACCGGTGGCCGCGGGGGTGCTGTACCCGCTCACGCACATGCAGCTGCCTCCCTGGCTGGCGGGGCTGTGCATGGCCTCCTCCTCCGTGTCGGTGGTGGCCTCCTCGCTGCTGCTGAGGAGGTACAAGCGGCCGCCGCGGGTGATGCGGGAGGTGCAGGTGCTGGGAGGAGGAGGAGGGGGTGCGGGTGAGGTGGGTGCGGTTGGTGGGGAGGTGATGAGGGTGGGAATGGGCGGACGGGGGGCGAGGGTAGGGCTGGGTGGCGGCAGGGGTGGAGAGGTGGAGTTGATGGGGGTGGAGGAGGCGGGGGCGGGGTCGTCTGAGGAGGAGGTGGAGGAGAGGCCGGCGGGGGTGAGGACGGCGTTGTTGCTGGGGCACAGGCACAGCCAGTAGGGTGGAGCCTGGAGGGAAGAGGAGAAGGGGAAGAGTCGACCCGCAGGAGTAGTGGTTTGGTTTGGGTATAGGCACACGTAGGCATGCGCTGCAGGGGGCATGCAGTGGCAGGTGTGAGGGGTGTATTAGGCATGCAGCAGGAACAGCCGCCGTGGGACGTGGTTTAGAACGTTAGATACACCCTTGCCTATTGAAGAATGGAGCTTGAGGAAGTTGTATTCCTGAGCTTCTGCTGGCAGTAGGGTTAGGGACGTCAAACATGAGACGCGTAAATTTTGAATATGGAAGAATAGAGGGCATAGAATGGAAGCGTGGGCCAAGGTAATGGCAGTAAGCTTACTGCATTCGTGAAGCGGGATCCCGAGGGGGGGGGGGGTTGACAGAGGTGCTGCGCGGCCAGGGGTGAGAGCGAAGTGAGGATGGTGGCATGTGGCGTACCTACGTAGGACAAAGCTCTTTGGCTGACCTTGATAACAAGTATGCGTTAGTTACATGCATTCTCCTCTTTCGATGTCTATCTACCATCTTCTTTGCCTAGCGCTGATATTAGCCTGCCGTTGGCGTTGTGCTTTCTAGGTAGGGTGAAGGGTTAGGCAAGTTAGGAATGTGATAGGGCCGATATAAAGATAGGACATGTAGTAAGCGCGAGGGGTTGGGGTTTGCTGAGGGGTTCACTACATTGGGTCGACACGTGTTCTGACTCGGTTGACGCGGTGTTTAGTGTTGGGTTGCTTTGTGGACTCCTATAAGCGACAGACGTCCTAAAGCATGGAGTGACGAAAGGGTCCTTACCATGTGTTCGGTGCAGGGGCCACCGAGGGTTGCAGTTGCATGCAGTGCTCTCATCAAGGTATATGCTAATATGGTAGGGCTGCGGCTTGTTGTGTGTCTTGACAACTTGTCCGTGTACGGTATATCTGGCGCCGCCCAACAGGGAGTGATCCCGGTTGTGGAATGCGTTATCGTACCTAGTAGGGCGGTCTTACCTAGTAGGGCGCAGGGAGGCATGGAAACCATTGTGGTCACTTAAACGGCGTCTTTTGCGCGGGAGAGGTTTGGTCGCACGCTATAATGCCGTGGATTACCGGTAGTTGCTGCACACCAGGCAAGGCAGATTGTGGGGTTTTGGCAGTCCTGAGATTGATAGTGAGGGTTGTAAGCTGCTCCCGTCGTCCTCCTGTAACAAACAGCAGTTTGAAAAAGCCAAAGGAATTACCCATCCTAAGCATTCCTGAACCTGGGCACAGGTAAAGTACCGCAGGGCCTGGCCGGCCTGCCTCTTTAGTAACCTGCCAGAAAAAGCAACCACCATGAACCCCTCCTTTGTTTGTCCTCCTCTGACCTCGACGCGATTTTCATCCGCCTGGCATGAGCAGAGTTCCCTTCATTAGGCAGGCCACCTGGCATGAGCAGAGTTCCCTTCATTAGGCAGGGGACAAACGAAGCAGTACGCCAGCTGTATGTACAGTCAACAACAATAAGAAACACTAGCGCCATCAAGCGAACCAACATGCATATGAACCACCAGCTGCAGCCAGGCTGAACCGTTATGCACGCACACACTCCATGCAGTAGAAACCCAGCCCGCCAGGCCCCCATCTGTACGACGACGAAGGGAAGGTTACGTACTACGACCTAGTCTCGAATTAAAATTTGGCCAAAGTGGATAGGACAGCGGACGTGAAGGAACCACCTTCAACGGTGGCAAGCTAATTGGGAAAATTGCCGTACATCACCATTCTGGGTTTAAGGACCAATCGCGTGCTGTCAATGATGCTAAAGTTCCATTTTATTTAATCACGTGCGATAGTTCCGCGGACTCTGACCAAGCCCAATCAATGAAACCGGCTCACGCACCCGCATGGATTTCAATAAATCCATGTTAACCCGAATGCCGTACTAAAAACCGTGAAACCGGTTAATCGGGCCTGTTGTCGCGCACGGGATTGAATTAAATTTGTCTGCCAGCGCACGGAATTTATCCTCGGAAACAAACAGCGCATATCTGCATTCCGCGAATAAATTTGCGTCGGTCGGAATCGTTGGTAGGGCATATGTCATCTGGAGCCGTGAACCAGAAGGCCAAATCTCGACGCTTGGGGTCTGCGCAGTAACGAGAAGTAGGAGGGAAAAACGAAGAAGCTGCAACCCGTACCTCATGCCCTACATCTTTTACTCGGAACGGAAGGGTCTTAGTAGGGCCTGCAAAAAAAGGTGTGCCGAGAATTACTGGTAAATGTCAAACCAGTGCGCTTGCAGCCAAACGCTTCATGACAGCATTACCTGCAGTTCTGAAAAGGAGATCCGGCCATCCGAATCTTTATCCGCGTATATCTGTATGTAAGCCTGCAGCAGCAAACACGCATGTAAGACGGGGTGAAGCCTAAAGAAACAGCACATGAATAAGAAACCGTTACGGCAGTCGTACAACGTACAACTCACCAATAGCACCCGCAGCTCCTCCTCTGTGATCTGGTTGTAAACCTGAATGATTGGATTAAACGACATCCCATGAATAATAGTTTAGCAATTACACACAATTATACATACAGATGAAAGTACGGCATGCAACATGCATGTTTACCGGCAATTAAAATCAGCAGTTCATTAATTCTATTACCTTGCGCATGGCAGCACAGAGCTCCACCCCATCCAAGTGGCCGCTGCTGTCGCTGTCAAGAGCTGCGAACGCTGCCATGGCGGCTTTCTGGTCGTCCTCCCCTGATAGGAGATCTGCAAGCCGTTGCAGTACAGTCTCTGCGCCTCCAAGGTCCAAATCCAATTGAACACGCGCGTGCTCTGCTTGAGCTTCGGCCACCATTCTGCAGTAGTCGGGGTTATGGTATGTTAGCCAATTGATGACCATAGTAACGGGAATGCTTTGCTTTAAACAATTCCTTTCACTGAAGGAAATATTCGAACTCCGTGTCTTCTGTGACGGGTTATTTGGAATTTGTTAATACGTGGAATTCCTAGCGTCAATACGGTAATGTAGCTGCTACGGTCAGCGTCAAAGCGGAAACATGTTAAATGCTCATACTGACCTTGCAATTGAAGTTGCCCGTTTTACAGCATCTGCACTCTTGAACAGAGCTGTAACAAGCTCATCTGCCGTTACGGAGGTCACCCCGGAGTCCAGCAGGACCAGGTGCTTGAGGTTGGATACCTCCACAGCTTGCATCTCACCACCTGCTGGGAACAGAGGAGTTAAGAATTAAAGCCACATTTCCTAAGCCTTCCCAATTAGGAACGTAAATTAGCAGGGTAGGGTAGGTTTACCAGAGTTGTGTTACCAGAGTATGTTACCAGAGTAAATGACCAACAAGATACTAAAAACAAATAGTACCGGTAGCTTTTAACAAAAGAGCAAACGCCAGGGCTGGGAAAGCTCACCTTCGAGAATAGATGAGATTATCTGGGGTAGACATTCCATTGGCACCGTGCCGCAGGAATTGTTAATGCTGTCCTGCTGCTGTGGCTGGAAGCCAGATACAGCCGCTTTAGAGATCGCTGCATGCAGCACCGCTGGCTGCATCTGGTAGATCTTGCACAGGAGGGCTGGCAGGTTCCTGGAGGCGGAGTAAGCTGAGATGGCATGCCGGAGCTCATCCTCAGCGGGTCGAGGAATGAAGGGCGCCAGAGATGATTGCAGCTCTGAAACTGAAAGACGGAAGTCCCTGCGAGAAGGCACATCAGCAAGGGATGGCATGCAGGTAAACACTTGGGTGGATTGGCTGGCTACGCCAATGTCAAGACGACTTGGCTTGCATGCAACGAAGCAAGGTTGGGGCGTACGTACCCCCCGCCCGGTTGGGGTGCCTAACTTATAGGAATGGGTCAGCACGGTGGGAAACCGATAGCGCTGCACGCATGCAGACAAATTGCACTTGGATTCCGCATGCAGGGGGAACGGAGGCACTTACTTGTCCTTGTCACCGTAATGGAAGAGGTAGGCAAGCAGCAGGCGAACCTCGTGTTGGCTCAGCTGCAGGCCGCCAATGGACTGAACAGCTTTCGACAGCTCGCCTACAGAAGAGTCCAGCGGAAGTACATGGGTGTCAGCGGATCCGTGACAAAATTGCTATTTGGGCAACAACCACAAGAGACATGCAGCGGAGAATGGAACTAGGCAAACCAACGCTACTGGCAGGAGGACTGCCAGAAAGGCGAGGGCGGGGAACCAAGGTGATGACGAAACACGGGGCACTCTGCGACAGCTAAAACGAAATCACGTACGTAACCACAAACGCAGGAAAAAGGGGAAAGAAAGGACGTGGCACAAATGACGTCACGCACCTATTTCGAGGTATCCGCTGCCGTCCGTATCGTACGACTGGAAGGCTGTTGCGGCTGCTTGCGCGGTTTCTGGCTGGACCAGCTGCTTTGCAAGATGGCAAAGAACGAGGTCAGCCCCAAGCCCTTCGTCGAATGTCACCTGTACGTTTAATAAAATTTGGGTAAATTTACACCATGCTTGTGTGTGATGTTTTACTGTGCAAGAATGATTTATTTACCGGCGTGAAAATAAAAAGACGTGCATAGGATAAAGTGCGCGATTTAATACCTGATGTCCTTCAGCCTCCAAAATGCGCACCATTGCAGCTGCCTGTGTGCATGGCACACGGAAATTAAACTTGTTAACCCTGATCAGGTTGAAAGCAGGAATAACAGCAAGGCGGAGGAATGGAGACTGCGGAGGAGATGCTGAACATCCACAGGGAGATGATATCATACCTCTTTATATGCAGAGCGGCAATCCTTCAAGCCGTGCAACAATTGTTCCTGCGTGAAGAGCTCTTCTGACCGCCCCAGGGTAAGCATTGCCACCAAGTACGAGGCCTGTGCCGGGGTTAGCTGTACCCCGGGTAGGAACAACTCCGGGAGGAGGTCGTGAACCTGAAGCCAGATGGGAAGCCCTTGGTTAAAAACTCTAACAACAACTCTTGGTTATAAAAGTAATAAATAACTAACATGGCAGAATAAGAATGATTGACCCGCCTTGAGGGGATGGACCAGTGCTGCCGTACCTGCTGTATGTTGATCTTCCCATCCTTGTCCTGGTCCACCCGGGAGAAGCTGCTGGCAAGCAGTGGGGGTTCTGCCTACATGTATGAGGAAGTGGAGAGGAGTCCAACATTTTTTCATATGAAGGGCCAACGGGAGTAATTTCAGTTCTCATCATGCGTCTTACCCGTAGCCGTGCACGTGCCAAGGCCAGGAGATCCGCCTCATGACCACGGCCAGCCAGGGCGAGGTCCCGGTATGCCTTCAACTCCTCCTCGAACGCCTGCCAGCAGGAAACCGTAAATGAGGAGAGGTGCAAGTACGCAACCAAAGAGCAAACGTCCAAACAAAGCAAAGCGCACCTCAGACCACAGGGGCTCCGCTGCTGGGGGACGTATGATGGCTGCTGCTGCTGTTTCCTCAATCGGAGCCAGCAGGTCTCCGAAACTCCCAGCAGCAGCAGTGCCGCTGTTCACTGCATCTGCGCTTGCAGCGGTTGGTTTGGCTGCCTGGGTCACCAACCCAAGTCCCGGCGGCTGCTTGCAGTAGGACTCCGGAGGGAAGGGCTCCCTGAGGCTCTGGTCGCTTAAGAACAGCCTGTTCGTGCGGGAAACAGAGATCTACCGTTAGTATCGGGCAGCAGGCTATATGGCTGGCAGCTCATCTATCAATCTCACGCAGCCAGCACCAAGCGACAGCAGCAGGCCTCTTGTAAGCAGTGTACCTGATGAACGGAGCCTCCTCAGAAGGCCAGACACTGGGTCGTTGTGTACCGGGGAAGTTGTAGATGACAGGCACGATGGGGAGGAGCGGTTGTCGGCTGCCCGCAGTAGCCGTTTGAGGGGTTCCGGCCGCCACAGCAGCAGCAGCACCGTCAGTGCTGGCAGCAGCAGTGGACGAGGGCTGCTGCTGCTGCTGGCGAACTGGCGTGCCCGGTGGGGGAGCAGCGAGGATGGCGATGTGCTGAAGGGCCCATCCGGGCCACACGGCAGGGTTGTCGTGTCGGATGTGGAGTGCAGCGAGCTTTTGGAACGACCTGAAAGAAAGCGACCGTTCAGAATAAATGTATGCATGGATGGTTGGAGAATTGATGGTTTAGATAGCATTGTAATAAATGCTATTGGACCTCGTAGAATAGGTGGAACCGTGCGTACCTTGTCAGAAAGGACACAGCACACACCCCGGTTGGCATCAGGTGCAGCGACTGCATGGCCCCAACGCAGCCCTCTTGTGAAGTGGGAGATGTTCCGAGCCAATGCCCCGGCGCCACAGCAAAGGTAACTGGTTTAGAGCTGCTGTCCAGGACGTCTCGGATGACGATTGACTGCAGGGCAATATGGAAATAATAATAACGTTCAGGGCGTGCTGGACACATACAAGGATCAGTGGTGAACAAAATCAGATCAATCAGGCAGCATATGAGGTATGACACGAGGATAGGCAAACAAACGTGGAAGGCGTACCTCAACCAGTATCCCCCAATCTGCTGAGCTCGCAGTAGCTGGCATCCGGACGTCGATCCGGACCAGCTGATCACCAAGCGGTGTGTCGGTTCTGACCTGTGCAATACATGGGGGCGTGGAAAGCAGTATATGACATATAAAGTATACGATGCAAGCGACTTCTATGGGAACATGGATGTTTATAATTGACGAACTGGAGAACATTGACATGTCCCCAGGATGTCCCTGTGTGTGAAGATGTTCAGGACAGAGGCAACGTCTCCCTTCGGTCGCCATGCATGACATCCCGCCCATCAAGACGCACCTGGAAAACGTCTGCGTGGCCGGCAACCGTGAACGGAGGAGAACCATGGCTGGCCTTGGTCTTCCCGGAAAGGGCCACCGGCCTGCGTGGTGCAACAGCAGGTGGGAAAGGGCAAGCGTAATGATAAGTGGAGTCGCGAGAATTTATATTTTAGGTTGGATAATGCTCCTATGATGGCTTGTGTGTGCTCAGGGTTGGGGAAAACGTGCTGTTGAGGCTCCCAAACCGACCCAAAGCCCCAATGGTTAACACTGCAATTGTCGGCCTGCGGGGTAACCGTTGAACTTCAACTTGAAGTTATGCATGCTTGGGACTCAAAGAAAGCCCCTGCTCGCCCCCTACCCCAAGACCGACCTACCGGCTGCTTGCAGCTGATCCATGCAACACCAGCTCGAGCTCCCGAGCAGATACGCTGGCCGCGATGTTGGCACGCGGGCTGTGCAACATGACGGCGTTAACCACAACCTCGTACGTACGGCACTCCTGCTACGGTTATACAAGGGATTGCGGGTTATACCGTATTTGGTACGGTAGAGTGGTGCCCTTGATCCAGTATGGTTACTATGGTAGATGGCCAGGAAGGCACCACTGCTCGCCGCAGCATACTTACAGGTACAGGCTGCGTGCGAGGCGACTCCTCTTCTTGCTGCCGTGCAATGGCTGCCTGGGATGCAGCCTGGACGTGCCGCACGTACAGCATGTCGAGCTCCAGGTTGACGCCTGTACGGCCGTTGTCCATGCTAACCGTATCAGAGAACTCCAGCACCTGCAAAAGCATGGTGGGGGCGGAAACGTTACGAGCTTAAGCGTACGACAGCATCCATGTATTGCACGTATCGCGTTATGCATGAAGCTGTGTAGCCCAACAAACGAATGGGTGCGTGCGTGCCCCGTAACAAGCGACCAATGCGAGCACGGCCAGCAAGTGTAGTGCAATAAAAACACAATGAAGCTACACGCGCTACTGTGAGGCAACCACCGATGAGCCTACGTACGTACCGAGTCATTCCACCCCACGAGCTGCAGCGCCTCAGCTGCATGCCATGCCTCTGCTGCTGCCTTTGCGTCCCCCAAGTGGAATACCGCGTGATAGCTCATCAGCGGCCGTCCCGCCTGAAGTGGAGGCAAAAGACACGGTTGCATGACATATAGGATCACAACATATGGTGTCTAACTTGGCAACTTGTGAGGCCAGCAGCATGCAACTAGTGAGGCTTGCATGCAAGTCCTGCATCCCATTACTCCTCCGTCCGTACCCACCTGGAGAGCTGTCAGCACGTGAGCTGGGTAGAGCACGCGCTCCAAGACCTGGTGAAGGGAACAGCAGAGGAGGCTTAGTTTGTCATCAGCAGCACCTGGATGGGACACCCACAGCGACCACGTTGGGAGCTGATGGATGATGATTTCTGTACGGCAGCACTCACTCGATCGGGACTGAACCGGTCTCCTTCCTGGTTCTCGTTGCCCTGAAATAAAGCACACACAATAACATTAGAAGCATTCATTGTTACCGGTATTTGAAGATGGTATTCCTTCGTAAGGAGACATCCCTGCCACCGACCCCACCCATGAGAAAGCTGCTCACCTTGAGCCCAGCACCCAGTCCAATCCAGTTCTGGCAAATAAACACTGTCGTACGACCAGACCCGGTGTTGGTGATCTCCAAATGGTCTACGTGCCAGTTGGGAGACTCCCCTGCGAGTACGAGGTATCAGGAGATCAACAGTACGGCAGTTAGGCAGCTCAGGCTTTAAGTGTCGTTGCAAAACAGAGGGCGAGGGTACGTCAATGCATGCGTTGCTATGGCTTCCTTACACCGCTGCTGCCTGCTGGCAACCCTCAGCCTGCCTACCTGAGTCATCATGGGACAGGCAGATGCTCCCAATGTCGCCCAGCCCGGGGTCGGGAAAGAAGAAGACGTCCTGGCGGTGGTGGTGGGGGCGGTAGTGGAGGTCATGCAGGACCAGTTACGTTCCTCTCCTCAGGTGAGGTAAAACACATACCAGGAAAGTTTATACCGTACGTCAAGATTCAGACAATCCGGATGGAGCATGCATGCATGAGGTGTGTTAAAATAACCGGCCGAAGCATGAGGTGTGTGTGCGTAAGGCATAGCTCCAATTTCCAAGCGATGCACGCCGCAGCTTCTACCACCACAGCAGGGCCCACCCACCTCAGCGCCCTCACTGAACGTGCTGCCAGTGGCATCCCGCAGGTGCAAGTCCAGCAGCTGGCCGCGCGAACCGAACAGATCGACGTACACGTTGGCGTCCGTACTAGCCTGCAATCAAGAAACGTGATGAGGTGTGAGGTGACAGGTGATTTGCGGTGTCTTGGGCCAATTTTGGGCCAATTCCGAGTCAATCCTGAATACATGGACGAGCCACGCAGGACCATGCATGCACTCGTCATTCGTGCATCACGCAGGCTCACCTCGGGAAGAGCGCTGGTGAACGTGGCTATGCGGAAGTAGGGCTGTGTCGCCACCCGCAGTACGATACCCGCAGCAGCAGCAGCAGCAGCAGGGTTTGATGTGGCGGCGGACGCAGCATCACCATCGGCGGGATCTGGTGGTGATGCTAGGAACAAGAAGTGTTTGCCGTCAGAGAGACGGACAACCTGCAATTCGGTGGAAGGCGAAACAGGCAGGCTAGGTAACGGTATGAGAGACCGAGATGCCAGACAGCCCTTATCAAGTTGACTGCTGCTGCCTGCTATACGGTATATAACGTAAGCATGTAACAGGGACCGACTGACCTCCACGCACTGCAACCTGGCTTGGAGCAGCCCCTTTTGCCTGCATGCATGCAGCAACAACAATGACGACCGTAAATCCAGGAATACGTCAGCACCGCCGGTGTGATTGCCAGCAGTGACAGCAAAAACTTACGTTACATGCTAGATGGTCCCTCTAAAGGACGTTTGCTCAACAAGTCAAAGCGCAATAAACCAAGTCCATGGACATACCCCCCGCCCCACGCACCTGCAGCTGAGCTCCACAGACAGCAGCTCCCCGAGCGGGTGGGGACTGGACAGCAGCCGGGTCTCGTGGGAGTGGTCAACGGACTTGCCGGGAAGGGTGAAGGGAGCTTGCCGGTAGCCGTCCTCCGTCAGCCCCAGCACGACCATCTGTGAAGTAGCCAGCAAGCGTGGGGGAAGTAGCAAGTAGGGCAACATTTTCCTATCTAGGCTATTTTCTACACAAAGGAATGCCAGAAGCTGATGTATCGTGCTGTCGTGCACCGCTGCACTGCGGCTCTCTCTTGTGCTGCCCGTGCGTGCCTATAATGATTGAGGGGTTCACCGCGTTCTCGACCAAGCCTTCAGCAGCCCAGCACACGCACGCACCTGAATGTCCTCCTCAATACCCATGCCAACGCCCTTGCCAGAGCTCAGGACGTGCAGAACAACCTGACAAGCGCGGGGGGTACCAAGATGGCGGAGTGAGGGCGTGTTTATGCATGCAAGGTATGTGTTGCACGGCGATGCTGGGGGTATGTTGGCGATAGGGCCGCTGACTTCCTTTGCGCCGGTATACCGGGGCTGACTATACGGCAATCAGCAGGTCACATCAGTATCACCCCGTACCCTAGGGCCTCACACAAGGGTTGCAAGCTAGTAGTGGCACCGGTAGTAGCAGTAATACTGTAGTAGTTGTAGCAGTCTGCGCTCCATTACCTTGAACTCTGTCTCCGAAACCACTCTCTGGAGTCTGAGCTCCGCATCCGCCGGCTGCAGCTTGGATGGCTTCAGCTGGCCGTTCTGCTCGGCGTGCGCTTCTGCCTGCCGCGTTGCTAGCGCCATGAACCAGCCTCCCGCCACGAAGTACCAGGTGCGGCCGGTTTCCTCGCTACGCGTACAACATGCGTGTCGCAACATGCGTGTCGCATACACAGGACAAGTCAAAGTCGGCTTAGTTAGCAATAGCACGACGCGAATGAAATACGCCATACTGGCCTAGCTGAGGACAATATCCCCCACTTGAATCGATATTATCATCCAAGTCAGGTTGGGATTGCCCGTGCAACCAACAGGCTGGGCTCCAAAGCATACGTGAACATGATCGTCGACGTGATCGTGATTGTGAACGTAGGCACGTGTGTTCCCAACTCACCAAGGTGAACGTAGGCACGTGTGTTCCCAACTCACCAAGAAATCTCAACGTGTTGGACGTTCCAGTCCCGTGTCCCCCCGACAGCCGCTCCCGCAGCAGCGCCCAGCAGGCCGCCCGGCGGAGGCACGTGGTGCAGCGAGATGGACTCCACCTCCGCCATGAGGGGCAGCGTGAGGGGCTCCAACAAGGAGAACTTGGAACCCCTGCGCAGCATGTAGCATGCGTGCGCGTATGACTAAAGTGTCCGTACAATGACCAGGCCATAGGCTGTACTATGGCGCTGATGGACTAGAGAGTATGGGGTCATTCCTACCAGAACTAATCCCTCCCTCCCTCCATTCCCGCCCGGACGAGAATGGAGGGCGTTGCATAGCGTTGCACGCCTGCGGATCGCCCATGTTCCTCAGCTCGACTTGCAACCTGTCCGCATACGCATTATACTTGACCTCAGCTACTCGCGTTCCTAGGCCACCACTCACTCCGCAAGGACTGCGCCGTCCGGATTGATGCAGACCAAGTTGCTCTTGATCTCGCCGGCAGCAGCCCCCTCCCTGCCGCTGCGGCCATGCAGCCGCACATACACGCGGCCATGCGTGCCGCCATTCTTCTCGGCGCCCGTAAACACACTGATGCGGTACTTGGCAGTGCCGCTGGTGCGAGCAACCTGGGACATGGCCAGCAGGGCGGCAGTCCGGAACCTTGAATGAATTCCACGCGCGTTGATACCGTAACAGGACCGCAGTTAACGAACGCAGTAACACATGGCACGACATGGCCACGAACGAACTGTTATCCATCAGCGTTGCTTTGGGCTGCGCATAAATAAACAAACGAAACGAAACCAACCTTCCGGCTGATGGGTTCTGCCTGCAGCCACGTACGCACCTCTTGCGGGATGCAGTGCGCGGGAGCCATGTAGCGGACGTCGCCGTCGGCCTCCTGCATGAACCTGACCTTGCCCTCACGTACCGCGGAGTCAGATGTCTGTGTTTGAATGAGCGAATGGCAGCGGGGCGCCGTGAGGCAACGGGAGATGCTGTTGGGTAGGGAAGTGCTGGGGAAGCTGGTGACATGGTAACCGAACACAAAAGGAAAGTGTAGACGCCACGGGTTACAACCATCCTAGTTGGGTGACGAAGGTGATGAATGAGCCAGTCCGAGGCGAGCTTTGGCAGCAGGCGAACGCCGCAAGAACTACTAACGTGCATGCATGCATGCACGGGTTTCATGTTCGCAGCTATTGCATCGTACCGTACCTTGTTTTGCGGCGCTGCCGCCTCCAGCTCTGCTACCAGCGCCCTGTCCTGCAGGGGCGCGCACAGCAGGCATGGGTCCAGCCACACGCAGCGCGCCCCGCCGCTGAAGTCGCTCTCCACCACCAGCTGCAGCTGCCTGCATGTGACATGCGTGTGTATGACATGGGTGCATTTCATTTCAGTATTTTCAAGCTGATAAGTAGCATGAGAACTGGTGGCGCCAAGCAGGGAGCTGGACAGCATGATGATGAGGAGGCGGCCAAAGCAAGCCCGCCAAATGCTGTTCACCGACCTGCAGCCCACCAGCTGCTCGCAGCACACCACCACCTCGCCCGCTGCCTTGACCCAGGCGGCCCAAACAAGGGTCTCGTCCTTGACGAGGCTGAACCGCACCGGCGCAGGAGGCGTTCCTGCAGGAGAGGCCGAGGCGTTACGAGAATTGACGCATACAAGATTTTACCGTTCCCGTGAGCTGTCTAGCAGACAGGCGAGGTGAGATACGAGGAAAGGCGTACCGGTACACCAGAACCATCTAACGCGGTAAAAGCCGTTGTACGGCTACGGGTGTGAACGCATGCATGGGCAATGGGATGATGCTTATGACCTACCCGCGCTGTCATCCAGCGCCACATGTGCAAGGAACCACATGTACTGCTCCCCCAGCTCCCGCGCTGCGGGCGCCAGGTTGTACGACAGCACCACACACTCGCGAACACCCGGAACCACACCACCAGCACCTCCAACACCGGTAGCAGCTGTTGTAACGCCATTCTCGGCGGGTATAGCCGAAGCTGCTGCTGCTACCGCAGCTGCAGGTGCACTGGAGTTGCCGCCCCCAGGAGCGGCAGCGCTGTTGCCAGCACCAGCACCAGCGGGTGATGAGGGCAGCAGCAGCCGGGGCGCTTTGGGATCGTCTGGGTCCACCCATTTGAAGCCGCCACGCGCCTGGACGGCTATGGAATGGCTGCAGGTCTGCCCCCTGATGCGGACCTGCGTTATCGGTACGTACGTGGCCGGGAGGTACCGGTACACGGTGTATATAAGGGTCATAGACGTATAGCAGAGCGTTCTGAGCGGCCTCAGCAGCGTAGGCGACTGTGGCGCCGTACAACAACAGCTGTCGGGGGCTACATACAGCGGAATGCTGTGCAAAAGGGCTTGGTGCAATAAGATATGGTGGCATTGCGGCGTGCGGCGACTGTGGCCGTGTCGTCACTGCCACGTACACCATCGTAACACCCCCCCCCATCGTTCGCCTGTGCCGTCCTGCGAGCCCTGCTTACTTGCTGACCCGGAGGGACCCCTAGGTCGCCTCCAAAGCCCAGGCCATAGTGTTTGCGCACATTGGTTGTCCAAAACAACCCCGGCTCGCGTATCGTATCCAGGTAACGTAGGCCACTTCGCTGTCCACACAAGGGAGGTAGCGGGTGTGGCCAGCAGCTGTCGCGCCCCGCAGCAGCCGCCTGCTGCTGGCGAGCGCCACCTTCAGCGCCCACCTGCTGCACGTGCGGGAGAGCTCCTACGAGGGGGCGAGGTGGAAGGCGGGACAGCGCTAAAGCGAAGGCGGGAGGATCTGAAGGATCTGAAGGATCTGTACATACTCAGCAGTGAATGATATACTCAGCACGCGGCAGGGCTCGCAGAGGTTACTGCCCGAAGCGGGGATTCGAACCAGAAAGGGCGACCTCTCGGCCAGTACTGTGGTAAAGTAGTTCCGGCTCACCTGGAAGAGAGGGGAAGGGGGCTGGAGGTGGCGCCTTCCATGCATACTCTTGAAGGTTGGGGTTGAAGTAGAGGACTGCGCTTGGGACGCCCGTTTCAGTGTCCACCTGGGGGAGGAAGGGAAGGGAAGCCAAGCGAGGGAACATGGCGAACAATGTTGAAAAGGTTCCAGCTGGAAACCACGATACACCGCAGCAACCGGGCGGCACTACCAAACAGGGAATACCGGTATGCATTCCACGACAACACAGACGCACAGCACGGACCGCACACACAGCGAGTGCAGTGACGTGCATCAAACGAGGTGGCAGCTCTAGAGTCCTCCCAGCCCCATGCAACCACATGCATGCATACCTGCATGTCCCATTCCTCCCACACGCAGGGGTCGGCCCGCAAGCCTGCCAGCACCTCCCCCGGCTGCATCCACCGCCGCACCGTGACCTCCCACACCAGCGGCGGTTCACTGGTGGCGCAGTGCACCTCCACCTTTTCAAGGTACACGGCTGCGGTTGGTTTCAAACATACAGCTGGTTATGTGGTTCTGACGGAGTGAGGTAAATCGACCAAGGTGGCATGGCGCGGTAGAGGAGGAAACAAAAGCAGTACGTAGCAAGAGCTTGGAGAGAAGAATCCTTGGGGCGTACGAGGGCAAAACCTGTGGATAGCAACTGGATCACAAACCTCACCCTCAGACTGCGTGTCGTGTCGCACGTTGATGCAGTCAAAGTTGCCCAGCTGAGCGCCGGCTGCCAGGACGACCTCGTACGACAGGATTCGTACGGAGGACAGCAGGGGTGGAACCTGAGGGAGGCCGGGACACAGAAACGACCCATGGGTCACAGTCTCACAGCCCAATTATGTGACGAGTTGCCTGCTGTAAACGAAAGACACACCGACCAGGACCATCTACGCCCATCAGCGGCGCACCTTGCATAACTGTGGGGCGCTTTCAATTAAAGGCGACCTGGTGTCCACGGCAGCCGCTGCTTCCTCAGCAGCAGGTTGTCCCCCAGCTGCAGGTCCCTCATCACTCGGCAATCCGCCGGCGGCCTCTGCTGCTGCTGCTGCTGCTGCTGCTGCTGCGGGAGGACGAGCTGCCGTACCTGTACCCGCAGCGGCCTCCCCTGCCGCTACCACAGTAACAGCAGCAGGCTGCTGTTCCGCAGGTGGTGGCGGTGGTGGCGGTGCGGCACCAGCAGCTGCATGGGCACTGCTATCCAACCCAGCAACAGGAACCTCGGCCGCATGTGCACCTGCACTGGCACCGGGCAGCGGCACCGCTGACGGCGTGGTGGAGCCAGACGGCAATGGGGATGATGCGATGAGAGGTGCAGCTCCCACAACCGGCGCTGTTGTATGATGATGAAGCGGCAATGATGGTGCGACGGCAGCTGCATCCGCCCCTGCTGCTGCTGCTGCCTGCAGGGGCGACATGTGAACCCCGGGTGACACAGCTGACTCAGCTTCCCCAAGTCTCGGAGCACCATGATCGCCCCAAGCGCCGACACTACCCGGGGTAGCCGCCCCAGCAGCCACCGCTACTACCGCGACGGCTGGAGTTCCTGCTGACTGCTGGGGAGCAGCAGCAGCAGCAGCAGGCGCAGCAGCAGGTCTCGGCTGTAGCGCCGCTGGGTCGCCCTCGCTCTCCAGGGCCTCCAGTGCTTCCCCTAGCGGCCTTGAAGCCGCCAAGCTCACCGCTGCTGCTGCTGGCGCGGGTCCTATTGGGGGGCTCCGCGGCGCGGCGGCCGGGGGCATGGTTGTTTTCCCCAACTCGCCACCTGCTGCTGCGGCTAAAGCTAAGGGCGTGGGCTGTGCTGGGAGTCCTGGTGGCATGGTAACAGGCGCTGCAAGGGAGGGAAGTGGGCCTGAGGCCAACCCTGCGGCATCTCCGGTGCCTGGTTGCAGCTCCAAGGGTGCTAGCCCAGACACCAGGAGCTGCTCTGTCTCCCGCGCGACCACCGCCCGAATGAACGGCACCTCTTCCGCCTGCATGGTTACAACAACGAGGGTGATAAACTGAAACGCGCGCTTGACTGAAAGCCGGGAAGAAGGCCGCAGGCGGAACACCATTCCAACTGCAACTTGTACCGGTAGAAGGTGACCGGGCTAGCAACGACGTACCTCGACGCGCGGCCACATGCGACACTCCAAGCGGTTCGGCTGGTCCACCGCGTCCGGGACAGCAGCAGCCGCCTGCTGCTGGGCAGCCGATACGCCTCCCGCCCCCCCGCTGACCTGTATCCCGCCGGCCGCATGCTCTCGCCGGCACGCCGCATGCTTCGCCAGCCAGGCCCGGTGCCACTTCCACTGCGACCGCCAGGCTCTGGAGCCGGTTGCGGTTGCGGGAGGCTGCTGCGCGCAGCCCAGCACCACCGAACCTAACACGAGTGTTACGAGTGTGTTTTGTCAATAGGCCACAGTGCAAAGGTTTGGAAAATCGGATCGCTATTCCTTGTTCCAACAGAGCCATGCGGACCGTATGGAAGATTCTACAATCTATAAAGCAGGACTCGTTGCTTTATAGTCCTGCTAACTGCCGTACCTGTTGGCCTGTACGGCGTGGTGATGTTGCCATGCCACTTCTGCCAGGTTTCAGGGTCCGGCAGACAACCAGCGGACCGCCACCGGCCTAGCCGGTTGGCCGCTTCAGAGATGGATGCGGCTGACAGCGACCCGGCACCTGCCAGGTTACGTCCCGGAAGAACACAGCAGTGTAGAATGTAATGGACCAGGTACAAGATTAGGACAACCAGACGCACGAGATAAAGCACGCGCGCCTTGTCCTGTTATGCGCGAGCAACAATGGACCTGTATCCAGAAGGATGCGCGCAGGGGGCTGCTACAAGGGTGCAGCCATACATACAGCAACCCAAGCAACCCAAGCAAGCAAGCAAGCATGCATCCATGCAGCGCCACATGAGCTAGCCATCCTACCCACTCGACCCGCTGTCCTGTCATGGCCACCACCACCACCACAACAGAGCACTATCTGCCTCACATACTGCTACCGTTATGCTACCGTGTGCCGGTACTAAATCATGCATTTGCCGTTACTGTTACCTGCGGGGGCGCCATCCTGCCGCACTGCTGCCGGCGGGGGCGCCTGCGAGCCGCTGGTCGGCGGCTCGCCTCGCAGGGCCGCCAGCAGCTGCTTGCGGGACAGCAGCGCGTGCTCCGAGGAGTCCCAGGTGTGCAGGAACATGAGGGCCGCACGCAGCAGAAGCGGTGGGAGCAGCTCGCGAGCCACCTCCAGCAGCACCTGGCGGGCCATGACCCACATGAGGACAGTGCATCACGGAAGTTAGGAGCACCGTGTGGCGTCAGCTGCAGGCGATGGGGATGTTACATATGATGACATGGGCGGTCGCGTTGTGCGCATAAGGACAAAACGGGCATACACATCCGCTGTCATCCGCTGTTCCGACTCGCGGCGGTTTTTCAACACATCCGCTGCGTGCGGTGCGTGAAGACTGCGGCATCCATCCGGCCTTCCAGTCCGGACCTTCCGCAACTCGCATGCATCAATGCGGCCCTTGCCGCGGGAGTCGTGGCGCCTCCACGCCGCCTCCAGCTCCGCCCCACGCGCCGCCAGGGAGCCATGCAGCTGCTGCAACGCAGCGAGGAACGCGCCCCATGTCAAAGGAGCCTCCCCGGCTGCTGGCGTGCCGCCTCCAGGCGCGGCCCCAGGCAGCACCGGGGCGGTGAGGTCCAGCTGCTTCGCGGCATCCTCCAGCCCAGTGCCGTGCAACACCGCCATGGCAGCGGATAGCTCCCTGGAAGCAAAGGGAAGGGATACGGTGTAACAGGGGTACAGCTGGGAGGATTACCAATACCGCCGAGGATGCGTGCACGACGAACGCTGGCACAAGGAAACCGGGTTACGGTGGGTTAGCTGGTCATCCATGTACGTCAGCAAACATCTGGTTCCTGGCTGCCGCTTCTACTGGTTTACCCCGTGTTACCGGTACCCCCACCCCCTTCTAAAGGCCCACCCACCCACCTGCACTCCTTGAGGCCCCCCTCGAACTCCTCCCGTGACAGGGTTCCGTTACCGTTGGCATCCAGCACCGCCACCAGGTGCCTCGCCTCGCGCCCGGTCAGCGGCGGCTCGCCGGTGCGACACTCGAAGAGCTGCTTCACCAGGTAGCGCACCTAAATGGGGGGCGAGTGCGTGCGTGCATGCATCCCGGCAGTATACCAGTATTCAGTTCGGGCCCCAGCATACACGGGCTGCAGCCGGCAATGAGCGTCAGGCGCGTTGGATCGTCCTGGGTCATCCTGGCCCCATGCAATGGTTGTTCACGTTACGCCCCGCTGTTGATAAGGGGCTGAACAACAAACAGCTGGAATACGGTAGCAAAGCAGTCACCGTACCTGGTTGACGGTCAGCTCAGAGCCCCGCGGGTACAGCTCATCCAGTTGGGTGCGGTTGTGCTTCACATGGTATCGGAGCAGTCTGAAGACGTCACGAGGCCGACCGGGCACCCAGCCCGCTGCCATGGCAGCTGTCCCCTCGGCTCCGGAGGCAGCCTGCGATGCAGGGTAACGGTGGGGGGATCAGGTAAACTGAGCCGCGGAAACACTACGGTAGTACGGTGGATAGGATAGGCAGAGCCTGGACCGCATGGCAGACGCGCGGCCGAGCATTGGCTAGCGAAGCGGCAGGTTTTAAGTCCGGGAGGGCACCCCCTCGCTCCCCGCAACAACCTCCCCAGCAACAGTAGCATGCATCCCGTGTTGGCCGCCCCCATCACCTGCAGCCCAAAGCAGCGCTTCAGCTCGGTCACATGCACGCCCGGGTCGGAAGGAGCGATGTTCGCCGTGCGGGCCACGTGCGCCTGCAAGACAACAAAAGAATGGGGTAGTGCTAGGTATTTAGATCGCGTTTCGTGGATAGGACAATGGAGTATGGTGGGCGTGGAGGGTAGCACGGGACGCAGCTGCAGCCCCCATATTCCTTGGACCCCCCGTTTGCGTATAGACTGCCCAGGGGGGCGTAGTAGAGGAGGTGTATTGCCCGCTTGAAACTGTATCAGCTACGCAGCACCAGCCATCAATTCGAAACATGGTAAAGCTTGAGTGACCCATGGGTCTTCCTCGTCCCTCACCATTAACATGCGCAGTGCGCCCCGGCCGCCCAAGCGCTCCGGCACAACTGCCTGCAATGTACCATACACACCGGTAGTGGATGCGGGGAGAGGGGCACTACTTCGCGAACAGCATAGCACGCGCAGCACGCCAGGGCATCCCATGAAAATCCCCAGGAAAGTCCCCCCTCTTTAACTCGACAACCAACCCAGGAAGTCAAGCGAGGATTACGGTAATCAAGCTTGGCCGCACCCACCTGAAGGAGAGCGTTGAGCTGCTCAAATGTCAGGTAGCCACCTGTGTCAGAGGGGCGGGAGGAAGGGGGGGGATGTTGCCGGGGGCTCCAGTACAGGCTGGGTATAGGAGTAATATCTACCGGTAGTACGGCACCCAGCAGCCTGCAACTCCCGCTTGCATGTCATTGCATGAATCCATGCACGCCAATCGATATGAAGCCGACGGCTATGAGTACGGCAGCCGCAGGCTACCGAGCTGCCTTCCTTGCAATGTGCGTGTTGTAGCACACCCCACAGCCACCCAGCTGCCTTCTATGGTCACGGTCGGCACGTCTAAACCCATTTACCGGCGCTCAACTACACCACCCCAGCTACACAGCCTCAGCCAGACCACCCGGCGACCCACCTGCCGGATTCAGCTCCAGCAGCCTCTCCTCCACCGCCGCCACGTTGCTGCGCAGGTGCCCCACCAGCTGCCCCAACACCGCCGTCAGGCCCTGCTCGCCTGGCAGGCCGCCGCCCCCGCCCCCGCCGCCTCCGCCCCCGCCCCCGGCGCCTCCGCTGCTGCCCCCGCCGCCGGGGGGTGGGGCAGCACCGGAGCTGCTCTGGGCACTGGAGCCAGCAACAGCAGCCGCGGCGGTCGCTACGGCCCCCACGCCAACAGGGCTACCAGACGTTGCCGATGTAGCCAGACCTACCGGTAAAAAGCGGGGAACAAAAAGGGAGAGGGGTCTGGACAGCTCAAGAGGTCACGAACCCAGGCGCGGACCGCAAGCATAGTACCCTACGTCCGCAGCGTGGTGCAGTCCCCTGCTGATCCCCCTGCTGATGCTGTTTACATGCATGCTCACCCGGGTTACCGCCCCCCACCACCGCCGAGTCAATGTCCGCGCAGTCCGCCAGGCTCTGCCGCAGCTCCTCCTCACTGATCACTCCGTCACCGTTCACGTCCACCATCGCGGAGAAGAGCTGCGTCTCCAGGTCCGACACCCGGGGAATGGCCTGGATGGACGGGGCGTTCGGTAAGGTACCGGCAAGGCGGAGGACTGTTTTGCCAACGCACCGGTAGGTCATGACAACTTACATGGCACGTATGTTCGTGCAGGCTTAACCAGGACCCATAAGCACCGTTGCCTAAAGAGGGAAGGTGTTTCACGGCTAGCTACGGCACATGCTACATGGTATGCGTGGCACTACTACTGCGTTACGGAGTTTATGGCAGCCTTAACAGTATACGGTAGGACTGTGTGGACGTGTGGGAAGGCGTGTTTATCACCCACAGTCCCACACCTTTGCCAGCAGCTGCTTCACTTCCTCCATGCTGAGCACGCCGTCAGCGGAGCCGTCCACGCTCTGCAGAAGCGCTTTGAGCTGCGCACCGCCGCCGGAGGACAGCAGCCACTTGGAGAACAGCGCAAACACGTTGCGACGCGGCTCCAACAGCCGACCTGACCCGGCAGGAACGGAGGAAAACAGTAGCAGACCACCCCATCAGTATTCATAACATGGCGAGCAGTTCTTAGGGGAGCGCTATAAGGATGCAAGACGCGCAACTTTGGGTGTAAGCCGCACCACAATGCACCACAATGCATGGTCCAGTGTCCGACTTGGGTTGGAGAGTGAGACATACGCACATACCGGTACGCCCAACCCCGGTACACCCGCCTAGGTACCGGTACCCACCCGGTGGGGACGTGTCGGCGCCCCGTCCAGCTCCCGCTTCCCCCCCACCAGCAGCACCGCGGGGTGCCCTGGCGGCTGCATGCCTGGAGGCAACCTGCGCTCGATTCCATGTGACCGGCGCAACCTCCTGCACAGAGGAGGCAGCGCAGTGGGAGTACTGATTTGGGAGCACTGGCTTGCAGACATGGATGAGGCAGGCGCACGTTCCATCCAGTGATGGACTTGACGGTTATGGCTGGCATGGGATCCCAGCACAGCTAGGCACCCGTGTAAGTGAACGGGTTCAGTAGGGGGCACGTAAGGGCATACTGACTGCTGTTGCATCCCCTAGTGGCTTTGGCAGATTGGCTACCTAGGCAGCATGCGGGTGGCCCACGGGTCGCATGCGTCGTAGAGCCCACAAGAAGCGGAATGGTGGTGACGCAATTCCGGGTTGTGTTCCCCCTCTTACATCTCAAGGGGTTGCAATCGCCCACCTTTTTAGCACACTGGCTGGAAAGCAGGCGTCCCTGGCTTCCAAAGACCTCGAAGGCCACGCTTGATGCACAACCGCGTCCCCAATTGTCGCCGGTATGGAACAGGACCTGGTATGGGGATTGGAAAGCAGTACACCGAACCGCATCTGTGGTAAGTACTGCATGAGAACTCCGCAATTGGAGCCACGTGGGGACTTGACCGCCGCATCAGGGGCTCCTACTGACGCTCCTTGTGTGTGCTCCTTGTGCCACCCGGGGTGTTGCGCACATCTGTCCTCCAATAAGCATCCCCAAACATGGTATGAACGCATGGGCTTCACCAAGCTTCAAAACTCGCGTCCTTTCGTGCAAGCCTAAAACATACGGGAACCGTCGATGTGCAGTTGCTTACATGGTATCTATGCTGCATCTTCCAGTTAGGCCTCTTGATCTTGCCACCTTAGCACACAACCAGTCGCCAATATTATTACGTGACTACCACGAGCCCTACAAAGACTTTAACCATGGTCGACATTTACTCAAAGTTGCATCTGTATGGAGCCTTATCTTCGGTATTATCCTATACAATATGTATATTCCGTCCCAGCGCGTCTAACTTCTGCAAGCTTCGTACAAGTTCAACCTCATTGGGATAAATAGTTGGACGATGTTAGGGAGCAATCACACAATAGCCATATCCAAAAATGGTCCCGCTTGAGTCGCAGGCATTTTGCTTGAGAATAGGGCATAGGGGATTCGTGGCCCGTACGGCAAGCGCTAGGTATTTGTCAGTTCCTCCTGCTCGGCCAGCTCTACTTCCAAGATCCTAGAAACAGTCGTTCTTCAACGCCTACCCCACTTGCGCGTGGGCGCATCTAATAGATAACCCGTTAAGCTCCGCCATCATATGCAGCACGGTGCGGTCAGTGCAGTGGTCACCCTTAGGGAGGCCGTTTGGGGCCCTGGGCCTTGGCCCAGCTGCCCGGCTAGGGAAGTGAGTCTGACGAGTGGGCTTCGGGAGCATGCCTTTAAACCCTTACGCACCAGAGTGGAAGCCGCCGGCGCTGCGTGGTCCACCCAGCGCCGGGGCCAAGGCCGGCGACGATGAGGAATTCGTGGAAGCATTTGACTTAGCAGGCCTTCCAGAGCAGGTCTGTCAAGCCGGAGTCTGCAAACATGAGGCGCATAGTTCGATTAGCTTCGTGTTTACTTCTACAGGTCATTTCTTTAATTATCGCGTGCTTAACGAGCCCAGTTGACCTAACAAGGTGCGCGTGCGCTTGCAAGCTACTCCAGCGGCATGTGTGCGAAGCGGAACTCTGCCTTGATATCCGTGGCGTTAAGACTCTGGCTGGTCACACCAACATGGGCAACAGCGAGGAGAAGGCTGGCCATCGCTCGAAAGCTCTTGTAGGGCTGCGCAAATATATGCGGGGTAGGTCACAATGCTGGATTGCAGGGTCTGCTAGTCCGCAGCGCAAGTACATGACAACCGCCTGCATGTCCCTGTACCGCCTTGCCATATCACATATGACCGTCTTACACTGTCCGCTTTTCTTTACCCGCGTGGCTTATCCTTACCCTTGTTGTGCAGGCACGGTGGCGCTCTTGTTGCCCAATGCCTCCTTGGAAGATGCCGATGTGGAGGAGCTCCTGACCACACTTCCCCAGCTGCAGCTGCTCGACGTCTCAGGCGGTCGCAAGCTAACACACGCAAGCGCCTCTGCCATCGCCCAATCCAACACCTCAGTAGCAGCGCAAGCTTGCGCCAGCACATGCTTCCCTGAAACAGCAGAAAGCTCGGCCACATTGGCTGCTGTACATGACGAAGGCAGCCAGCATCCCCCGCTTTCAGAAGCCGCGCCTGTGCCTGCTACCGCAGTCAGCCTGGACTCAACGCTGGCACGTCGCAGGTCCCTGCCGTTGCGTTTCATTAACATGCAGCGCTGCTTCCAGCTGCACAGCGGCAGCCTGGGCAAGCTGCTGGGCACCCCCGGTCTGCGCTGCCTCGCACTGAGCCACCTCGATCTGGGTCACTGGCCCAACCCTGCCGCCATGCAGTGCGCCCTGGCAGCAGAGCCCACGCATCGCTCGTCTGGATTGCAGGTGCGGGCAGGGCGGGACAGCTGGCTTTGTTTGTCCGCATGCATATGGTTGCTCCGTCCTCACAGGACCGCCCAACAGCTTGGTTACCGTTGCTTGGGACGCAACACCAACCAACTTACATGCATCTAGCCTCCCCTGACAAACCCTCATGCCGGCAATTAACCTCTCCCGCTCAGGTTCTGGCGCTGCACAACTGCCTGCGTCTTAACGGACCTGCCATCACCGCCCTGGCTTCACTCGTCGGCGGGCTGCCGGAAAGCAGCAGCATCAACAACAGCAACAGCACAGTCCCCTACAGGGTCCCTCAGGCAGCAGCCTCAGGCGTGCGCTTTCTCATGCTCGGCGGCAGCACCCTTGCTCTCGCATCCTTCCTAGACAACAACAGCAGCAGCAGCCCTTCCGATGTCACCCAGCCCCCCCTGCCACCCCACCTCGAGGAGCTGCTCGTCTCCTCCTACAAACCCGCCTCCACCAGCACAGCAGCCACCGTACAGGCGCATCTGGCCGCCGTACGACACCTAGTGGCGGCGGCGCTAGCCATGCCTCAGCTCCTGGCCTTGGAGCTCACCTTCTTTCCGCCTCCGCTGGTTGCGTGTGTGCGTCGTGTGCTGGCGGATGCAGCCGCAATGGATCGCACTCCCGTTGTCGTGTGGGACTTTTCTGGGGAGGCTCGGGACGTGCAGGCAGCCCGACGTGCCTTGGAGCGTACCCTGCGTGTGGCTCGACGTGCATGTGAGGAGGTGATGGATGAAGGAGAAACAGGCATGGGTGGTGTCGGAAGCCGCGGTGGCGGCAACCGCAGTGGCGGCAGCGGTGGCATGCTGGATGAATTTGCGGTGGCGGCCATCATGCGTTGCGCTGTCAACTGCTCCAACGTAACACGCAGCACGCCGTTGCACACGGCATCGGAGCGCGGGGACGCGGGTGGCGTGCGGCACCTTCTGGATGCTGGGGCTGCGGTGGACGCGCGGGACACCGCCGGCAGCACACCGCTGTTCCTGGCGTCCGAAGCGGGTCACATGGAGGTGGTGACGCGGCTGCTTGCGGCGGGTGCAGACCTCCGCCAGAGCAACGCAGCCGGGGAGACCCCGCTGTACATTGCTTCGCTACGCGGGCACTTGGGCTGCGTGAAGGAGCTCCTGACGCACTGCAAGAAGCACGGTATTGCATGGCAGGAGGCGGAGCTGTATGGGGATGCGTGGACGCCGCTTCATGCGGCGGCGGTGGCTAACCGGGCGGACGTGGCAGCGTGTCTGTTGCAGGCCGCCGGCACCTCCCGTGCACCCCAGCTGGTAGTCGCACCCAACAAGTACGGACAGAGTGTGCTGCACATCGCAGCGCGCAAGGGCTCCTCACAGCTGCTGCGGCTGCTGCTGTCGGCTGGGGGCACCGCCGTGGTGGCCTCGCGCGACGGCAGCGGCGACACCCCGGTGGACGTGGCTAAGAAGAACCGTCACGTGGCAGCGTTGGAGGAGTTCCGGAGGCTGGCAGCGGCGGGGTGCGGCGCCGGTGGGGGCGGGGGTGGCGGCAAGGGGGTGCAGCAGCCGACCGCGACGGCCATGGCGTGATGGGTAAAGAGGAAACATCTAACTGACCGTGTGATAAGGCATCATCATGGCGTGATGGGGGTGGTGATGGGCAGTGTGGTGATGCGTGAGGGTGAGGCGCTGGCGGTGGGTGGGGGGTGTTGCGAGGAAGTGTGTGGCGGTGTTGGTACTCGCGGGGCAGACGGCGTGATGACTCTGGCGTGATGATGCATGGTGAGGGGGATGCAGGGGGAGCGGGAAGAGGGTGCGGTGGTTGCTGACGTGTCGGTACGTTTCATGCAGGGAGTACGGCAAGGTGTACGGTCGAGGGTTACCTTTCACGTCGACTGTTAGCGCTTAAGGTTTGTGTCGTGTGGTTAGGCTACAAACTTTACCACATGCAAGCTGGTTGGACATCCTAAGCAGTGCATTGCATCTGAATCTGTCGTTGGGTTGCAATTGGTGTTGAGGTCGATAATCATTAATTGTTGGGTTGATGCCCATAAACGCTGATGTTTAAAACCCTGCGTGATGCGTTACTGTGTTACGAACCGTGCTGCGCACTGTTTCTCGAAGACCTAAAGCAGGAAGCAGGAGGCTGTTGCAGGAGGGGCGGCAATGCAATTCAGCATCCGCCCAATGTTTTCGATATGTGTGTTTGCGCTGCAACTGCAGCAACAGATATACAAAATGGGCATTCTGTAGGAGTTGATGGTTGTAAATCTTGCAATGCGGTTTCTACTGGTATGCGTTAGCCGGTCCATGTTGGGCTGGGATCTCCTGCTAGGTAATACTCCCGCGTCAGGGATAAGTGTCAAGGAGACATCCCGTTATCACGCGTGAATCACGGACGCAATGAATCCCACCACGCTCAAAGAAGGGCTCAAATCCCACCACACTCAAGCCCTCGCAAGCCCTCGCATAACACACACTTGCCACAACCACCGTGCTTTTAAGGGCCTTAGCACCGTATGCTCCGGTACCCGTGGCCGCCGACCGCACACACTGGTTCCGACTCGCGGCCAGTTTTCACATAACACACTGGTGACGACCTCACGCAACGCGAGGGGTGCGACGACGCGGCCCCTTGGCTGCCGGCTCCTCCTCTTCCTCCTCCTCCGCATCCGCCGCAATCTCCTCCTGCGTTAAGAGAGCACAGAAATGGGGACAGGACCATTGTGATAAACAGCAGGGGGAAAGCAAACAGTAAACCTTATCATAGGGCTCTCGGGCTACATCCATTTCCCCATTTCGGTTTCGGTGTCCAGCCTTTCCTTTCCGGAGCACACCTCAACATGTCCCCTTACCTTTGTCCCCTCCTTTCGCTCCTCCTCCGCAGCCGCAGCTGCATCCCCGCTGTCCCCATCACCACCACCAGCAGCAGCGGCCTCCGGGCTCTCCTGCTCCCCCTGCTGCGCTCCCTCTCCACCCGCAGGCTCCTCGTCCTCGTCCTCGCTCCCGTCCGCCCTGTCAGCCTCCGTCGCCGCAACCACGGGCGAGGCATTCCCCTTCTGCACGTGCATGCACCCGGGACCAGCCTTGCAGATTTGTTTTATGTTACCAAGCCAATCGCAAGCTCCCAAGCCAGCTCTTGCACTTCGCACAAGTCCAGTGTATACCGATACGCCCTCCAAACCCCCTTTCCAATATCCTGCCAGTGCGCAGCACAGGAGCTACCACGCACGGATGCGTGCATGCACCCCCCACCCTGTGTTTCTCTATGGTTCGGTATGGTTTTTGACCGCCCCCCACCTTCTTCCCTCCCCCGAACGCGGTGCGCAGCAGCAGCGGCAGCAGCACCAGCAGCGGCAGACCTCCCAGCAGCACCCCCGACCCCTGCGGATTGCCCCGCAGCCACTCCAACAGCGGCGCCAGGGAGGGAGCCAGCGGGGACAGCAGGCCGCCCGCCTACAGGGCGGGGAACAGGGAGGGGAGGGGTGGGGAACAGGGAATGGAGACGTTACATTCATGTTGTCATACCAAGCCAGTGGCAACCCTGCCGACTACTTCAGGCAGGTGTGGCAGGAGTGGAGGGGTGGAGGCGGGCAGGTTTGGTGTGGGGTCCTGTCCGGATAAGAGATAAGACGAGGTAACCCCGGTAGAACCCCCACGCACCCACCCACCCAACCCCGCTCCCTGCCACCCACCTCGAACAGCCCCAGCACCCTCTCCGTGAGCTGCTCAAACGCCTCAGCCACACGGCCCTGCGCGCCGGCTTGCGCCCTCTTCTTGCGCCTCTCCTCCGCCTCCGTCTTCTGACGCCGCCGCTCGGCATCCTCGTTGGCCTTCACCTGAGCCTCGAACGCAGCAACCTGCGCAGCATCGCAGACACGGCATGAACCGCGGGTCTGCCCCAAACCCTTACCGGGTAACCGGTATAAGCAGCAGCGAGCATTGCACATGCAGGTAAAGGGACCCAACCCCAGAGCAGCTGTTGCTGCTGAAGCTGCAGCTGCTCACACACAGCCTACCACTTAGGCTCAGCACGCCCGCCCGCCCCCACCTCTCTCCTCACTATCCCCCCCCCCACCCCCTCCCGCCCGCCCGCCCCCACCTCTCTCCTCACTATCCCCCCCCCCACCCCCTCCCGCCCGCCCGCCCCCACCTCTCTCCTCACTATCCCCCCCCACCCCCTCCCGCCCGCCCGCCCCCACCTCCGCCTCATGACGCGGCTGCCACAGCCCCCTCCGCGCCGCCTCCGCCACCGCCGGGTCGCGGGTGAGCAGGATATTGTCGAACATGTAGCCCGAGTCCACCGTCCACAGCTCCAGAGCCACTCCCCCGATGGGTGCCACGCCGGAGCGAAGCGGCTCGGGGTCGGTGTAGAAGTCGGGGTTGGGGATGCGCTTCTGAACCCAGGGACCCTGCGGGACGGGGAGGGGTGGGGTAAAAGGAAGGCCAGTGCGGGGCCGGGTAGGGCGGGACGTACGGGAGGGAAGGGCATGGAAGGGTAAGGTGAATGGAAAAGGGGGGTATTCACAACCAGCTGGGCCCATGCCGGCTTGCACCCTACACCCTACCCCACCCCTCCTTCCTCCTCCCTCCCTCCCTCCCTCTCCACCCCACCACATCCACACGCACACCTTGTACTTGGGGTTGGGGATGTGCGGCGGCTTCCAGGCTCCCTTGAAGGCGGGGTTGGGCTTCAGGGGGCGGCGCCAGGGCCCGCAGCCCACCTTGCAGCGCGGGTTGGGTAGCTGCGGGGGCTCCCAGGCGCCATCCTCCTCATCATCCCAGTCGGCGGGTTTCTTGGCGGCTGCGGGTGTGCATGGGGGGGGATGTATAGGAGGGATGGCGGTATGGAGGGGAGGAGGGAGAGAAGGCGAGGAGGAGGTTTGCGTGCGCATGCAGCGGAGGCTCGATCCGCCATAATGCCGGGCGAGTAACAAGTGCCGCGGCAACGACACCGGTACCCCGGACTCGGAGCGGATACGTTCAGACGCAGCCCACTTCATTCATTCAGCTCTCCAGTCCAGTCCAGTCCAGTCCAGCCCATTAAAGGCAAAATACCGCATGTTTAGGTATGCTAAGGCCCACACACCCGAGGCGAGGCGAGGGTTGAGAAGCGAGACGCGAGCTTACCAGGATCGTCAATCATCTCCGGTTCATCCTCCCGCCAGCCTGGGGGAGGCGAGGGGAGGGGTGTGTTGGGCGGGGCAGCGTAGCACAGGCGACACGGCCTGACGTTAACACGGCACAACACGGCTTCCGGTAACCGCTTACTGCATCGCCTGCAGCAACCCAAGCGCGCATTACCTATACACCTAGTCCATGCTACCTACCTACCTAACTGGCTAACCAACTGGATAACCAACCGGCTAATTGACGGACCAACCAACTAACTATCATCCTAAAGCCTTCGGCCGCACCCTTGGGCTTGACCGCGTCCTCGTCCTCGATCTGCTCGCGCTCGTCCCAGCCCTCCGGCTTCACGGCGTCAGGGTCGGGAATGCTGCAGGCGGGCGAGCGGGCAGGCAGGCGGGCAGGCAGGCAGGCAGGGGCGCAAGGGAGGTGAGAGGAGGCAATAAGAGGAAGAATATGCCGGTAGAACATGAAGGGGGGCGGTACACATGGGGGAGATGACAGTCCTGAGAGATGACCGGTTCGTATATCCACCCAAGCGCCAAGCTGGTTCCCCAAACAAGCGGTCCCCACGATACGCCCACTTTGTACCCCTCCCACCCGGCCCCACCTTAATGCATCCCAGGTGCCCCTTCAGAACTCCCCAGCTCTCCCCCCCCTCCCCCTGTGGTCTCCTATGGTTTGGTATGGTCTTTCCCGCCCCTCCCCCTGCCCCCACACCCAGCAGCTCACGTCGCCTGCTCCACCCAGTCTGCCGGCTTGATGTCGTCCGGGTCGGGCACCTCCCGCGGCGGCAGCAGCGGCGGCGCCAGCACCCCCTCCTCCAGCAGGCTGCCGGAGGAGCGGGAGGAGCCGTCCACCAGGATCTCGTAGCGGTGGTCGGGGCTGCGGGGGAGGGGAGGGAGGGCGGGCGGGAGGGAGGGAGATGGGGAGTGGGCAGCGGGGAGGGGGAAAGAAGGATCCCCAATGTGTTGAAATGACGAGAATGGTAAACAAGACGATACCGATAAGCTCCGGGCGAGGGGAAGGAGAAGAGGAGCCAAACAGTGCCCCAGCAGGAAACATCATGTTGGGGGGGGAGAGGGAGGTAGCAGCCACGCACCCTATCCTCAGCGTGTACACGTGCGTGTAGATGTCACTGGACTCGGGCAGCGGGGCCGCCGACAGGTGCTTCTCGGTGACGGTGCCGGTGAGGGCGTGGCGGTGGCGCAGGATGAGGTGGATCTGGGGGGGGGGAGGGGAAGAGGCGGGGAAGAAGAGGTAAACCAAGAGAATGGAAGGGGAAGGGAAGGGGAGGCTACGAGTGGGCGGGCGCAGAGTTCCTTCGAAGATGCATCCCTTACCCTCATCCTTCAGCCCCTCTACTCCCTAATGACGCCTTATCACACGGTCAGTTAGTTGTTGCTCCTTTTTACCTCCCCTCCCTACCTTGCCGGGTCCCCCGCATTTGTCGGGTCCAAACATGATGGAGTAGGGGGTGCTCTCCCGCAGCCCCTGCGGCTCCAGAGCCGAGTCAGCGGACAGGAGCTTCAGGTAGGAGCCGCCGCACGTGACGCCGCTGTCGTACCGCACCTCGTACTGCACCACCAGCGGCAGCGGGGTTTCGGAGGGGCCGCTGCTGCCGCCTTGTCGTACGACCGGGTCGATGGGAGAGGGGAGCAGTGCGGTGAGGCCGTAGTAGCGGCTACTGTCCGGGATCTGTGAAGTTTTGGGGGGAGGGAAGAGCGTACGGAGGATGGGTACGGGATAACGAGAACCTGCCTAACCGGCATCCTCGCCTAATCATCTCTCTTTATTGTTGCAACGGCAAGAGGCCAGCGGCTGGCCCTGAAGCCTTCTACCTTTAGCCCCTTGCCGGTCCAGTTCTTCGCCGCTGCGGTAATGAACCTCCCATTATACTTGGGGTCGCTAGAGTGCTTCCATCTGGACTGCCAGCCGTCGTCGTTGAAGTCCTCAAAGAACAAGGCTTGTGACCTGATGGACTCTAAGATCTCCGAGGTCGCAGGAGACGGCTCACTACTACCCGCGCAAGGGCCGAAGATGACTAGTAGTCCTATACCCAACAGGGCGGTGCCATGCCTGTTAATCATCTTTAAAGGAAGTAGATCAGGCTCATGAAATACCACTATGTCATCTGCCCAGCGAAACCGTGGGGTTGCAATCGCTGGCCGCTTGCAACAAGTACAACAATTGTCGCAGATCGTGTCCTTGACTTTTGATGTTTTTTTGCAAGTTAGACCGGGCCGCTATAGGCATTAAACGTATCGTTCATCGAGGAAGCCTATCCACACCGCAACAATGTACCCCGGCCAGGGACGGCCGGCCCGTCCACCAGGGACGGGTCCAGGGACGGGGCCCCGTCCCTGGCCGACCGGCCGCAATGAACCGCCCCGTTCAGCGCCAAACTGCGCGTTTTCTGCCTTGTGAAGCACCCATAGAGTAGAGCATATGTATTGGGGGAGTCACAGTGCGCTCGGCGGCCCGCTCGCGAGCTCAAGGCGCACATTGTTGCCATAACCACCTTGTGCCCGCCCTTAACTCGCTCATTCGTGTTCCTCATACCAAGCGTAATATATATTTTACCATTTAGCATCAACACCCTAGCATACTACCGATAAACACCTCGCGTCCGTCATTTGAACACCTCGCGTCCGTCATTTGAACACCTCGCGTCCGTCCTTTTCTCCAAAGCTTGATGATGTAGCTAAAGCTAGATGATTTAACTATATATTGCATCAAAGTTTGGGCTGTTGCGTTGCGCCAGTGCCTACCGGTATTGTGGCCATGGCCATGAAGTTACCGGCCCGCAAGAAAAAGAATCAGCGGAAGAGCCAAGTCGCGAAACGGCGAAAGGCTGCTGGACCTGAAGACCGCCTGGATGCGGAGGGGTGAGGCATGCCAGAAGGTGCCATTTGGCGCCACCCCATCCACCAGGGACGCCCCGCCGCTATGGAAACAATGCCATCGCGCCCCCCCGCTATGGAACATTGCCCCCCCCCCCTTCCACTTGTGTTAGGAACTTATCCCACGGCTTGCAGGGCGCGGAGCAGGACGAGTGGAATCAGAAGTGCAAAGCCGCAAAGCAGGCGTTCCTGAACGCTGCGGCCAAGGAAGCACTGTAGCAGGGGGGAGCGCGGGGAATGCAGCTTTCATGCGTGTAGAGCCGTATACCCTGGTCGTCGTGACGCTGGGTGTCGTGACGCTGGGCCTTACTATTGGGAAAGGGAAGTAGCCTAGCCAGGGTGTGGTAGCGGGTAAGTTGAGAGCGCTAGAGTAGCGTCGCTGCTGCGCTACTGTTTGAGTTCAAAGTGTGTGTGTATAGGTAGTTGTGAGTGCATGAGTATGACGCGCCTGGTTTTGTTTGCGGCGGTCTTTGCGGTGTTGACTGTCAGGTCGCGCTGGAATGACTCGTGAAAGGTTACAGTGGCCGGTCGGCAATGTACGGCGAGTGTCCAGTAACATGTGACGCATGAGTGCAAGCCACCCCAGCCGCCAGAATGCACTGCACCCGTATAGTCATAGCTTGTCTGTCATTTACAGCACTGCACCACAACCAGCCCTCTCAGGACGCTAAAGGGCCCACATATGCGCCCCCATGATTGTTTAGGGCATTAGCTGTTCCACCACCAGGGGCTTCAAACTGCGCCACACCATTGTAGAAACATATGGCATTGACACCCCGGCATTACACCAGGCCCATCCACGGGGCAACTTCTCTGTCACCAAGGGGGTCACGGCGAATTCTACCACCGACAGAGTCTCCTCGGCCGACAGCAACGCACCCTGTTGCCCCCCCAGCTGCCCCTGCCGCCGCCGCCGCTGTGCCAGCCGGATCAGCTTGGTGTCCACCAGCATCTTCATAGCTTTGTAGTGGCCAAACGTATGCCACCACGACTTGCTACTCCACACGGCGGAGGCCAGAGGGACCACGCCAGCCCTCTGGGCGCGTACTCGGAGACGCCTAAGCATCTCTGTGGCCAAGAGGGCCGTTTTCATGGCGCTCTTCTTCACCTCGGCAACATGATGACGCAGGGTAGGGTGCACAGTGTATGCCTGGAGGGTACAATGTGGGTGTGTGGGGATCAGGGTAAGTTTGCCGGCTGGCTCTGCGGTCACTGAACACAGGAATGGCCACAGACATGTCATCGTCACAGACATGTCTTGACCCTGTCGTGGCCCGTAGCTCACCATTGTTGCCGCTTCCTTATTGTTGCAGCTTCCTATGCGATAGAGAGAGATGGAACAGGTGCAGTGCAGGTCACGTTGCGCTTTGACGGCTGCGACGACGAGTGTAATACGAGAGTCGGAGTAGCTGTTTGAGAACGTGCCAGAATCGCGTTATTGTTGTCGATACGCCCCAGAAATGAATGAACCGCACTTCTATGAATCCGCCGTAACTGCCCCCCCTGGCCCAAGGAGTTGTACGCGGAATTCTCTTAACATGTTACCATGTTGTTAAGCCCTACTCAGCCAGCGTCGCTTGAGCCCCCATAGCGCCAGTCCGTGCTTGGTCAACCTCCATTGCAACAACGCAGCGAGCATTGGGCATAAAAAGCGGCTGGGAAGTTCTTATAAGGTCATGTAGTATTTAGGTCAAGTAGTAGGTCGCGAAATTGGAGCAGCTAGCCCGTCCAAGGCGTGTTCCCTGGCCTTGTCCCTGGCCCGTTCCTGGCCTTGTCCCTGGCCCGTCCCTGTACGGGCAACACCGCGGAAGCTTCCACTGTACGACTTCCACGGTGTCCTGCTGTCCTCACATACGCACTGCTAAACTCCATGCTCCGGCAGCAAAGACTTGATCTTTGGATATCATATAATATCCTCAAGAAGCACTGGGTTCTGTGTTATAAACCGACGTTTCAAGCCTTCCAACTACCCACTGCCTGTTTAGCTTTACCCAGGTATATGCCGGCTGCCACAAGGACCTTCTCACACGAAGTGCCAATTTCTTCGTTTCCTCACGCAGATGGCATAGACCCGTTGCGCACCTACGCCACCACAACATTGCCTTCTAGTAGCCGTCCATTCTTGTGTTCCATAGTCGCATTCATGATGTGCTGAAGCGCTGTGAATCCTTGGGGGCTGCCTGATTTGAATTGGGCATCTGGTGGGATCAGTGTTGATGGAATGTGGCGTTGTGGTAACGTGCCAAGGGGGAGTATGGCAGCTTTGGGAGGAAGCCCGGTACTGCTGAATTTCGTGTCCCGGTACAAACGTATAACTTTAACATGTCACTGCGGCTGCTTTATGCCACGAGGCCGCTGGTTTAGCCGAGTTAGGAACCAATTTCATGCAGCACGTGCCGCGCAGAGAAGGCGCACGGAAGTGCCCTCCCCTCCTGCTCAAGGAGGGGAGGGAGGAAAGCATCTTACACCTTTGCAAGTATCCAGCAGATACACAGCCGCTGGTATGTGCCAAATGATTCAAAGCCGCAACATCTCTGCGATTACCTCCTTCAATAATAGCACGATTGTCACCTCCATCAATTATAGCACGACAACCACCTTCCTCAATTATAGCACGATAGCCACCCAAACACGCAGTTCCTTCAGGTACGAGCCCGCATAACATGACCCGAGGGTCGTACACGTCACCGGAACACTCAAACCCTCAAGTTCGTGGAAAAGAACGGCCAACCGCATGCCTACCCCGCTCAGCCCTAACATGCTCTCGCGCAAGCTCCTTCCGACGCGCCCGCCTCTGCACAAAAGGCAGCAACCGAAGGGCTCAATCCGTCTCCAAAAAGGGGGGTATACCACTGTCTCATCTGCGTCCTTGACCTCACTCTGGTAGTGGCTCTGGGCCCCCCTGTGCAGAGTGGGAAGACGACGGCGATGCGAGGGGGCAGAGGGGGCCGGTATGTCAGCAACGTCACCATGCGAGGAAGACCCACCCAAGCAACACACGTCTTTACCTTTACAAAGCAGGGGGCAGTGACGGAAGGGAACGCGATTCCGTGGGCCGCTTGGCCGTTGGTTTGGCCAAGGCTTCAGGTCGGTAATGGGGGAAAGAAACTACCAAGCCGAGCGGGGAAGTGGAAGCAGCGAGGCGGGAATAAGGTCGATGCTTCCTTGGAGGTTGTAGCCGTGTGCAGGTCGTGGGCTCAGGACGGCTTGCCCTTGGAGCCCGCAGCTCCCGAATGATGCAAGCAGCCGGGGTTCATAATGTCACGGTTCTGTGGCACAGGGGGGCGGACGACTAACATATGGTTGGAATTGCGACCAAGTGATAACGTAGTGAGAGCGAGCAGCGTAGTCCAGCATGCTTGGGAACATTCTTGCCAAAAGCATAAGCGCCATGACCGGAGCCGAAGGATGTCAATCACGGATGCCTGACGCGCTACTAACAAAACGAGCTACCAAGGACCTAACCTTCTTCGTATACAAAGTTACATATTATAGAACGATAAAGCAATATGCTTGAAGCTAAAACTTCTGTCGCTAAAAATTGTCCAACGCTTCTTACCGGTAATTGTTTCTTGAAGTGGCCTTGCGAGTGCTCTACCAGTCGGTGACAGCACGCAGACCTGCGAAAGGTGAACAAAGCCGGTCGGTTGGTGGGAATGCATCGATGCGGCCAAAGCTCAGCATTCTTCAACCTTTGCTTCTAAGCGCACCTGTTGCCAACTAGTCATCATGTGTTGATGTACAGCTCTTGCACTGGTTCATTAAAGGGTTGGATGTAAACCTGCAGACCATTATTAAAGTAGCAAAAAGGCGAGAAGTGACTGTCAGCCAGTGTAACAGACAGTGTATGTAGAAAGCCTGCAAACATTTGCAAAAGACTTACCTTGACACCTGGTCCCGGCCGCACGTCAAAGTGTCTTGACTTTCACACCAGTTTTTGAGATTGCCTAAGACGTAAGACGTATAGCTATTAAAAAGGAATTGATGAGGTTGTGGGACATGGCCTTTCCAGTATTTATTGCTGAACGTTCCATGTCGTACCCTCGCCCAGTAGCGCCGTGCGCGGAAAAACCTGGAAGCGTAATTAAAGATTACGCTAACGGATTGATGACATAAAACGCAAAACCGCAACAAACGCTTTCCGTATAGACCTATTGACGAATGCCACATAGATAGCTGGCATCCTTAGCTACGGTAGTCATGTAAGCCAACTGTCAGATAATACGAGGATGCGCACATCCGTGTATCAGTGTATCATGAAGCTATTTCCTCAGGTATCTGCTGCTATGCTAGCGGACACCATGATTACGAGGGAGCTAGTATGTGCACATCGGGTTTGAACAGGATGTGTCCAATCGGCGCTATTTTAAGAGCTCCGTAATATAACGCCACAAATGGAGAGAGTGAGCTTGGCTTTAAATTCTTGAGGGCCACGGTTGAGGAGAGGTGGAAGGGGAGGCCCTGCTTGACCAATTACAAAATCATCCTACCGCTTCCCAGAACGTCTTCTCAACACACTCGCTCCTGATCCTTGCGGCTCCGCTTCACAGACTTGCCTCCTTTGCCGCCCTTGCCTTGGCCTGATGAACCAGTAACCACTCCTCCTCCTCCTTTTCCTCCTACCGCACCACTTCCCTCTTCTCGCTTCATACCATTGTCCCTCTACCGCCTCCGGCTCCTCCCCCCCTTGCTCTCCTTTTTACACCCCTTGCCTTTCCTCTTGCCCTCCGCTTCTCCATCCTCCTTATCACGCCCACCTCTCTCCTTGGTGCCAGATAACAATGAAGATGACATCAGCGAGCACCATTCCTCCAGGACACTGCCGTACGATGCGAGGTAGTGCCGTACTCCAGTCACGGGGAGGGAACAACTGGAGCAGCAACACGGGCAGTTCCTCCCGCTCCTGCCCCTGTTCCTACTCCTGTTTCTCCGCCGCCTGACACATCTGCTGCTGCTGCCGCGAGTCGGGCCGCCAGCCGCTGTGCACCCAGCAGCCGCTTCCACGCGTCCTGAAGCTCCCGATGGGGCCCTTCCTGCGGGTCCATAACACAGCCTTAGCTCACAGCACCTCGGCACCACATTACCAGCTATAACACATACGAGCATGCGTGACATGCAAGCTAGAGCGCTATTATACGACAGGAGGCGTGTGACTTAGGTGGGGGCTCATCCCAAAAACAATAAAGAATTGTCGCGCCCATACACCGGCTTGACCATCTAGCGTCACCGGGGTCCACGATCCCGTCCCTCATTTTGGGAGGGAAGGGTGAGAATAAAGGCGTGTACTTTTTGTGCGGAGCCCCCGCCGCCCCTTTTCTCCCCCCCAGTACCGTGATGCTCCATTACCGTGAGTGGCTACAGAGCCCAGGCAGGGACGCGCGGTGGAACGGCATAGCGATGAAAGTGCATGTTGTAGTGCTCGATGGCGTCTTGCAGAGCTCTGTTGGGAATCAGCTCTGGGCTGATAGGCATCCGAGCAATGGGGTCTCTCTGGTCTTTGGCCAGTGCCCTTTCGATGGCGTAGCGCTCGTAGGTGATACCGGCCGAGGTGATGACCGGGTCCTCCATGAGGACGTTTGTGATTGGGCATATGAAGTGGTCCGGCACAATTGGTGCCGCCTCGGCAGATCGCACCCTCCTGATGACCGTTACACAGCGTGTGCCCATGGCCCTCCAGTATCCAAGATCCTCAGTTCCGTCTTCAACAGCCATTTGACGCGCTACCTCTCGGACAACGTCTTCTTGGCCTTGAGGAGGGTAGATGTCGGCGAGCTTCCGGAAGCCAGCACGGTGAAACACTTTAATTGTTTTGCCCTTAGCGGAGATGACGGTCTCTATGCCAGCTTGCATGGTGAGCTGGAACACTTCAGATTCTGTCCATGCTCCCGCCATGGTATCTTTATAAGCCTCGGCCCTTGTCGTGACACCTTAGCTGTATGGCAGTGAGTGCTTGCAATAAAATAGCGAAAGTCTCGACGAGCCGTACCTATCAAAGTAAAGCACTGCCTGCAACAATGCCATGCTGGGTCCCTGTTCTCTGTTGGCCCCCCCTGGACGGACAGGCTGACAGAGAACTGCCAAACGTAGGCTCTTTTTACTTTAATATTGACTCAGGAGGTCTCGATAAATTATTGGGTGGCTATTTATCATTTTGTCTGCAAACTCTGAGCTCATGCTTGTATATACATTCTCTGACACCGGCACTGGCTAGCTGCCACAGTAAAGCCCAAACTTGTATTTAATTGCAACTAAATATATGTTATTAGGATGTAATATCTCCTTCAGCAAAGTGTGACGGTAGCCTCAATATAAGTCTGACGCGTCATGTCCAGCGACGAATCAGAGCTGCCTTATGAGGATTCTGAGGAGGACTATGACTGAGAGGGATATATAACTATATTGTTGCTGTATCGCCGGCATTACTTTCGAAGCGAAGATGGCGATGGCGACGACACTATAGCTAGTAGCGACGATAGGATAGTGGCCACACATGGGGGCTAGCTCTACGCAACAGCAGACGAGGGTGACTCGGACGACTTTGAGGGCGGAGCCAGTTACCCCAGAGGCTATTCACATTTCAATTTGAGTATTTATACATTCAGTGAAGCCGCACGAGGCGCAAACCCGTTTTAACCTCAGATTTCGTTGGGAACTTTGCAAAAAAGTGAGGCTTGTACCGACTTGCCATAAAGTTGACGGGTTGCAAGCAGGAAGGCCATTTCAGAATGCGAAAGTTACAAGGGGGACCGGAGCTCCTGAAAGCCGGAAAGCCGTACAAGAGACCCAATCGCTAGCGGAACACGCTAGACAGCCGCAACAAAGCAACCTACCCCAGGGACATGCCCTGCAAAAAACAAGGAGCCATGAGGACATTTTAACGTACAATGGGTTATGTTTTTTTGCCTCCGGTACTCAACATCGGGCTTGAACGCCGTATGGAATCCATTACAACGAACTTAATTGGCGACCCAGGAAAGTAGCCAAAGAAACTTATAGTTGTGACTCATGTACACAAAGCTTTAACTAGCAGCATCATGCCGCGTTCACGCTCTCGAAGCCGCTCACGGTCCTATTCTCCCCGAGGCCGACCCCTCTGGCGTGCGGAGAGAAAGAGACCTTAGGACCTCCCTGCTATATAGAAAATTGTCGAAGACAACAACGTAAGGCATTTGGACCTTTTTGGTCTGTGGCGGCCACGGTTGAGGGCGTCTGAAAACATTTTGGTGAAACGTTTTTCCGACCGTTATATCTGATGTTTGACCTTCACATCCAGCGCTTATTTATATATCCCTATACTTTCGGTACATAGGCGGCACCTAACAATGAGGTCCGCGGCCTCAATGAGGTACGCATCAAGCACCTTTGGATGAAGTCTCCCAGAATCGCGCCAATTGCTGTTTCCAATTTTGTAATTTGTTATCTATACATTGGTAGTACAGCGCACGCATTGGGCGCGTCCAGATGTGCTCGGCATGCCGGCATGTCCGTGACCTAATAGCCGCGCCGTTTACCTGTTTGTTTAGACCTCTACCAAAACCACAGGCTATTCGGGGCCCCGCTTACGGGTGTGAGGCTGCGCGGAAGCGCAATACTGCGCGATAGCCGTGTACACCTAATACTAGGAAGGCTTGTGTCGCCAATGTGCTGCCTCTGCTTCCCCTTCACGCACCTAAACACCACATAGCTGGCGAGCTACCAGTCGATGAGCAGTGCGTACATAGTCAGCGCACCATTACATCATAGGCTCGTGACAGCATCGTTAGGTGAAGTCGATGCCACACGTGATTAGTAGATGTCGGTACCCTCCACCCCCGTGCCTCTTCACCCTCGTGCTCTACACCGGAGGCCCATGGGTCGTAACATGAACTACAGCAAGGCTATGGTGCGTAACATGCATGACAGCCATGGAGAAGCTCTACAGGGTACCGGTACCTTCCCCAAGGGCACAACTCATCGACAGCTTGCCGCCCTGCTCTGCCTGCCTTTCCGAGAGGTTTGTGGCAACACTCCCGCGGCGCACGCGGGCGGGTGGGACACCCCAAAATTTTTCGCTTGTGTCAAGTGATGCCCACCCCCGGTGACCGTCTAATTGACCAGGACTAGTACAAGCAGCAGTGTGGCACGCGGCGCCCGTGTGAGGACGAGGCTACCGCGCTTCTGTCCCTTCCCTTATGGCTAGGGTGTATGCGACCGCAAGCTAGGGCTGTGACCTAATGCGGCGCCCTACCGTATGCGTACGGTATTGTTGTATCTATTTAAGATCGAGATGCGGAAGCGAGCGGAAGTAAACTATATGTCGAGATATAACGCGAGCGGAAGCGTGTATGGCGTAGGTTATGACCTATTTGTTCTAGGCTACGATGCGGGCTGATAACCGCCGTCTGACGGCACCGCCCACCTGTACCTCCTTAGAGGGTTGCTGACCCGCCAGACCCTCGCCGAGGTGGACTGAGAAGGGTGTCAGACCTGGGCTGGAGAGGGTGTGTATAACCACTGGGGTATAGGCTTGGCCAGGGGGTTAGTGTATGAGTCCGAGGGTAGGAGAGGAGTGAAGGGGACCTATGCAAGTAAACCCTATTGCGTACGACTGACGAGTCGTATTAGGCGTACGGGCCGTTAGGGGTCGTTGACCGTTAGAGTATACGGCTAACTAAAGACTGAGCAAACTGTTGCGGATGCAGGCGTACGGGATAACAGCCTAACTGCCGTGCAAGTGTAAGCTGCTATGTACGGCTGACGAGTCGTATCGAGACAAACCGTTGCTGTTGGGTAACTAACTAGCTAACGATCTAACCGCTGACGGTTAGCGTCAAAGTGTGCACTCAAGCACTAGTAAGGCCCGCCTTCGGCGGGAGCTACCCGTAGCTCGCGGGAGAGAGCTGACTACGAGTAGGAACGGCAGGTGATGTCGAGAAGGAAGAGCGGTTGCACGCATGTACGGCGTGGGGAGGCAGAAGGATGCTCCAATGCTTCACAGGAGGAGTGGCAGTGATTGTCGCCGAGGCTGCTAGGAATTAAACGGTTCGGAAGCACGAACGGCTTGATGACGCCGCGGAAACATGCAGTATATCAATGCATACAGGTGGTGGAGTGCGAAAACCTGTGCGTTAGTATAGAGTACTGACCCTACTAAGTACGGGCGCACTTGTACCGTCAACCCCGTCCGAGACAGGACACCGTCTCCGCCTTGTGCGTGTATACTTCCACACGTCCTGCCCGAAGCCCGGCGCTCTCATGCAGTCCCCGCACTGGCCCATTAACGAGCATGCACGTCCCAAGCCCCACGCGCCCGGTGCGTATGCGCGCAGAAATCCTCTCATACTGACGGGAATTGGCGCCCAGGCGCGCAAGCAACACCACCAAGCATCTGCACTCAGGCATCCCCGTCGAACGCACCCATGCGCCAACGCTGCTGCGTGAGTGCATACCTACCGACCCGGCAATAACACCCGGCACCGTGCCCTTTTAAGACCGCGCCCAATGATGTACACATGCATCCCCCTGCTAAAGTAGTGATACCAATGCGTGCACGATGCACCTACCCCCATCCTACACAGCCAGGCGTGGGCAACTCCAGGAACAGGAGGAGGCACGGACCGCGCAGGGAAGGGCCTGGGAAGAACACTTGTTGTCTTGGAAAGCAACGCGTTCGATGCTTAACGACGGGATGTGGCGTACACGCACGGAACACGCTCGGGATCCGCTACTCCTGAAGCGCAAGCAAGTAGAACAACCGTGACAGCATTCTACTTGGCAACAAATCCTGCGATACCGGTAATTCGTATCACAAAAACATCTACCTGTGCGGCAATGCCGAGCGATGGCCCAACCTGCCGTGTCAGTCATCGGCGCCCACATGCGCATGCATCCCCACCCTTTCAAGCCGTCAGTGCTCAAGCGTGCAGACGTCCTCTCGTCCTGCCATGAACTGACGCCCATGGGCCCAAGCATTACTGCAGCTCCCAACCACCTTCGCCCAACCATGCATCAACGCCGATACAAGAATGTATGCGCACCCGGCCCATGCGATACATGCATGCATACCCGCCAAGCCCAAGTACAGGCGCCCATGCTTGTACGCACACTAACCGTGCCGAATGACCGCGCTGATGTAAACGCATGGACCCCGTGTACAAACAATCCTGCGCGCACGCAGACACCCCCTGTCCAAGTCAATTACCCGAAACCACGAGACCAGCGGCCCACCCTGCTCATAAGCTGGCACGTGTGCGTGCAGGATTGAATGCATTTGGAGGCAGGAACTTCGTGGGAAGGGCAGAGAGGCCACACATGGGCCCGCAAGAGGCCCGTAAGGGCGCTGCACCGAGAAGAGCCCAAGGAGGCAGGGCCGCGCGAGGAAGGTCAGCCGACAACATTTGGAGGCAGGCGCTGCATATGGAAGGGCACCGAGGCCCCAGCAAGAGGCTCGCAAGTTTGCTGCACGGGGACACGAGTGCCACGTGGGGAAGTGCAGTTGTATGGGTTAGGGCATTGGGAGGCAGCAGTTGCCGAGGAAGGGCAGGAGGGGCAAGCGCGCGCCTCATAGGAAGGGCATTGGGAGACAGGTAGGTACAGCACGGGGAGGTCGGCACTGGGAAGAACTTAGGGGAGCTGGCGCCGCACATGGAAGGGCATCGTGACACATCACCACGCACGGGGAAGGGCACGGACAGCCAGACATTGCACGGTGAAGGGCATGGGTGGGGCGCAGCACCGGCAAGAGTTACTAGCTTACTCGAGGAACGTATGACAGGAGCCAGGCGCCGCGCGGGGAAGGGCATGTGTAGATTACTTGGCTTCTTGAAGAGCGACGGATCTACGTCTACACTGAAAGGTGAGGACACGTCCAAGGACGTGGCGTAGCCGCACCACGTTCGGATACCTCTATTCAGGAAACCCAGATAAGCGTTCAGCAGGTGTGGAAACCTCGGGGCACCAACCGTTACATTATGTAAATTGGCAACATAACATCTACAACTAAAA